TTGTTTTCCAGTCGAACCCCATTTTGTTCAATGGTAAATGATACTGTCTATATCAAAATACAATCAAATTCCGATATTTTCAAGTCAAATCCCATCTTGTTCAATGGTAAATGATACTTTCTATATCAACATACAATCGAATTCCGATCTTTTCAAGTCAAATCTTATCTTTCCCATGATAAATGATACTTTCTATATAAAAAAACAATGTCGTATCTTTCATGTAAAAACCAATCGTTTCAATGGTAACTGATACTGTCTATATCAAAATATAGTTAAATTAAAATTCCTATCTGTTCAAGTCAAATCCCTTCTTTTCAATGGTAAATGATACTTTCTAAATCAAAATGTAGTCAAACTCCCATCTTTTCCAGTCAGATCCCATCTTTTAAATGAAACTTTCTATATCAAAAAAAAAATCAAGTTCTTATCTTTCCAAGTCAAATCCCATCTTTTCAGTGGTAAATGATACTTTCTATATCAAAATACCAGTAGTACCGCACAAGGCAGTGGCGGAAGTTTCAAAAATAGGAAACCTATAGGAGAGGTTGGTTGTTGTGAATCACGGATGGCAGAGCGAACCCACTGATGGACCGAAAGCTGGTTGGAGTTGTGTTTTTTTGGAATGGTTGCAATGGTTGCAGTGGCCACCTTACCACAACTGCTGGATGTAGTGTGATGTAGTGTAGTGTAGTGCAGTTGTAGTTGCAGCTGTAGCTGTAGTTATAGTGTAGTGTAGTGGAGCTTTAGCTGTAATGTAATGTAACTAATTTGTGCGTTTGCAAGTGCGGTTGCAGTTGTAGCCGTGGTGTGGTGTAATTAGTGTAGTATAGTGCAGCGTAATGTCGTGTAGTGTTGTGTAGTGTAGTGTGGTATAGTGTCGTGTAGTCTAGTGTAAGATAGTGTAGTTGTAGTTGTAGTTGTAGTGCAGGGTAATTAGTGTAGCGTAGTGTAGTTGTAGTTGTAGTGTAGTGCAGTGTAATTAGTGTAGTGTAGTGTGGTGTGGTGTAGTGTAGTTGCAGTGTAGTGTAGCGTAGCATAGCATAGCGTAGTGTGGCGTAGTGTAGTGTGGTGTGGTGTTGCGTGGTGCAGTGTAGTGCAGTGCAGTGCAGTGCAGTGCAGCGCAGTGCAGTGTAGTATGTGTAGTGTAGTGTAGTGTGGTGTAGTGCAGTGTAGTGGAGTGCAGTGTAGTGTAGTGTAGTGTAACGTATTGGCAGTTGTAAGTTGCAGTCGCAGCTGCAACTGTAGCTGTAGCGGAATGCAATTTAATCAATGTAGTGTAGTGTTGTGTAACGTAGGGTTGTTCTAGTTGTGTTTGTAGCCGTAGTGTGCTGCAGTGTAATTAGTGTAATTAGCGCAGTTGTAGTGGTAGTAGTAGCTGTAGTTTTGTTAGTATGTGTTGTTGCAGTTGTTAGTGTAATTGGTGTAGTGTAGTGTAGTGTAATTAGATGTAATGAGTGTAGTGTAGTGGAATTAGTGTAGTGTAGTGTAGCGTCGTAGATTTATATTTGTAGTTGTAGCAGTAGTGTAGTGTAGTCTAATGTAGTGTAGTGGTAGTTGTACTTGTTGTAGTTGTAATTGTCTATCTATCTGTCTGTCTATCTATCTATCTACCTATCTATCTATCTATCTGTTTGTCACATCAAAAACGAAGCAATTCTGCGAGCCGTCCTTCAAAAATGGAAAGTTGAGTGCAGAGCTGACGGCCTCGTACCATTTTGTCTTGCGTTTTTTCCACTCCATGTGTCTAAACTACTGCGCCTGCCACGAAAAAGTGATGCCAGGGTCATACGAAGTGCTGCACCTGTCACGCAAAATCATCTCAGCAAACCTGAAGATCTGAGGCTCCAAAATGCAACCCCTCTCAGGAACTCAGCACTCGGACCTCCCAACAGCTCTGATGAACATGTCTCTTGTGCTGCGCCTGCCACGGAAAATACATCTTTGCAGATCCTCTTCAAATGTCCCACGCCTGCCATTTTTTTGGAAATGCTACAAAACCCTCACGTTTTGCTCACTTTTGACACGGTGCACAATCCCCTGCGCCTGCCATGCGAAACGACATCTGAATGTCAAAAAGTGGTCCGAAGCTGGGGTGCTTGGTACATTTTGACCTCGAAATCTGCTTCGCGCCACAACGGCGTCCACTTTTTCGACATTGCAACTTCCAAAAGTGGTCCGGACCTGGTGCGTTTTGTGCATGTTGACTTCGAAATGTGCTTCGCGCCACAACGACGTGCAATTTTTCATCTCTCATCTGCCCAGCGGGCTCCGCACCCGCGGCTTTAGCGAGCCTACTTGTCGACCCTCCGGAGCCACAAATCATTGGAAAAACACAGTGTTTCGCGACTTTCCTATCTTTTCGCTGAGACTATTTCTTTTTCGATATTCTTTCTTCTTCTCTTCTCTTCGCTGACTCTTCCCATCTCTGCTTTTCATCTGTCCATATTGTCGGAAGTTTGACTTCTAAACTTCCTTCGACAATAAAATTCCTATCTTTTCCAGTCAAATCCCATCTTTTCAATCGGAAATGCTAATTTTTCTATATCAACATATAATCAAATTCCTATCTTTTCCAGTCAAATCCAATTTTTCAATGGCAAATGATACTCTTCTAGCATATCAAAAGATAATCAAATTCCTATCTTTTCATATAAAATCCTATCTGTTCAATGGTAGATGATACTTTTCTATATCAAAAGATAATCAAATTCCTATCTTTTCATGTAAAATCCTATCTGTTCAATGGTAGATGATACTTTTCTATCAAAATATAGTTAAATTATGTTGAATTCCTATCTGTTCAAGTCAAATCCCATCTTTTCAATGGTAAATGATACTTGTCTATATTTATATATGTATATATATCCTGTTTGGGGTGACTATAGCAAGGGTCTTGGTGACCGCTGCTTGTAGGAGACCAGCATTGGCAATGAAAACTAAATTATTGTCCTGATATGTCCGCACTAGGACCAATCCTCCTGAGAAGTCCTCAAACCTATTCCACCCGTCTTTACCTCAGGCAAGAAAGAAACATTTGGAGGTTTCAAGCCCGACCACCGCAAAATAGTCAATGTTTTTCGTCTATAACGTGAACTCTGGAGAAATCTTGATGACACCACCAGCATTACCCACCCTGATGATATTCTCATTGCTGATGCTGACTTGAAGACAGCCCCAAGCATCGTTATTTTGGTTGAGCTGTGAGACTAAGCTCTTGTGACTCTTGTGCCATGTTTCAGAACCACCCGCTATCTGCCGCATGGACATGGCTATCACGGCTCAAAACTATGGCACCCAAAAAAGATGATATTGGCAATGCGGCAAAAACACAAACAAACCATCGCTGAATTGGGGTTGGCTTAGTATTCGTTGTGTTGTGGCCATGTTCCATGATGTTCCATTACAGAGATATATGTCCATTATGATATCTGGACCCCCTCAGAAAGTTCATGAAAATTCTCCCCAGCCTCTACTTTCTGAGGATCCTCCCAGTACAACAGGGCGTCTTGGCACCAAGGCGCATGACGGAACCTAGGACCTGCTCAAACACGGGCAGAAAGCGGCTTGGCCAATGTCCCCCAAGTGACCCCAGCTGTGCCATGATGGGCCATGGATGGCCATGGCATGCTATAAGAGGGCTTATCACCGAATTTACGGTAATTGATGTAATTGGTATTAGTTGGAGCAATTTATTTTATAACTGGAAAGTGACCCAGTTGCACAAACCTACCAAACTGATCAGATCTGACTTGTAGGTCTTTGCCAATACTGAAGTGCCTTTCCCCCACTCAATGGAGGCAATGCCCCAGTTTCTGCAGCCTGATTGGACCAATAATATCGCTCAACTACTATCGGCATACGTGCATGCACATGTGTGCATATATGTAAACCATAGGCCTAATATAGGTATTAATATCTACAGTAATGGTATATATATATAATTATATGTATATATAATTATATATATATATGTTGTCTGTATCTGTCATTCTATATCTACCTTGGCCATCTGCCAGGCCTTCTCAGCTCCTTGGGTAAGCTGGATGATATGAAGCACGATGACGCGCACATCCTCAGTGGCGAAGATTTTCTTCAGCAACACTGACCGATGACTGGCACTACTCTGGGGGTTGACCGTGAACAATGGAGGTCCAAGTCCAGTTGGGCTTCAGGCGTGCAATGGTGTGCACGACTGCAGAATATGACACATATATGACAAATTTGAGTGAAGTATGATGAAGTATGGGTACTAGTCTTCCAGGCACAGTAAGTCAACTTTTGTGCTATGTGTCATGTGAGCCCTGAAGTCTGGTCCCACCCTCTCGTTTCGGGGTGTCACTAAGCAGCCTTTCCGAAAATTTTGGAGAGATACAGTAAAACCACCCAGCCATGCCCCCTCTACTGCACCTACTCCCTGATTTTGAGGCTCTTCCCTAGGCTCTTTGGTTTCCAATTTTCAGATTTGGCACCATCTCCATCTCCAAAAACAAGGGCCCCCCCGTCACTCACGCTGCTCGATATGAAACTATCACGGAAGCAGAAAATCTGACACATCTTCAACATGAATTTGGGCTGCCTCGGGCCCACTTTCCATTTCCTGCTGGTTGTTTCAATTGGGGTAGTTAAGCGTACTTTTTCGCAGCGGCATTGGAGTTGCTGGCACTCCTGCTTAGCAGGACTGGCTGCACATATGGATTTGCCGAATGGATCTGTCACTGCCACCTATTGTTCAGGATGTCTTTAAAATGCTAGTTTTCAATTGTTTTAAACAAGTTCCCCGGACATACTCTACCATATATGGCTCAGGCGTGAATACGGTTCCAAGAATGTCCAATAGCTCTGGCATGCCAAACCAATGTGAAACGAAATCCAAAACTGGAATTTGATCATTGACTCACCTATACTCACCTGATATCCTGTAACATATATATATATATAATTATACATATATAATTATATATATATTAATAATGATCAATATAGTTCATCATGATGTTTCTAGCTTACCCTTCCGAGGCTAAAACGTGTTTTTTTCAGCACCTCTTAACCGCGAGGTCTACGGCTCAGATTTTTACGGCGCCTCACAGCAGAAGGAATCCCTGGCCTCAGCGATGGGATGAAACTTGGCGAATCTCGGCGCCGTGAATCTGCGCCGTTTGATGTGGAAATACCATCCAAAAAACCTGGTTCAGTATTTACCCTCTGGTAACTAACATAGCTATGGAAAATCACCATTTTTAATGGGAAAATCCACTATTCATGGCCATTTTCAATAGCTACGTTAAATTACCAGAGGGTAAATATATTGAAATATATTGAAGTTATGTGTTTGGGCGCCGACATGCGGAATTTATGATACTGGAGGGATTGGATTCGCCCACACCAGGAAAATATTGGGGCAATGGAGACAGTGACGCCTACTAGGAACATCTTATGTATTTGTTTGAAAGAACAATATCCAAAAACCATACCATGTCGAGCCCATCGAAGGCGAGAACACGTGAAGCGAACTCATTGCCATTGGATTGGTGCTACGTTGTAGAAACCACTGTAAGCCTGTCATGATCCTTGAAGTTAGCACCAGCAAGCAACAGCACGTGCGATATAGACACGCACATATCAGCCATACACACATCTACAATCCTTTATATACTATCATTCACAATCACTTCAAAACATCATTTACGTGTGTGTATATATATATATATGTATACAGTATATATGATGGATAGATCATAGGATAGGATAGAATAAAACACATAGAATAGCATAGAATAGAATAGAACAGAATATGATAGAGTTTATAGAATAGAATAGAATAGTACAGAAATACAGTAATAGAAATGAATAGAGATGAATAGAGTATATAGAATAGAACAGAATAGACTAGAATAGAATAGGATAGACAAATAGACAAACAAACAAATATATAGACAGATAGGCAGATAGGCAGATAGACAGACAAATAAGCAAATAGACAACTATGACTTAAATGTATTTAAATGGATATCAACTATGCAGCCTACATCCCACACTTCAACCTGAACCGATCCATTGTCGGATGACAAAAACCCAAGGGCCCGAGCCGCGATGCCGGCGTCCCTCTTCATCTTTGCGATTGGAGACCTGAGATCCGCGATCGGATGACCCGAGACCTCGACATAGATCGACTTCGTGGGAAAATAAAACATGTGGAACTCGGAACTCCAGAATGGTCATTTCAACTTGCGTTTTGATGATGTTTTGATGACCAGTAAACTGCATGTTACTACCAGGCTAAGTCGGCTAAGTGACTGAAATGACATCTTCCGACAGTGGCTGGATTGGTCCGCCCCACGGATCTCGTCTTTGGCTCCCAGGCTCACGCTCACAACAGGAGCACGGGATGAAAGGGAAATCCTGAGGGGGCAACATGGGGCAACTCCTCAGGTCCAATCATTCAATCCCAAGATATCCCAAGATTTGGTGATTGAGGTGATCATGATACTATAATCACATATAGTCACCAAGATCTTCACCAAGATACTATAATTGTGGTGATTTGTGATATCCCAAGATCTCTGAAAGCAGCTACTATATGCTACTATAATTCCTCGAGGCTGACGGGGTTATCTATGTTTATCTCAGTTTCACTCCTAAGTACTGGTACGGTAAACTGGTAAACGTTCAGAAACATCGGCAGACCGGTAGTGAATTCACAGAATCAAATATTTGGTTGGCCAAAGTAGCAGGGCCCATCTCTGCCAACTTTGATGAACTGGTGGTTTTGGGTTGGTGGGGTTTTCCTCAATGATCATCCTTATCATCCTTTTCATGACGGAATCGCGGGATTCATGCTGAGAAAGCCCTGCTACAAACCACATCCTCCAATGGGCAGGAAATCTATGGATCGATCTCATCTTATCTGTCAATCAAATCGAATCGCATCGAATCATCATTTTCCATACCTAGTGACCTAGTGGATCCTATTGGACACCTGGTGAGGCGTTTGAAGATTAGTTGTTCTGTCCATTTCAGCATGATGGAACGGGGCGCCTTTTTGGGACTTTCATCTGCTCTGGGCGCCAAGGTACCTGCGCCGCAGAATGCATCGAAAAAATGGGGGGGGGAAATACAGCATTCAACTGGTTTTGTCCAACATTTTTGTTACACTACCCAAAACATGCCTGAGGGATCCTGAGGGAAAGTAATGATGATGATGATGATGATATCTATCTATCTATCTATCTATCTATCAACCAATTTATGGGAACGCCATGACACACATGGATTCCAAATGATTCCAAGATACAAATCAGCACTAGAAACTGAACTCCACAGCCCAGGGTTAGCTTCAATACTGCAGGTTGATGAGGTAAACGTGCAGCGACCCGCAACAAAACAAAACCGAAAGGGGACCTATGTCAGAGTGCTAAATCCAAAAACGAAAAGGACAACCCGATCGGTTCTCTACAAAATGATCTATAAATGGTAATGTCATGCAATGTCCATTAGCTGGAGCCTAGTTCTGCAACCGTGACACAGTTCGTGAGGCAACTTTAAAGTACCAGGGCCATCCAGCCGCACCACTCAGCCAGCTGCCAGCATACAAACTGACCCTACTCCAAATACCTCCAAATGTCATACAAGTGGAAAATGCAAAACATATCGAGAGAATATCGAGAGATAGCTGGATATTATGATATCATCACATAGACCAGGATCCGCAAGTGACAACAGTAAGTCAAGTCACGAAAGTAATACTAATATGTGGAGAGTTCTATTTGTATTTAAGAGAGTAAAACTGACAGATATTACCCTCCGGTAAACTAACATAGCTATTGAAAATGGCCCAGTCGAAATAGTAGATTTACCCATTAATAGCATAGTGATTTTCCATAGTTATGTTGGTATATTTACCAGAGGGTAGCAGATAGATACTACCCTCTGGTAATTTAACATAGCTATTGAAAATCACCATTTTTAATGGGAAAATCCACTATTAATGGTCATTTTCCATAGCTACGTTAAATTACCAGATACTAACAGAGCATAACCCCTGAACCATTCATCCGTCAGGACTTCACCTTAAATCTCCATGAATTCCCGTCGCCTGCGCTACGCGACAAGCGGCGCTCAGAAGGGCTCAGGGATCGCACCTGAAAGCCAGTTGCGAAATCGGAAAGACCAGCTATACATGGGACGCACACACACATAGATAGATAGATATAGAGATATATATATATACTGTACCCATAGGATCCATGTATGGTATATATGCTAACATTGGGGTATATGGATGGGATCCATGTTACCATATATAGCATACATGGATCCTATGGGGTATGAATGATATATATATATATGTGCATTTGTGTGTATGTTTGAGTAATATATGGATGATTTAGAACCAACTGGATTCACTGGAGTATGGTGAATATTAGGCATGATTAAAATCCGCTTGGTATGGCATGCCATTCTGTATACCCTCTGGTAAACTAACATAACTATGGAAAATCATCATTTTTAATGGGAAAATCCACTATAAATGGTCATGTTCAATAGCTATGTTAAATTACCAGAGGGTATTTTAGTTCTCATATGTTACAATCTGCCATGCACCTTTCATAAACGTTTTCAACATATGGTGTGCAGTAGGGTGGCATATGGAAAACCCAATGATCAAATCCCTTATCCCTAATTAGCATTAAGTACTACCCCACAAATCCTGGCTATATCCTTTCGGATGTAATCATTTTGAGGTCTATATGTGGGATAATAGGGGAACGGGATTACAAACGCTGGGTGGTTCATATCCCAACTTCATGACGGGTCATTTGGTATGTTTCCACAATCATGTTGAGAAGTTATATCCCATCAAAAAAACATGAAGATTCTATCTAAATACCATTGAAGTTGGTTAATCTCAATGTTTGATGTTTAATTCTGATAAAATCCCCACGTCAAGTGAGGTGAGGAAAAGCCAGCTGAACCATTGAAATCCACCGTTAATATATCGATATGTATACGATTCATTGGGTTGGTTTAAGGGAAAATCTACAGATACCTACAGGAAACCATGGTTTTTACCATCAAATTGATCGGGCTTTCCGGTTAAAATTTTCCCATCATCCAATTCTATGTATGATATGTGATAAAGCGATATAAAGCATATATAATGCTATAAATGTGCCATGATCAAAAAATCAGATGATATGTGGTATGATCATCCATTCGACATCGGGAATCCAAACATCATGGATAAATTCCATTAAATTCCCTATGAAATAGATTGATGACAACCAAGAACTTGGTATACACTACTGTGATACTCTATATATATATATATACAATGATATAAAATGCATCATAATCCACCTTTTGACCTTCTCTACATGTGGTTACGCAATGTGCACGCAGCTATGCACCACCCCCAGTCCCGGCTGGGTTTACCCAGCCTGCTCCGCCAAGGCATCTAACTCCTCCGGCTTCAACGGCGAGCGCAGCGAGCGCAGCCCCGGTAGGGACTCCCAGCGCCTCCAGAGGGTTTTTCCATAAAGGTACCCCCAATAGCCGGATGGTTTCACCTCGGAAAATCCGATGAAATGGATGATTTATCATGATTTATCATGGAAAATCCTCTTATAAGATGTTTAAATGGATGATTTAGGGGTACTCCAATGGATTGGAAACCTCCATCTTGTCGCAGAAAATGTCGCCTCAAGGGCGGGCCTAAAGAGCTGTTGACATCGCGATTTCTCCGTGCAGTCGGGGTAGAGGCGTTCGAAGGGACCCTTCGAGACCAAAGGCCTTGACAAAGGACGAGGAGACAAAGGACCCCTGTGAAGCGAACTCTTCCAATTTCTTTATATGTTATAATATATTTAAATACCAAAGCTTCGTTTACTTGCATTTGTATGCCTTTGCGTGTCCATATGTCATGTGCATATATATATATATACACATACATACAAGGGATTAACGCATATCTTGCAAAATGAAATGCATGACTATCTTATTTACGTATGTATCTGTATATAGTACAATATAGCCTATAGTGGTGTATGCATTAATGACACATACATAATTTGTTGTGGTATGCCTCTTGCCCCTGGGCCCTGGCCTATTTACAGAATTGCATAGTAGTAGCTCATGTTTCTTGAATTATGTTGATCGTTGTTGTGGGTCGAACTGATCAGAAAGAGTCAATTGAAAACTTTGTCACACGTCGGTGCTGGTTGACTACTGCACTAATGTGCTAGTACTTAGTACAAACTCAAAAATGTTGGTATTTAATGTGGTAGCCCCAAGGAAAAACCTTCGATTTGGGCATGGTCCCGCATATACCACTAATTTCAACCACAAGTGTGTCTCTGCTTTGCAGCTTTGGGTTTTCCGCATGATCAGAAACTAATCAAACAATTTTAGGCAGCAAGACCGTTGGGAATCAGCCCGTCCATGCTGAGTATCGAGCTGCCCCGGCCCTGGGTGTGGACATTGGCACAAGGGCCACGGAGGCGCACAAAGGCCCATGGGGAAACAAACATCATCAGCCCTGGTTCCTTACTGGTTTTGCCACATTACTAAAAAAAGTACATACTGTACAAATTTTGTTGCACAAAAAAAAACATCTTTTTTTGCTGGTCATGATTGATTTTCCATTTACCATCTGGTTATTTAACATAGCCATGGAAAATCACCATTTTAAATAGGTAAACCATCTATAAATGGGCCATTTTCCATGGCTATGTTAAATAACCAGAAGGTATAGCAAAAGACTTCAGACTTCATCCGGTTGGTTGGGGATGACTCTACCATGTACCTTTGATTGTCCTGGGTCCTAGACTTCACCACCTGGAGTAGCTGGAGTAGCTGGATCCCGGACGACCGCTACGCGTCAGCTGTACAACCGGCAAATAGACCTGCTGCTGGGGCCACATGGGGGGTTTCCATGGGGGATCCCCAATAGCTGGATGGTTTGTAATGGAAAATCCCCAAAAGAATGGATGATTTAGGGGCACCCTTTTTTCCAGGAAACCTAATGGCAACCTCTAAATAGCGTGTGAGTAATTGACATGGGCTAGGACCATTCGTATTGGGCTATGAACAGGCGATGATATCATAAACAAATATAAACAAATTATGTATACTATATAGTATGTTTATATGTATATATAAATATCAAATTATTCACAGCGCCATTTGTATTGGGCGATGACCCCCCCCTGCTGGGGAAATGTTGCTATCGCATCAATCGAAGCGTTGGTGATCTTGACGCACTTGAAGCAACAGCCAGATTAAGGATATTAGTCAAACATAGTCAAACTGGTGGCACCCCAAACATCCCAAAACTGCATGGTTGAGGTTGATGTCTAAATGTCTAGAAACACGAGGTACATTTAAAGATATTTAAAGACCTGCTGGTCCGCCAATGTGAAACCATGGCTGCCATTCCTTCCCGACCTTCGTCTTCGGCTGGGAGTCACCTGCCGCTTTTGGGCCCTAGGGATGACCACCCGAATTGCAACGAACAATGCAGCAATCATAAATCTAAAAGATTAGTGGATAAATATCTGATGGTCAATCATCCATATAATTAAAGATTAGGTATAACCACCAGCAATATCCAGCAATCATATCATGACCTAAAAGATAATATCATGCAAAACTGGTTGGTGGTTGACCTACCCCTCTGAAAGATATGAGTTCGTCAATTGGGATCATTATTCCCAATATAGTCCGGTTTGAACTCATTTTGTAGGCATTGCAAAAAGTTCCTAACTTCAGCCATTATAAAATGATGGTTCTCAACCTCCAAAGTTCCTATTTGAAGGGAAAACTCCACCACACTACAAAAGGAAGATTTGTTTTTATCATCAAGCTACTTGAAGGGGATACTCCACCACTACAAAATGAAGATTGGTTTTTATATGTTTTTTATCATCAGGTTACTTGAAGGGAACACTTCAGCACTACAAAATGACGATTGGAAAGGATATGCGTTTCACTGCTGGCTCAGATTGGGTTTTCACATGTTGACTTCCGAAGGGCAACTTCCCTTGCTACAAAATGAGATTGGGTTTTCACATGTTGCCTTCCGAAGGGCAACTTCCCTTGCTACAAAATGAGATTGGATTTTTGTATGTTGTCTTCCGATGGGCAAATTCCCTTGCTACAAAATGACTTTCGATTTTTAAAGGTCTTTCAACTACCGAAACGTTGAAAACTTATAAAATGCAATTCCCAAGCTGTGGCTACAAAATGCCTGGCCCAACCCCATTTTGGCATCTTAATTTAAGCCCGGAAATGCCCTTGATACGGGGCACAAGGCCTCCCATTCTGTAGTTGAAATTCGAACGGGGATCCCAATATATGGAAAAATAAAAAATGGTCCAAACCACCAACCAGAAAACTATTGCCTCCCTGATGATGGTACATTATCATGCAATCATAGCATCATAAACAAACATCAAGTTACATTTAGAAGTAAGAATGAATAATCATGAACCTGACAATCACAATCATTCCAACCATGGACCATGGTTGGTACCATGGTCAATATTCATCATCGTCAACCTGCTTATTAATAGTAACTCCCAAAGACGATAAACAAAAACCACACCCGGCCCGATCATCAAAGCGCCTCCGCTGATCCATCCGTTGGGCTTGGGATCCGGAACGTGGAGTGGCGAGCTGGTGCTCCACACCTGTCAACATGGGAGAACTAACATATAGATAATTAGCGGGTAAATTGTGGCTTAATAGTGGTTAATAGTGATTAGTAGTGGTTTATATATACTGGGTCATAATGGTGAAGAATGGCTAATCATCATCCATATATCTGGGTCAATTGTAATAATTCACTCGCCCGAAATAAGGCCCCACAAGACTTTCCGCGAAGGGAGGACTGTGTTCCACTAAGTGCTTCTCCTTGAAGCTGTGAGACGACATGAAATGAGGCAACTTCACATGTCAAAAATCAAATTATATATCCTCCTGAACTAAGGCCATATAGGGATAATTCCCCGAATCCTAACCATCATTGCAGTGAGGGAGAACAGTGAGGTCATATATATATATATATATAGCAACAGCAATTGATATTATATATATATATACTAATGACTATATTATACATAGTTACACTAGTGATAATATATTAATGGCTATATGACTGGAAAAGTTCTCGTGGTTATATCGATGGGCCTCAAATGGAGTGCACTGATGGGTAATCAATCATACAATATCATACATAGTATTTAAGCAACCCCCTTTTTAAAACATATGGTACATTCCAATCTTTAAACAATGGTGATTGAGATTGAACCTGTTCGGGATCTTTTTGGGGGGTGATATACCCTGCTGAAGGTTAATGCCGGACTGGATAGTACATGAAATGTACTTAAATCATTGCACACATACATACATATATATATAATTATTATATGTATATATGCCAAAATAGACTGAATACTACTAGCCACAAAGAAGATATTTGATTCATTAGTGAACAGTCTGCCATCAGAATGTCGGCTATGTTCCAAAAATGGCCGATCTTGGATACCCTGTATAAAAATGTTCTAGCTGGTTCGTGCAATATATACACATATGTATGTATGTATGTATTCATATATATATATATATACATACATGTCATATAGCGTGTGGATTTGTTTCGCGGTATGTATCAATGCATACCTGGAGCGTACTAATATATATATATATAATGCACATATCATGCATGTAAAACTGCACAGGTTTGTAGCTTGTAAACATGATCCACTTATCATGGCTAATCTCTTGCTTCAGAACATATGGCTGGGTAGTGCATTCCACCTTTGTAGTAAAAAAAAATACTGTAGCTGAATAACCTGCTGAACCAAGGTTTTGTTTCATCCTACTGTTCTTTTTCCGATGCCTCTGTCCGCTGGAGCGATGGCTTTCCTGAAAATGGTCGTCCACGTGACGCCCTGGCGACTGCCAGAGACTCCAAAATGGTAAGGGTATGGATCCACATCGGTTACCCTCAAAAATTGGATGGTGAATACCAAAATATACCAAAATATGTGGATCCAATATACATGGTATATTTTGGTATATTTTGGCAAAATGGCACAAATGATGAATACCAAAATATATTTGGGTCATTGGTCTGACATTCTTCAAGTTGAACACATTGCAGTGTTGCTGGGATTCCGAGAACGGATGAGGATGATTTCTAATATGTGTAGTGTAACCCCCTACCCTCTGGTAAACTAACATAGCTATTGAAAATGGTGATTTATAGTGGATTTTCCCATTAAAAATGGTGATTTTCCATAGTTACGTTAGTTTACCAGAGGGTATATTACAATCTAATTATACCATCCCCCCTAACAAAGACCATGCCAGTAGAGGTTGGAAGACTACTTTCATCTTAAAAAGGCTATATAATATACGGGTCATCGGTGCCTTGTGTGCCTGCGCTCCCAAGTCATGGAAAAGGAATTGGAGCTGCGAGAATCTACTAAATACAGCTCAATTGAGGTTTAAGGACAATGTACAGGAAGTGCGCGGTCTTATCCCCAATATATCTGTATGTATGTAAATATATACATTATATATATATTTATTATATATGCATACATTTCCTGCAGGGTTCCCCAAAAAATATGGGACTGCGACTATCTGCACATGTTAAACCAGCATAGTGGCAGCACTCAAAGCCCACTACTGAAAGGATATGCTCTATCTGTCTCTATTCATGTTCTATTTACATGCATGTGATTTCAACACATACATACGTGGTATTGAAGACATGCAAAATCGCAGCTCCCTCTGTTGTTTTTCAACCCACAAAAGCTGTGCTAAAACATCATCCCCGTAGCACCTTGTAGGCATAGGCTATGGCTGCAAGTTCTCGATGGAATCCCCTGCACAGCGGGCGCTCAATTTGAAAACGTGCAGAAAACCATGGAAAAACCATATTATATATACGAGTACCTGGAACCTCCAACGGGAAGAATTTTCTTGTAGTTCTTGTGTTTGCCTAAATCGCTAAGTCTGTTGTGCAAACAACTATCTTGACAAGAATTACCTATTCCCATGGTTTGAGCCTGCTTGCAGCCATTCTACAACTTTTGGTACAGCAGTTTATCTCAAGACTTGCTCCGCAGAGCACCGAGGATCAAGGTATATTATATATATATATTACATATATTATATATAACATAATATATATATATATGTATACAATATTATATATATATATATTATAGATAATTATTTATATATATATATATATTGGGAGCAAAAAAATACTGTAGGTGATTATCCTGTAGATTTTCCCCCAGCACCCATTGATAGTTCTCAAGTTATCATGTGGAAGTGGTGATCTTCGATCCCAAGCTGAAATCTTTAAAAAGTTACTAGCAGCTAAAAGCCCTCAAAAGATGCGGAGGTTATGGCCATGAATATACTAGTGTGGTTGCCACTATTGTATATTATTGTAAGATTGAATCTCAAGTTGGGGGATGACATATGATGATATATAACTATAGTATATAACTATAGTGACATCTATAGTTTCGAAATGTAACTAGCCCCTCCGAATGATTTCCCGACCCCAGAGCCTGCACTGGCCATGGCCATTGTGGAGCCCCTGTGCTCACAGCCACTTGAGCCAAGCAACAAGCGAAACACATCCTGCAAACCACCTTCAGGGATCCAAGTAGAGCCAAGATAAGAATAAATTGACAGACAAAAAGGATGTTTGTTGTTTGGCATACCTATTTATTTGCATAAGAATATATATATATAAATATCGAGATATGTATATATATATATATAACCATTTGATAATATATATATATGGTTGTATGTATGCAAATGAAAATATATAGTATCATTTATCAACCACGGATTAGGATCTCGACAAGATCCATGGGCCCCGGCTTCGCACCACTGGCCGTGCTGGGGTGCACACAGGAGCTGCTTCCAACTTCAGTTGTTCTCTCACCTGCCAGAGCCATGGCTATCGGTCCACCCTGGTAACCTGGTGAACCCCAGAATGGGCGGCATAGCCGGATCCCCCAACATATCGTATGATAGATGTTGATCCAATCTTCTTTGAATGATTTCACATGATCTAACCAACTTCCAAATGAATCCTGAAAGTTCACCCAAGCAACACCTGGCTTTGCCAAAACATGTTCGTTCCAGGCCGCTCTTGGAGGTCCATGTTTGGAAAGGTGGGTCATCACCCCTGCCAGACCCCTGCTTCCACATGCATTTTGCAGGAAAGCTGACAGCCATGTGATCCCTAACTATAAATAGGATAACTCTCAAAGTCAGGGACTTCCACCAGAACTATTGCCCAGTGTCTAAGTGGGAAGCACAGCTAAGCAGTGCCGAAAACCATGGGTCTGGGTCATCGGATGAAAATGGTTCCCAGTCATTGTTGGTGCATCTGCTAATTTTTTTGGTACTGACCCACCCACACCATCACTTGAACAGTCACACTGTCACACACATATATATATTATATATATAGCATTATATAGCATAACTTACATCACCAACTTCATACTTGTAAAATCACAAGAGATGAAGTGGACTTGCCCAAGTGAATCATATGACTCCTTGGTGCTTCACCCACCTCAGCAAGTTAGCAAGAAGTTTATCTTGCCTGATTAACTGGAGGGATGAAATAGGCTTGGTCCACTTGTAACTGGGGCGTAACCGCTGTGGGTTGGTGGCACTGGGAAAACTCCCCATTGCTCGATGAGGATTGTTGGAAAGCTTCTGCACTACCGCACTGGAAAATCTCTATATGACTCTATATATCATCTATATCTCTGTCAAGCCGATCTAAGAGGGTACCATATTACGTACCATATTACGTACATTCACCTCGATTTTCCATGATATTCCGATCTATTCCCGATGCAAATTGCCATAAATTGCCCCAAAAAAATGTGGCCTTGCAGCGCCAGGGGAAGTCCGCGCTGTCATTGGGCGAAAGCTCCTTATGTGAGCCGGTCCTCGGCGAGACCATACCCAGTAGGATGGGATGAAATTTGGAGATGTGGAACCTCGATGAATCCACTGGATGAATTTGGATTACAGTATGTGGGAAAACCCACTCCGTGAAAGTGGTGAACAGGTCACCTGTTCCGCCTGTTCCTTTTCTTTTTTTCCCGACAAAAAGTTAGCCTGCAGCGGTACCTTTTCTGCATGGAAAAGCCAGGGGAAAACCATGATAAAATGATCTATATTCATGCTCAGTCGCTAGTTTTCCATTGCAAGGATATCATATCAACCCATGTCAACCCCACATCAATAAGCTCGGTTCACTGTTGCTTGATTCGGGGGCTTCTCCAAAAAGGGATATAATATGATTTCATACATAAATTAACTAAAAATGGGACCCACCCTGTTGATAAGCTGGGGGTTAGCAATCCTGGTATGACGTTAATGGGAATATTCGCTATAATGAATGATTAGCCGGCAATACTGCGTAGCACAGAAATTATGGTGACAGTAGTACTGTGAATGGCGTAGGGTGATACTGCGAACACATGTTTCATATGATTTCATATCGCAGGGTTTGGAGCAAATCGATTTTGATTGGAAAATCTATATAATTTGTCTATAATTTAAGGGTTTGTGGTGGCTGTGTCCAATTTTTTAACAACCAATAAACGGAATCACGACACCCACAACCATCGGTTGAAACTCACGTGATGCGTGAAATCTGAAACAACAAAATGCACATGTCCCAAACCCTGCCAAAGGGTCAAGAGTTGGAGGTAAAGAGATTAATTCGATTTGCAAAACCTTCACAGCTTAGGATAATTCTTGGGACAGGAGATAATGAGAAATCATAGATAATTGTGGTTTCTGCATGCTTTTGCATGATTGTTTACTATCATTTTTGAGTCTAATCGCAGATCTTCCCTTAAATTACTCCTGGGACAACCTTGGAAAATAATCGTAGGGACCATTGGGGACCCATCAATTGCGGTCGTTGTCTGTTTCAAGCATCCCATGTTTTTTGGGGAACTTAAGTGGGACCCTGCTCTGGTATGCGCATGGGGGAAGATTTGGGACGACCAGATGTCAGAAGCCATACATTTCGGTCATAGACTGCCCCCTTCATATCTTGTAGCAACATGTCATTTTGGCATGCGCAGCCCATGCCCATTTTGCAGCTCCAATTGCCAGATTCGGAAAGTTGAGGTCCATGATGGCAACGAGGACTTCTTGGTTGCTGACAAGGGTACATAGGGGTCATGAAGTGAAACACCAAATGCGGTCCGCACTTTCAACATGCGTCACCACTCAAAAACAAAAAAAATCTTGAATCCGGGGTTTGTTCCTGGGAAACCCTTTGAATTGTTTTGCTCATGGCCGCATGGCACACCAGACACCTCATATCATTTGATCGTAGTTGCATGAAGTCAAATGCATGCAAACAAACCATCATTTTGATTGGCCTCAGCTCCAACCTATGCTGTCGCTATGTAGACACACACACACAAACACCCACACACACGCACACATCTACTACCATCTACTTTGCTTGTGCTCAACAACAACATCCATGAGGAAATATGCTACTTGAAAAGGTAAGTAAAAACTTGAGGTTGTCACATAACTGCAACTAGTGGAACAGCAGGATCATTCAGTATTTCTCGGTCAATGGACAGAAGTAGCCAAATGGTCCATGTAAATAAGACCCAACCGTCAGAGATGTTTTATATACCATGTCATACCATGTCTAAAACATCTATATACAACCGACGTTTCAGATGTTACAAAATCCTCAAGACACTTCTCAAATGGTGAAAAGGTGCCAACACTTCAAAACTCCAGCAGGTGAAACTGCACAGGAAACCCGTCACACTCAGAAAACTGTTCACCAGCACCTACGGAATTGCAGCGGACTGGCAGATTGGCGGCTCATTTTTCGTGAGCACCCAACTCTTCGATTTCTGGTTCGATGATGTTCGATGTATATAACTATATAACAGTCCTACTGGTATATGTACATATTATATATGTACATATCGCAGGTGACATAGATATACATGATATACATAGATAGTGACTATGAAACTTAGCCATGCGAAATATGCTAGTACCAAAGGGGCCAAATTTCCAGATATCCAAAAACTCTTCGTGGTTTGGATCATCAGCCGGCAGATGGAAATACATGGAAAGATGATGCTGCTGATTGAAAGCACCAACCAAATGAGCAATCGCTATTCACTACTCACTAGGATTCTCATATATAGGCCATTATAAGCTCGATGAATGAAAATAAATCATTATAATCCTAGAAATGGAACCATGGCAGCAAGGCGGGATGGTTTCATCACAACTTCACCTCCACATACCCACTCGTCCTCTTTTTTTCAACCGGATATGCAAACCTTTGGCATCTTCTGCCATGACCAAAGCACAAGCTAGACAAACAGCGCGCAGCAGCTCGACTCTGGCTTCGCCACAAGAGTCACAAGAGCCAGACAACCTGCAGCTTCCCATCACGTTGAATCTTCCCAGCCATCTAGATCTTGATCTTGCTGTGTTCATCCATTTTCCAAAAATATCGTCACATCATCGATGATCATCGCAGCAATCACCCCAGGGATCTCAGCTCCAGATCCCAAGCGTCCCAGGCACGTTGACGTTGCCACTGGTCATGTTTCAAGGTCGTAGAAGAAGTCCAATGGCGCCGGCTGCCAAATGCACAACGCATCATCTGCAGGATCTGCAACCTGCCAGGAAGGCAGTCCAAGCTGGGAATATCATGTCAGTGAAATTGTGGTAGCCACGGTCGTAAGTTAAAATATAAATTACCATTTCATACATGCACAAATATATGTATATATATATATATGTGTGTGTATGTATGTGCGTGTGTGTGTGTTAAATGTGTATATATATATATACAGTATACATATATATATATATATATTGAATATATATATATATGTGTAATTATATATATATACATACTGATACAAAAACTGATGGAAAACCAATTGCTTTCTTCGAGTGATCCCCACCCTGCGACATTATTCTGACATAGTTTCAACATACCATCTCGAAGTAATTATATTTTGACACTCCGTCTGACATTCTTTCTGGCATATGCTTATTGGCATTCTATCTCGCATCTTTTCGGGCATTCATTCCGACATATGTTCTGACATTCTCATTCTATTCTGACGTTCTTTCTGCCATTCTTTCTGGCATGCTATCTGAGATATGTTCTGACATTCTATCTGCCAGACTTTTTGACCATTCTATACCATTCTAATTGACATATTCTGACATTCTGTCTGGCATTCTGTCTGGCATTCTCTCCGGCATGTGTTCTGGCCCAGGTATGCCCAGCTGCTCAGGATAGGGTTCGGGTCCAGGCGTGCTCCACTGCATCCGGAGCTTGCGAAATGGCTCGCAACAAATGAAACCCAGAGTCACGACGAGCTGCAAAAGGAGCACACCAGGAGGAAAGGAAAAGAAATAGGAGTAGAAGGAAGAGAAGGCGGAAGAAGAAGAAGAAGCAGAAGACGAAGCGGAAGACGAAGACAAGAAGGAGAAGGAGTTGCACCTTTTTTAAAATCTAGAGACCCGCGGGGAATTTTGGGACCTACAGGTCAACCACAAGCACTTTAAAAAATTACACGATTGAACCTGCCAGAGCGAGTTGGGTCTTCCAATCTTCTGATATCAAGCAGTTTTTCACCGGAGAATCTTGATGTATTTTGCGGAATTGGAAGCTATCATGTGTAGGTGCCATGTTGGTTTAGCATTATGAATTCAGTGGCCATTTCAGGTACCTAAGTTGGAGGTACCTAGCATGTATAAGGCCTATGTAAGGGCTATGTGAGGTAATATGCCAAAAATATGGCTTTCTGTGGTACAGTACCTCCATATATTAGAATCCTGAAATTCCCATTGATAAATTGTCCGCTTTGCCCATGAACTCATCAATGTGGAAGTACGTTCCATGGGCTGATGACCGGTGGATGGGGCGGCACAATGTGGCACATGGCTACAAAAATGCAAAGATTTGTCTTCCTATGCATGCATGTCTCTCTTTGTCCTTCGCCTTTAGACAAAGGCGGCCTTTTTATTGTGCAAATATATATATATATATATATTATTGTATTACGTTATAACACATAATATCATACTATACTATATTAAATTATTTTTTATATATTATATAATATTACTTATATATATATTATATATTTATATTACATATAACATTATAATATATATATATGGTATAAAATAATATAACATATACAATATTATATATAAAAAAAAAAATATGATATATTAATATTATATATATGCACGTATAAGTATTTACAAAATATAGTCATGAGGAAGCAGTTGTATGCATGCATATCTGTGTATAATTGTGTATGTATATATATAAGCATATGTATACACGTGCATTCATATTATACATATAATATATATATATATACATACATAATATCATATAACATATATCATATGTCCTATAGTTTTATATGCAAATAGACATGTCTGTGTGTGTGCTATAAAAATCTTCCTGCAAGATTGCCAGCCCAAAAAAAAACCAGACCTGAGGTAATCCACCAGAGACTTTGGACATTGGAGTCTGGAAGTCTGCCAGCATCCAAGTACCATTCACCATGTAAAAGCCATAGAGGTAGGGGCAAATCACCTCAACTTGCGTTGCACCCTGATGAAACGGGTTGTTCCCTACACTTTCATGATCATGTGTGCACAGGCTTTTGCCTAACGGTCCGGTCAGGGTGACACTACATGACACTACCAGATTAAGTAAAATGCGGCCAAAACGGCGGGACTTCGCTACCTCAACCTATGGCTTTTGGGCTTCAAACCATTCCAGATCCCTGTTCCATTGAAATGTTCATGCACCTATGGGGCCTGCAAATAGGCTGCACAGCATGAGGCTAAAACGTGTCTTAATTACTTCTGGGAACCAGAGGGCCTCAAAAGCCAGGGCTCCAAGAAAATAAAACATTTAAAATTGATCAAAATAGATGAAAACAACTTGTAACTTGCAACTATATAATTTAATAAAGAAAATATGTATTTCATTATATATACAGGTATTTTTACACAAATGCACATGTAATACAAAAAGTATGATTTACAAACATACGCCCACACACAAACATATTTAGATATATTTACATTACATATGTCTATACAATTCTATACACATATTGTGGGTAAACACATCTATGTAACATAAATATGTCTGTTGCAAATCCTTTCTACCGAGATATCTCTTCCAACTGTACGGGTCGATTTAATTTGCACCGAAGGATCCGGAAATATCCGGAAGCCATCGGGAATTTTTGGTGAAGCAAAAGCCACCAAGGCACCCTGAGTTGTGATACCAACACTGCAAGTTCCTCATCCATCCTTGGCTACCCACAACGGGAATGGTCAATGTGAAGTTCGAGCTCGAATATGTTTGCAGTTCCTCAAAGCTCCCCAATAAATGGAGGTTTGAGAGAATCATCTATAAATGGTGGATTTTCCATTGCCATGTTTGATTACATGAGGGTAATTGTGGGCACAGGAGCAGAATTTCAGGGGTCCTGAACTACAGCGCAACTAGCACATGTACCTTGGTGACTGTTTAGCTTCAAGGCTGGGGCTACTCTAGCTTTCCGAGTGATGCTGGATCAATGAGTGACACAAGATGACAAAAGCCTGGTCGTGCAATCTAAGGAGAATGAACCGAACCCTTGAAGCATTGCCTTTGAGCTAGAAGCTCCCTAACCAATCATCACACAAGTCTATGTATCCAGTGACAACAACAATATGTGCAAATCCCAAAGTCGCTAAGCATTCACTCAGGGTTTCCAACCCCTGGATTAATAACCCCTAGTTCATTTAATTACAGTATATACTATGGATTCCACCCCAAACAAATGCCGCTAAAATTGCACCGGGCCAATTAAACAGCCTTGAACGCTTCGGCCCCTTCTGCTGTATCTGCCGGGTTTCAAGGCATATGGATGTAGCGAGACCAGCAGCACGGGTCGGGTTTGCTTCAAGAACTCCGCGAGGGCTGGGATGATGTCGCGCTCACTGCCTTCCTTGCACCAGCCACTTCTAAACTATCATAATGGTAAAAACATGCCACAAGTACTGAAACAATGTCGCACCCCTCCAGGTATAACTCCCAACAGGAACGCAAGGTGTTGATGAATAAGGGAAGGGATTCTGACAACTGGTGACTGGGAATGGAATGGCCGCAGCGAAGTTTCCGAAAGTCTGAATCTTTTCCAGCCGTTCAATTTCCGAGGTATGCGCTACAGCACGACGAACATCACCAAACTCCCCAAAAATAACCAGAAATCCAAGTCCGGAACCTCATGTTCCTCCCAAAAAAATCAAAAAAAACGTGTTTGGCCAGTGTCTGGCCAGGCAGCGGAAAAAATCATCATCTTTTGGGCATTCCATTCCCAGAATTAGCCAAGCAGCTGCGTCGATTTTCACCAAGGAGACTTCTTCCAGATCCGGAAAGGCTGACAGCAACTCGCGGATGTCCCACATGCTGGTGAGGCTGCCACCAGCCATGGCCACCTGATCCTTGTCCAGCCGGTGGGTTTTACATGGGATGAAAATCCATGAAAATCCTACATCAATGGGTTGTTGAATGAGAAAATGACATCGAAGTAAATGTGGTTTCTTTAAATGGATTTTCCAGCGAGCCATGTTTGATTACCAGAAGGTAGATTGATATGGGTATAGATTGGAAGAGTACAGGTGTAGATGTAGACATGGATATACCTGTAGTGCAGACAAAGATGTAGATTCAGATATTGACATAAATGGGCAATGAAGCTAGAGATTCAGGATGACGAATAAAACAAAAATAGAGATACAAATGATAGAGGTAGATATACAAATGGATGGATAGATTGATAAATTTGTAGGTTCTAATTACTCTTGAATCATGCCCAGTGCCAGTCAATGTCAAATTTCATGTTTCACTATTATGACAAAATCAAGTTCTTCAACATTCAGACGTGCTGGCGATTTCCAGAATACAATCAGTCTTACATGTGTTCAGACTAATCTACTCTTACCGAAGTGGTAATCAAAATGGGAAAACCACTATGAGACATCCAGTATGTAAATAAATATGCACACACACACATATATATATATGTACGTGTGCAAGCATGTATCAGGATAAATGCGCGCACAAACACACACACACGTGCATATATATATACACACTATATCAAGTCTGTGATTTTGCTGGCTCCCGACCATCCGAATATGCCAAACCCCATGTTTTGTGAGTTCATATCATCTCTCTACTGCATTTGTTTGGTTTAATCAGCGATTTGTTTCCTTCAATCAATACTTCCAAGGTCTATCTTCAAATTTGTTGGTCAAATCCCACGATTTTCTACTTACTTCATTTGGCCCAGTATTTTTTCACGCTCAAACATCTACAAACATCTACAAACATTGGTATACCTTACAAAAATTGTGTGTGTGTGTGATATGTGTGTATGTAAAATACATATATATATATATATAGAGTAATATATACATAATACCTATATATATATATATAAATTATATTTAATAAATATATAGTTATTGTACATATCTCTGCGTGAATGAGCATCCCAACCAGCCTCAGTTTTTTTGGCCCCGTCCCGGGCCAGGCACCGCTGAGTCTCCGTAGTTGGTCATGTGCACGAAGCCTCGTCGAGGGCCCAGGGCTGCGCGAAGGAGCGACAAACGGTGCCGCCTGGTGCTGAGCAATCTCCAGGCCACCGGTGCCACCAGCAACCCCCCAAGTTAAGATGAAGTGAATTTGGATGGAATTGGTCAAATATGGTCAAATCATGTAAAATCCAATCCGAAAATTGTGGTATATAAATTGACGCGTTTCTGCATCTTTTTGGGTGCTGCATACAGAAAGTACAGATTTAATCATAGAAAATGGATGGATTTAGCAAAAAAAATACACATAACAAGCAAGGGTTCAGGTTCAACCATCAAACATTCAGAAACAACATCAAAAATATGAATCCAGCAATCAACAATCATTAGGATCTAACCGGACAGAACACAGATACTTGTAGAAAAACAAAAACACGTAGACCAGCATGAACCAACCATCAAATATAGGGATGTCAATGGAAAAAATGTGTTCCCCATCGAACATGCCCATCGAACATGCATGGGCTCAACAAACAAAAAAATAGGGTTTCAAGATTTTAACTATCAAATGTTAGATTTTAGATGATTTTAGCATCAAAAACATGGATTTAATCTTCGAAAATCTGGTTTTAGGGCCAGAACAATGGGACACATGCAGTGAAGCGCACCGCGTGAAGCCAATGGCTTTGGTTTGACTCCTTCGCAATGGTTTGACGGCATGCCAGACGTTCTTCCTAGCTGTGTTGCCGTCCTGGATGTTAGTTCTGGATGTTTGCTTGCCATTTTCGTACTTGTCTTTTCTTACGGTACGAAGTAGCTGACGCTGCTCGTTCCCTCCGCAAACACAAGGTAAAAAAGGTCCAGTTGTGTGCACCCAAGGGATCATGCTAGCTGCTAGAGCGATGGCGATGTCTCACATTTTTAAATTTTGTAGGTTGCACCACAGCTGAGACCAAAGAACTGTTCGCTCTGTGTCTTGTGTGCAAATGCTACCTGCTTGCTCTCCAACTGTCTAGATGGAAAGATGAAGAACTAGATAGCTGGATGGGTGAAATGCTTCGGTCCTTAAATGGGTAAAATGGATAGCTGGATGAGCAGATAGATAGCTAGATGGATGGATAGACCGCAAGACGACAGACAGACAAAAGACAAGGAAATGAACAGATCTCGAAAGAGAGAATTAGAACGAAAGATAGACTGATGGACACATAGACAGAAATAGAATGATGGATGGACGGCTGCATAGACAGATAGAGAGCTAAACAGACGGATGGAAAGACAGAGAAATGGATAGGTTGACAGACAGATAGACCAGTAGACAGAAAAGAAAAATAGATAGATGGATGGATAGATAGATAGACAGATGGATGTCGGCATTCCAACCATCTTTCGGTCCATCAGTGGATTCGCTCTGCCATCCGTGATTCACAACATTCAATCTCTCCTATAGGTTTCCTATTTTTGAAACTTCCGCCACCGCCTTGTGCGGTACTACTGCTAGTTTTTTCCTATTAAAAATGGTGGCTTTCCATAGTTATGCTTGTTTTTTCCTATTAAAGATTGTGTGTTTTCCTATTGCTGCGCAGGGTCTCGGGGTGATACCAATCTAAATGAGCATCACACCGCTTTCAATGAGATGAAAAGATGACAGCCAAACTTGCATAGACGCCTCCTGGGATTTTCATCAGGTAGACCTAATTAAAATATGTGCATCTAATTTGGGTTTGTGGAGCCCCTCAACTTTCATCAAACCCCACTGGACCGGCTCGGCGTCTATAGTATCGTGTTTGATACCACTTCCGCCAATTGGAAGCACGGGCTGCAGGCAGGAGGAGAGCATCGACAGGATGTATTATCCATGAGACACACGGCAATGAAAGATCCAAGGTAAAGTTTAAGGTTGGATTCACCCGCTTTTTGCATGGCTGCTTTAGAAAATAATCATTCAGGATCTTTCGTACTTCGGATGCGTTTGGAAGTCACGGCAAGTGACCCCTGTGTTAGGGGAATTGACAGCATAGCTTCGGTGAAGCCTCATTTTCTTTGTGCGAATGCCAGGCATGAGTCGTTCACCTGTGATTGATTCCAATTGCAGTATTGCGGATGCAAGCGATTTGACCTCTGCCCCAAGGGTAGAGTGTCTGCTCAACTGTGGTTGTATCGACGGTGATTGCCATTCTTTTACTTTAGGGATGACAGGCACTGGTGTATGCAAAGCCGAGATTAGTTTAAAACTTAAAAATGGTGCTTTTCCATAGTTATTCTAGTATTTTCCTATTAAACATTGTAAAAATTGAGGTTGTCCATAGTTATACTAGTTTTTTCCTATTAAAAATGGTGGTTTCCCCTTGGTTATACTAGTTTTTTCCTATTAAAAATTGTGATTTTCCTATTAAAAATTGTGCTTTTCCATAGTTATGCTAGTTTTTTCCTATTAAAAATGGTGGCTTTCCATAATTATGCTAGTTTTTTCCTATTAAAAATTGCGTTTTTCCTATTAAAAATTGTGCTTTTCCATAGTTATGCTAGTTTTTTCCTATTAAAAATGATCGTTTTCAATAGTTATACTAGTTTTTTCCTATTAAAAATTGTGATGTTCCTACTAAAAATTGTGATTTCCCATAGTTATACTAGTTTTTTCCTATTAAACATGGTGATTTTCCATAATTATGCTATTTTTTTCCTATTAAAAATTGTGTTTTTCGCTAGTGTTTTTCCTATTAAAAATGGTGGCTTTCCATAATTATGCTATTTTTTTCCTATTAGAAATTGTGTTTTTCCTATTACAAATTGTGATTTCCCATAGTTATACTAGTTTTTTCCTATTAAAAATGGTGGCTTTCCATAATTATGCTAGTTTTTTCCTGTTAAAAATTGTGTTTTTCCTATTAAAAATTCTGCTTTTCCATAGTTATGCTAGTTTTTTCCTATTAAAAATGGTGGCTTTCCATAATTATGCTAGTTTTTTCCTATTAAAAATTGTGATTTTCCTATTAAAAATTGTGATTTTCCATAGTTATGCTAGTTTTTTCCTATTAAAAATGGTGGCTTTTGCATAATTATGCTAGTTTTTTCCTATTAAAAATGGTGCTTTTCCATAGTTATGCTAGTTTTTTCCTATTAAAAATTATGGTTTTCCATAGTTATACTAATTGTTTCCTATTAAAAATTGTGATGTTCCTACTAAAAATTGTGATTTCCCATAGTTATACTAGTTTTTTCCTATTAAAAATGGTGGCTTTCCATAATTATGCTATTTTTTTCCTATTAAAAATTGTGTTTTTCCTATTAAAAATTGTGCTTTTCCATAGTTATGCTAGTGTTTTTCCTATTAAAAATGGTGGCTTTCCATAGTTATGCTAGTTTTTTCCTATTAAAAATTGTGTTTTTCCTATTAAACATGGTGATTTTCCATAGTTATGCTAGTTTTTTTCCTATTAAAAACAGTGGTTTTCCTATTAAACATGGTGCTTTTCCATAGTTATGCTAGTTTTTTCCTATAAAAAATTGTGTTTTTCCATAGTTATGCTAGTTTTTTCCTATTAAAACAGTGATTTTCCTATTAAACATGGTGCTTTTCCATAGTTATGCTAGTTTTTTCCTATTAAAAATAATTGTTTTCCATAGTTATGCTACTTTTTTCCTATTAAAAATGGTGCTTTTCCATAGTTATGCTAGTTTTTTCCTATTAAAAACATTGATTTTCTTACTAAAAATTGTGATTTCCCATAGTTATGCTAGTTTTTTCCTATAAAAACAGTGATTTTCCTATTAAACATGGTGCTTTTCCATAGTTATGCTAGTTTTTTCCTATTAAAAACAGTGATTTTCCTATTAAACATGGTGATTTTCCATAGTTATGCTAGTTTTTTCCTATTAAAAACAGTGATTTTCCTATTAAAAATTGTGCTTTTCCATAGTTATGCTAGTTGTTTCCTATTAAAAACAGTGATTTTCCTATTAAACATGGTGATTTTCCATAGTTATGCTAGTTTTTTCCTATTAAAAACAGTTATTTTCCTATCAAAAATGGTGCTTTTCCATAGTTATGCTAGTTTTTTCCTATTGAAAACAGTGATTTTCCTATTAAACATGGTGCTTTTCCATAGTTATGCTAGTTTTTTCCTATTAAAAACAGTGATGTTCCTATTAAACATGGTGATTTTCCATAGTTATGCTAGTTTTTTCCTATTAAAAACAGTGATTTTCCTATTAAACATGGTGCTTTTCCATAGTTATGCTAGTTTTTCCTATTAAAAACAGTGATTTTCCTATTAAACATGGTGCTTTTCCATAGTTATGCTAGTTTTTTCCTATTAAAAACAGTGATTTTCCTATTAAAAATGGTGCTTTTCCATAGTTCTGCTAGTTTTTTCCTATTAAAAACATGGATTTTCCTATTAAAAATTGTGCTTTTCCATAGTTATGCTAGTTTTTTCCCATTAAAAACAGTGATTTTCCTATTAAAAATTGTGTTTTTCCAGAGGACATGGAAACCTCCAACCCCACCGGACCTGTCTGGATTCTTGGCAACGTGCTTTTGCATCTCCTCGAAGGCCGCTTCGGCGGGTTCCAGGACCACCACCTGTTGGATTCGGCAGGATCTGGGGGGTTTCCATCAATGGATTGGTTTAAGGGAAAATCTACAGGAAACCATGGTTTTTACCATTAAATATGGGGCTTTCCTGTAAATTTTCCCATCATCCAATTCTATGATTTCCAGAATTTTCCATAGATGGGGTAGGAAAATCACAATTTTCATAGGAAAATCAATGAACATCACCGTTTTTTAAAAGGGAAACATTAGCATAACTATGGAAAATCACAATTTCAAATAGGTGAAACAACTATTTCTATGGCCATTTTCTATGGCAAACTGTTAGTTTACCAGAGGGTAGTCATGGGGAATCCCCCATAGCTGGATGGTTGGGAAATCCGAAAATCACATGGATGACTAGGGCACCCCGTCATGGATTGGAAACCCATGCAAGATATGGATTCAACCGTCGAAACTCTGGATTTAACCATGGATATGATTTTTGTACAGGTGGAACCATGGTAAATATGGGTTTAACATGGTGTAACTATGGAAAATAGTGTTTTTCAACTATCGAAATTGAGTCTATAAAAACTATGGCTTGAAAATTGACCATCAATGATGAATCAAGATAGGTACTACATTTGGGGCCTTCTTTTGCAGGATATATCAACAATTTGGGTTTGGGCCGCAACGTGATTCCACCGTTTGGTGCTTAAATCCATCTTGAACCCTGGTAACATCACCATTTCTTCGGGATGAAAAAAATCACCCTGTGGTAAACGTTTACATAGCTATGGAAAATCACCAGTTCAATAGGTAAAACCAGGTAAATCAACTAATGTTGGATGGACAATAGTAAAGCGCGTGCAATAGCTACAAATAATTTTCAGAATCTGATTTTTCAGCCCCTATTGATTTTAAATTAGGCCTTATTGATTTTAAATTACAAACATCAACCTTGGTCCAGAGCATCTGCAATAAATGTGGTTCATTCGCAATAGCTACAAATAATTTTCAGAAAATTGAAAATCCCCAAATTATCAGACTTTACAATACTAAATTGCAAAGGAGCTAATTGAGATTTAGTATGGATGCAGGAAAAAAATCAGAACCAGTTACAGTGTATTTTTTCCCTTCTTCCTTAGTGTTTTTAATTGTGGTTGAATGGTTTTTTTAATTGTGGTTGAATGGTTTTAAATTGTGATTGCATGCTTTTCAAAAGCAAAAAAACAAAGCAAACCTTTACCAAATCAAAAACTTTACCTTGTTCAACAAAGCTGTTTTCTTTATTAAAATCCTTCTAAAAAATTGCAAAAAACAGGTCCACAAAGGGTACCCCCTTGCAGGCCCTTGCATTTGCAATTAGAAACTGGAATTAGCACTTGCAATAAGAAACAACCTTCCTGGCTCTAGCAGGCATTTTTTTTCCCTTCTTCCTTAGTGTTTTTAATTGTGGTTGAATGGTTTTAAATTGTGATTGCATGCTTTTCAAAAGCAAAAAACAAAGCAATCCTTTACCAAATCAAAAACTTTACCTTGTTCAAAAAAACTGTTTTCTTTATTAAAATCCTTTTAAAAAATTGCCAAAAACAGGTCCACAAAGGGTACCCCCTTGCAGGTCCTTGCATTTGCAATTAAAAACTAGAATTAGCACTTACAATAAGAAACAACCTTCCTGGCTCTAGCAGGCATTTTTTCCCTTCTTCCTTAGTGTTTTTAATTGTGGTTGAATGGTTTTAAATTGTGATTGCATGCTTTTCAAAAGCAAAAAACAAAGCAAACCTTTACCAAAACAAAAACTTTACCTTGTTCAAAAAAGTTGTTTTCTTTATTAAAATCCTTTTAAAAAATTGCCAAAAACAGGTCCACAAAGGGTACCCCCTTGCAGGCCCTTGCATTTGCAATTAAAAACTGGAATTAGCAAGTTGCAATAAGAAACAACCTTCCTGGCTCTAGCAGGCATTTTTTTTCCCTTCTTCCTATCAGAATCCAATGAAGATCCCATCAGAGCCCATCAGAAAAGAGAGGATTTGTCAAAACCTTACAGAAGCCTTTGGGGAAGAGTTGGGATTTTCGATTTAAATTTACTATTGCAAAGCAGACCCCCCCCCTAAAAAAAAAAAATAGGGGGGGGACCCCCCTTTACTATTGTCGATGTAACATTATATATGGGGAATTGTCCATAGCTATGTTAAACTTTACTAGAAGGTACTGGGATCCAAAAAACAAGTTGATTACATGTATTCCCAAACAAAGCCAGCTCTCTAGCGCCTTCCTTGCAACGGCTGCCAGCCACACGGCTGTGGTGCCAATCCAGCCGCCCACGTCCAGAACTACTGCGTCAGGCCTGGACAATTTGGCGTTTCAAAGGAAACTTGAAAGGAAAACCCATCAAAATTGATGATTTGAACTTTTAAACATATGTTAACCATCAAAACTAGGATGTACCATCAAAAATAATGGAACACATGTTCTTTAACAGAAAACAACATCAAACATGGAGATTGATCCCACCAAACTGGATTTTCGATGGATTGAGTTGAAGGAGGGAGTACAATCTAGTTGCCATGATCCTACCATCTGTATATATATATATATTGGTTGTAATCTAGTTACCTAGTTGCGGAGTATCCCCAGCTTTTTGTATCAATGAATTGACTTGGGGGACATGAGGGACATGCGCACGCGTTTCAAATGCAATGTTTCCCTCTTTCCCATGAGTTAATACGGGCTTTAAGCCAGTTATTTTCACAAGCGGGATGTCTTCAGTTCTCTCTTCGTTTTTTTGCCTAAGGGTTGTGATCCAGAAACGACATGCCGTCTGCCGCCATGCACTGCCTCACAAAGTGACGGAAGACGTGGAAGGTGGTCGGTTCCCATCTTGGAAAGTGCCTCTGCCACCAATGCCTTGAGCGACTTTGAAGCGAGAACCAAGGACAAATATCCGGTTTGCGGGGTTGAGCCGCCCACCCCCATCACATCTTTGTCATCTTTGTCATTTCAACAGGGAATTCACTATCTTCCCCCCTCACTATCCCTCGCCATGTCATGACCCAAGGCCCACCATGACGCTTCTTCTCAGCCCCTCACCCATGACGTGCAGAGCTGTCGTAGTGGATGCTGACTCCAGCCTGGCGACCGGGAAGCAAGGTATTGATGGGGATCTCCTGGTCACTAGCCCCTCTTTTTTTTGGGCATAGTTCATGGTCTTTAATACCCTCAAGGGGTAAAACTGGATAAATGGGGAAGGCCTTTGTGATGTTTATACAGCCTGACTATCCATTATTGCCTATAATCATAGATTTTGGCAAATCTCATGGAACATATTGGTAAATATATCATACATCACGCAATACATGTAAAATGGGACATGAAATGGGCTGGTATTCGACGTCTGGTGGACCTCGTTTTTGGTAAATTTGTTGTTTTTGCTGTACACATCAGTAAATCATAAACCCTGTCTAGTCAGTTCACGTTATATTAAGATCTCTTCAGCACTGGTTGCCGACAAGAGATTGGCTTCGATATCAAAAATGGCCACATGTTGGAATCACTTCATGCTCTTGCATAAGCATCTTGATATCCAGCAGAAGGCTGGACTTCAAACAGGTTTACTACATTTTACTACTATACAGACTATACATGTCAAACTCACATCAAACCACCTGGGTTGCATCATCTGGCCGCGTGCCTTGACAACACATGCGCTTTCCAACGCGCAACTGGCCCACACCATGGAGCACCCATGCAGCGACTGGTCTCAGCAATGCTGAAGCAATATGACCTGAATATCTGTGATTTCAGGTACACCCTGGATCCAAAAGCCCAAGAGAATACACAAAAAAAAAACACGTCTCCAGAATCACAGGAGAAATTCCATGCTGATGTGGGATCCGTGCTTATGTCTCTAGATCAATCATCTGCGTCTGAAGCTGTTTGAGCAAATCATCGCAGCTGACTATGGTCCGGTTGCTGGCACTTTTGGCGGACAGGGGCAGCGGGATACCAGTGGGTAGTATATACATCATTGCATATCATTGCCCAGTCTGCACCTGACTCAGATTTCTGTCGTTCGTGTAGGTACCCGTGGCCATGAAACTTGACAATCAAAACTTACCCTCTTTACATTCATTCACAGAAATATTCCTGTGCCATCTTTGATCACAGCATCGCATGTGGTTATTTCCCCCCTACTAAAGTTGCCATTTAAATTGATTTGGGGATATATCATGGTATATCGTGGTATACGCCCTTTCTGACACACCCACCTTTTGAAATTCTCTGGCGGCAAGTCTTTCCAGCGGGCTGCGGCATCTTTGGCCACATCCACAATCATCATCATCATCATCATCATCACAAACCCAGGACGGGTGCACCATGAACTAGGCCTTCATGTTGTTGGGTAATTTTAACATGTGTTAACTCAGCCCCCCCCAAAAAAATAACAATGCATTAGCCAACCAGAATCATTGGGCTAATATGTAGGGATATTCTGCATTTTCACATGCAAAGAAATAAACATATGTATACATATATATTATACATCCACATAAAAGCATCTTTTTGAACAATACACACATATTCAATACTCGTTTCATACAGCAGGGGGAAAAGCTCTTGGAAGATGTCTTGGCCAGCCGTCGTGTGCAGCGGCCGTCACTGTGATCCGAAGTCCTTCTGCCATTCCAGGTATCCTGTGATGGGCAGCATGGGGTCGTCCATAGGGGATCCAGGATGCTATTTGTGGCCCGTGGCCATTTGACATCATTTCAGAGAACACATGATGATACCCTCTGGTAATTTAACATAGCTATGGAAAATCACCATTTTTAATGGGAAAATCCACTATAAATGGCCATGTTCGATAGCTATGTTAGTTTACCAGAGGGTAATCCTTGAGAATTGGGTGCCCCCTATTTTCATCTATTTTCAGTGTTCATTCCCGAGGCCCATGGACAGAAAACGACCACAGGGGAATGGTGCCATCACAATATACAAGTATGACATATCGAACTGGCAGGGCAATTAAATTTAAAACCACCAGCCTTCAACTGGCGCGATCCAGCCTACCATGAGAATGTATCGGAATGTCATATTCTACTATCGAGAGGCTATATATGGTTATATATACTGTATATATAAATATGCATTGTGCATTTATATGCAACCACCGGTCATGAAGAAAGCAAACCTTGCCAAGCCATCTTGCATCCATGTCACGTCGAGTATCACTTTGCGACACCTGATGAGGGAAATCCCCGGGGTCTATTGGCAAAACACAAACTAATAGGATGACTTTTACATCCTAGAGCAACCCTGAAATCTACAGAAATTCTATGAAATTCTAAAGTATAAACTGGCTTCAACATCTTGAAACATCTTTTCTATACTCTTAGACCTCGGTTTGGAACCTGTGTAAATACGCAGGTATCCATGGCCAATCATGGGCGCTGTGCTACTCAAGCAGTAGGTCAGGTTAGACTGGTTAGACTGCCGGACTTCAGCTGGTCTTCATCCTGATGACTGCTTTCACATACCCTCAACATCCTTAATCTGGTACAGTACATTTCTCAATACTTCCCACAATAGTTGAAATTGTTCAAGGTGTCCTGAGCTAAATGGAATGTGTTTGTTTAATAACATGCCATCGGCGGAATTTCAAGGCCAGGGTGTGCAGCGGTGTTTCTCCTTGGTGTGAGAAGACTTGGCAAATATCGCAATATGAATTATTGGGGATATTCATGGACCATGAATATGTTTCGAATTTATCTTATTTCTGATTCTTCCTGGTCCCTCCAAGCGCTTCAGACTTACTCCACAGCCGCAGCCGAAAGACGGAAGGCTGCACACCTCAAGGCCGAGGGCGAGTGTTCGTGGCTGCTGAACCAAAAGAAAATCCGAGGGCCTTGAAAAACGGATCAAAGCAACCAGCAGGTTGGCTCAAACTGCAAAGTCAACATTGAATTAGGTGATCCTTTCAATCTGCTAAGGTCTAACAAGGTAAACTACTGTAAGAATTTGAGTGAGGGAGAGCAGCATTTTTCACACCCAAAATGGGAAAGAAAAACACTGCCAAGACTTGGATAATCTCAAAACGAATTAAAACAGCCTTCAATTAATCTGGCTGGTCGTCCCAAAAAAAGGAATCTATAACTTGTAACACACATCCCCATACTTATCATACTTATATATGTGGAAAAAATACAATTCCAATTAAATCCCCCAACCTGAATCCTGAATTAAAGTCATTTTGAGATGATTCCCCCTGACAAACCATGATCAACCATCATCTATAGTGATATCGTCAGTGACGTCATTAGAATTCATCTAGATATGATAGATCATTTCCACATGAAAACCTCCGTTTTCAATGGATTGCCCTAGGTAAAATCAGGGTTTTACATTCTTCCCAAGGTCAGCTCAGCTACGGCAGATGGCAGCATCAAAGTCCGCCATGGACACTGATGGGCAGTCGTCGGTGGAGAGCTTCCCTGGGGCATCTTGGATTACCACTTAAGGGAGACCTCAAAGGGGCCCAGCCTAAATGTGCCAAACCCAACCCCCAGAAAAGAAAGAAAATCATACATAGATAGTTCATCCATTTTCGATAGTTCATGCATATTGATGTTGATGGACGGCATAATTTTTCCACTTCCCAAACACACACACATATATATATATATATATCTATCTGTCTATCTATCTATCTATCTATCTATCTATCTATCTATCTATACACACACACGTTTGTACGTATATTATATGGAGTTCAATGGCTTGTCCGATAGGATGTATCTGATGATCTCTGGCGCCTTGGCTTCTCAGCTCCACCAGCTCGCTGGGGCTCAAACCCTCCACCATCCCTCAGGAAACCATGCTGGATTTTCCAGCGTTACTCATTGGATTGGTTTGTTGGGGAAAATTTTAACCGGAAACCCATGGGTTTTTTTACCATTAAATATAAATTGGGGGTTCCGGTTTAAATTTTCCCTTAAACCAATCCAGTTACCGGAGGGTGATTTAAATATGGGGGGAATGGATCATATAAATCATAATCACAATCTAGGTTTGCTGGAAATCTACTGGATTTACAAGCTGGATTTACTGATTTACCCATCTATGTGGGTAAAGCCTGCAGATTTAAAAAAAAACATCAGGGACTGAAAAACATATCAAAAAATGGGGAAACTCAAGCCGAGATGGAAACAACATGAGATACCCTTTGTATCCCTTGGTGCTTTCTGTTCAGAGGAAGTGTCTGTCTTTTTTTCTGAGAAGCAAATGCAGCCAAGAAAGAGATCAACATGAACAAAGTAGTGCACAAAATGCTCATGGTTCCCTATAAAAAGTCCGCATAGCCACGGCATAACCTTGATCGGCTTTATGGTTACTCAACGCGCATGCAAATCTTGGATGCTTTCCTACAGTTGCACCACCAACTTAGGTCATCTTACCTGAGAAAAGTTCAGAAAACTATGCCATACTTCACGCCTTAAGCATTCCATGTTTAGAAATTCAAGATGTTTGGACATCAACCATTAGACATGGTATTTTTATATCATGGACATAACTTACATAACCATTATGAACCATCCGATTTTTAAGTCGTTTCATCACTACGGTCACAGCCAAGTCGCTGCGCATGGGGATCATGGAAGCCTCCCGACACACCAGCTGCACCTGGGGGAGTGGAATCTCAGGATCGATCGGGAGAACGTGTGATGAGTTTTGTGTACAAGTTATACTGTGATCCCCAGTTATAAGTATCCCAGAACTATACATCAGTTATGTTTGTTGGTTTAGATTCGCCCCAGTAACTAGTTCGGTATATATAAGTACCATAAACTGCCATAAACCATAGTGACATTGGAGTTATGTTCACCAACTTACTGTAGCTATCTTGGGGGCCTCACATTGTAGTTATATAGGTAACTACCCTCTGGTAAACATACAAAAAACGATTGAAATGGCCATGCCAAAATAGTGGATTAGTGGATGTTCCCATTCATGGCATGGTGATGTTCCAAAGTTTTTTGTATGTTTACCAGAGGGTATATCCTGTAATGTGGTTAAGACAATGTCATAAACCACCCATGACTGGGAATGACGAAAAAAACACCTATTTCATGGTGATTTGGGGGATGGTTTATTTATTGTTTTAATCACATTGCATAAAACAGGCATCAAGAGTCAAGGGAAGTTTTGTATGTACCCGGACCATTGACATCATTTGGCCACAACATGCCGGCTCCTTAGCATCGGAATGATATACCCCAATATATTGGGTATAGCGGTATAGCAACCCCTGATGGTCACCAACCAACTGCACCTATTGAAACTGCTCAGCTGGAATCCAAATGCCGGTTGCAGCATTTGGGCTTCTTGCATACAACTCCGTGGAATGCCAAAATCGAATAAATTTCATATAGACGTCTATGGAAATTGGTGATTCCGGTTGCACATTGCTGGTTTATCATGTTTTATCCACTTCTTGCTTCTCGTCAAACATAGACCCTGCGGACTTCAAACTAGTTGCAGGGAAGCTTATGTAAATCTACCCTTCAGCACTCACACCAGGCAATGCAGGACGCCCGTGGACGCCCCATTCATAGATCATCATCTTATATTCCGGCTTGATCAAACCACCGATCCCCCTCGAATGTGCATCCCCATTCCATAAAGATAATCATGATATATGTGATGGCTTCTTTTTTGTTGGGGGTACCCTGTTTTAGCTAAAATTGGTTTCAAAAATCCCAAAAGAACGGGCTGGAATGACTGAGGCTAGCCCCATCACTTCGGATTTTGTGGATGATCCCCGCGATATCCCGAGGAACATCTGCCCCGCTGTAGCGGTCCAAGTTCACCGCCAGCTGGTCAAGGTCCACATCCTCCAAGGCGATGTCCTGGTCACATCTGGTCACGGGTCGAGTTTTCTAAGGCAGGGATGACTGGAGGTCACATGTGAAATGTGTCTAAAGATGTTGTGGTTTATAAACTCATGATTAATGCCTATAATATCCTATAATATTCTATAATCAATTAATCTTAATCAATTAACTAATTGTTCAATTTTTAGGAACCGAACTTTGACATATCTCTTTCCACGGTTTTGCCATCACCTCCATGTTTAAAACGTCTTGACTGGTTGGTGGTTCAACCAACCAAAACATATGAGTCAGGCAATTTTGATCCTCCCCGAATGGAAAAAAAACGCCCAACCCGTAGGATCAGTTGGTGTCAGCTGGATGGTCTAAACCAACCAAGTCACCATGACCCCATCCGGACCCTCCTTCAAGAAGTGTTCCAACATGCGATGACGGGCTGCTTCCTCTGGCAGGGGGATATAGATCCTGTCGCGGCCGGCGTCTTGCATCGAAGCATTCACCACATGTTTCCCCCCAAAGAAATAGAAAAGGTGAGAATTGCCATTTTTAACTGATTTCATACATCTTCATACTATGTCAGGATTGGATTTTAGAGAATGATGATGAACTATGCATCTTTTGGGGACTATCAACCCATCTGAATCATTTGGCATCTTCTCATTGTAAATCTTAACAATTAGGATTAGGATTGACGAATCTCCCCCAAAAGTGCTCAAATGCTTTCAAAATCCCGATAAGTCGACGCTAAATACCTGATAAATTGGATCCACCACACCCGAAATGACATGATTTTCTTGAAAGCGATAACAAAGACCCATGTACTGAGTATAGGTATGTATATTTACGTGTATATGGTGCATATGCATGTACAAAAATGAATCAAATAAACACATATGTATAGATCGATCCATCGTCAAATGATCAAACAATGAGACAATCAAGATCAATATTAGATATTAGATATTAGATATAATTGGATTATTCTATATATATATATAAGTTGATAAATATCAGAAAATTAGATTATTCTTTATATAACTACATATAACTTACTATACGTTCTACGGTGGTTGGGAAACCCTTCATACCGGTACCTCCGTGAGGAAAAATCTGCCGGTCCTCTTTTCCAGGCGCCGGCGTAAGGCTTCATCCAAGTCCCAGGGCGCGTTGCTGGTGGCCAACACGAAGAGGTGCCTGGTCCGATGTACCGGGGAGAAAGTCTGGGACTTTTAACGAATGACCATAAGAGTTCCCAGAATCATAGCATCTTAACATGTAAATTTATATGTGAATTGTAATCTAGTCCAGCTTATTGACCGTTTTTTAATGGTTGTGAGTTGTGATGATGGTTCTTAATAAGAACAATCATCATCATATGTTCATTTCCTCAATTCCCAAAGCAGCAGTCAACATTGCTGGCACGCTACAAGAACTCAACTCCGTTTTTTCCTATCCACTTCATTTAGAACTCATGTACGTACTGAACATAGAATTCATTCAATTATGATTGTTTGGTTGGCTTGTATGCAACTTATTAACTGATTGGCTGGCTTGTATGCCACTTATTTAAATCAAAACAGTACAAGATTGGCACTCCATGTAGCTGGAATATTCTACCTGTTGATTTTGAATCGTTCTTCGTTTTTGAGTTTTTAAACATACAGCAACATGTATTCCATAAACGTCCTATATTTGTCAAACAATTTGAACAACTATCACAAACCAACATGAAACACACACATATACACACACACCTAACCCTTCCGAAACCATGCCTCATGAGACTCATGAGACTAGTGCATCGAGTGTTCAGTTGCAATGCTTTCGACACCCATCGACACCCACAGACGATGTTTTACACAAACACAGCCGGTGTGGACCAACCTAAAGTGTGTTGATTGATACGGGTGTCTTATTGATATGAACTTAACATTATCCTCTGGTTATTTAACATAGCCATAGAAAATGGCCCATTTATAGATGGTTTACCTGGGTTTACCTATTAAAAATGATGATTTTCCATGGCTATGTTAAATAGCCAGAGGGTACCCATGATTTAGGGGCCCCAATAGCAAGTCCCTTCAACCCAAACGACTACGAGGACTTAGCCTGCCATCACTCCCCGCCAGGGATGCCAGGGCACCCATTCTGATCTCCAGTATCACTGAGCCTTGCAAAGGGAGGGGGTGTGCTGTCGCTTCACCCCGGCCACCTTGGGTTTTCCAATGGATTTGCCAAAAACGAAGAGAAAAGATTTTGTTGGGACCTTTACCTGTCATCTGGCAAAATGAAGGAGGTCACCAAATTCATCCAAGTTCAAGAAGAAAACAAACTAAAATAAAAAGGTGTTAAGTGGTTTCGGATTTAAAAAGCATATCAACACCTCGGTAGAATCCTGAACTTTGATCCTCTCTCCGGTGGTGCCCCATGTTGGCTCCCAACCCCCCAGGCTTCCCTACAAGCCATCCATGTGGATCAAAAACTCGGATTTGAATCGTCGCGAAGCCTGGAGGACACAGGCCACAGGCACTCACACAGTACAAGTATGTACAGGTACAAGTAAATATTGACTTCATATTACCAGCAAATCGTGTTCGGATCAAACACGCTTGAAAATATGGTACCTCCCTGTACCTTACCTCTTCCCATCTCTTCCCACTTCAATTTGTTTAACCCATTTCAACCTCCGCATCTGAACAAACCAAGCTGTCATGTCTGAAGCTGGCAAATTCCACATCCTGTTTGAAACTACAGAATCCTTCAAGGCCAAGATCTACGGCCCGGGCCTCGTGTTCTGCAGCCCCCCCACGCTGTGACAAAAGCCTTTGGATCATTGGGGTCCTGGGGGCCTCCTAGAGGTGAATGATCCATTAATGCGGCGACCCCAATGCCATCATCTCGAATTTGTTGTGTATGAAATTCGGCCCTAGGCCCAATGATATAGCGGGATTATGACGGGATTATGACGGGATTATGTAAAATCATCCGCAAATGGTTGGTTACTGGAACTGTTTCTCATTCGCTTTGCCAAATTGCCCAGTGCATAGCTGGGCTCTTAACTGGGTTCCTCCAGCGTGTGTGCCTATTGACACAACAAGTTTAAGGGATAATCATGGCGCTTCAAACATTGATGCACCATATGAATAAGTTTTGACAGTATAAGGTATAAATATATAACACTTAACATTATATAATAAGCCAGAAACTAAAATAAGGAATCACCTGTTTGTTTTTCTTGCGCTATCATGGCAAACATATGGTTTCTCTGAAAATATGGTACATAAGTCTGCCCGTATTTGAGATAAAATAACCCCCCGAACGGGTCCAAATGGTTGGTTGTAATGGGATTGTTTGTGGCTTTCCCACTGATGCCCCAATTCACTGAGGTTTACCCCGCTGACACAAGAGCAGTGCGTCTCAAAACTTGCCACCGGACTGATGACAAATGCCGCTACGAATTTGGTATTCACTGAGGCCGTAGATTCATGTTTTGGGCAAAAATCACAGTAGTACTAGTATAGTCTATAGAAAATTCTATCATATTCTATCATCTGATTGTATCTTAGTGTTGTAAAATCATGAAGAAAGCCATTAAATGGCATTGCTGTATTCACTGCATTCCTTGCCAAGTGATCCACTGGCTCCAGAGTTACGCCTTGGACTTGCACCAGCCACCAGCCGATCTTCGATGCTTACAGTATTCTGAAACCATGTTTTTTTGCATAAAGTATGAAAAGAATATGATAGTATAATATATATATATAGTAGTATACATATATATATATGTGATTATATATGTATAATACACATTAATATACATCCTATTCTGTCCAATTCTTGGGGGAATGATTGAAATTCAGCTGGGGGTTTTATTCCCGTTCCAGTTGCAACTGCAGCAACTGCGACTAGAAAGCGCACAATGTCGAGGTGGGAATTTCTAGCTGGCTGCTACCAACAAGGGTGTTGCACCATCATTTTGTGCTTCATCTTTGGCTGCACCGTCTTCGACCAGAAACTGTACAATGTCGAGGTGGCCCTCTCCAGCTGCAACCAACAAGGGCGTTGCACCATCATTTTGTGCTTGATCTTTGGCTGCGCCGCCCTCGACCAGAAAGCGCACAATGTCGAGGTGGCGTTTCAGAGCTGCAACCCACAAGGGTGTTGCACCATGGTTTGTTGCTTGATCCTTGGCTGCGCCGGCTGCGACCAGAAAGCGCACAATGTCGAGGTGGCCTTTCAGAGCTGCAACCAACAAGGGCGTTGCACCATCATGTTGTGTTTGATCTTTGGCTGCGCCGACCTCGACCAGAAAGCGCACAATGTCGAGGTGGCCCTCTCCAGCTGCAACCCACAAGGGCGTTGCACCATGGTTTGGTGCTTGATCCTTGGCTGCGCCGGCTGCGACCAGAAAGCGCACAAATGCTGCAACCCACGCACCAGGTTTGGCTTGACTTCAGCGCACAATGTCGAGGTGGGAATTTCTAGCTGGCTGCTACCAACAAGGGTGTTGCACCATCATTTTGTGCTTCATCTTTGGCTGCACCGTCTTCGACCAGAAACTGTACAATGTCGAGGTGGCCCTCTCCAGCTGCAACCAACAAGGGCGTTGCACCATCATTTTGTGCTTGATCTTTGGCTGCGCCGCCCTCGACCAGAAAGCGCACAATGTCGAGGTGGCGTTTCAGAGCTGCAACCCACAAGGGTGTTGCACCATGGTTTGTTGCTTGATCCTTGGCTGCGCCGGCTGCGACCAGAAAGCGCACAATGTCGAGGTGGCCTTTCAGAGCTGCAACCAACAAGGGCGTTGCACCATCATGTTGTGTTTGATCTTTGGCTGCGCCGACCTCGACCAGAAAGCGCACAATGTCGAGGTGGCCCTCTCCAGCTGCAACCCACAAGGGCGTTGCACCATGGTTTGGTGCTTGATCCTTGGCTGCGCCGGCTGCGACCAGAAAGCGCACAATGTCGAGGTGGCCCTCTCCAGCTGCAACCCACAAGGGTGTTGCACCAGCGTTTGACGCTTGATCTTTGGCTGCGCCAGCTTCGACTAGAAAGCGGACGTTGTCTAAGGTGGCCATTCAGAGCTGCAACAATCAGTGGTGTCCACCCTGTGGCAAACTCTGGTTCATCTGCTTTTGCTCCTGCCTCCAGTAAGAGGTCCATAGGCCGAACATGTCCCTGCTCTGCAGCGTGAAACAAGGGCGTCTTACCATCATTGCTTGCGATATTGGGATTTAGTGGGTGTTGCAGCAACTGCTCAAGAGCAACGATGTCGTTCTCCCTTGCAGAGATCATCTGCTGCGTTTCTTCAGGTGGCCAGAATTCCAAGACTACCAGCTGGATCAGTGGAGCATCAAGAACCAAAAATCGTCCTGGATCTCATGGGAACCATCTCCAAAAAATCTTGGCTTGAATCAATGGATTGGTTTAAGGGAAAATCTTAACCGGAAACCATGGTTTTTACCATCAAATTGATCGGGCTTTCCGGTTAAAATTTTCCCATCATCCAATTCTATGATTGAATCTGGACATGCCAACCTTTGCTGCCAAGGCTTTCTTCACTGCCTTGGCTGTTTGGCCTTGCACTTCATCTCCAAGGACTGTGAGGGTCTCGCCCGATACTAGGAAACACACCTCCATCGCTACAAGATGCAAGGTTACGTGGAGAGGCAACAAGTTTGTGTTTTCATGTGTTTTCTCTGTTAATACATACATGCAAATGTAAATATAGATTATATATATATATACATATAATATTTATATAATAAATCAATAACATGTGTATATATATATCATAATCAGCTTGGGCAAACATTAATAAACAATGTCACAACGGACATGCCGACACTGTCCATATGCACACCAACCTTTGTATTGACAATCAATGCTACACACTCCATGGTGCTCTTCAACATTTCCAGTCTGAACAGTCTTCAACTGCAGCATAGGTCGCGGGCGTCCATTCCACAAGCAACAACGTGGCTTAGGTATGGCTGGGTGCAATTCTTGGTTTAATTTCGGCGCATCAACGATATGATTGTTGTCAATGACATTTATGCAGGCAACCCCAACCCCTTCATTTTTTCCATAATCATATATGACGTGTGACCACCCCGGAGTTGTGGAAGGGTTGCGTATTTCCATACGTCTATGTAGGTAAATATGTATGTGTATATTACACGCACACACACACACATATATATATATACACAATATATCTATATTATAATATATTACATACATATATGTGTGTGTGAGTGCGTGTGCATATCCCATTGATCCCATTGCATATATTGTTCAGAGGGGGTGGCAGATTTGATCCCTTATGCCTGATGAAGGTGTTACAGAGGGGGTGTCGGATCTGATCCCTTATGAAGATAAGCAGTGGTCGAACGTCCAGGAGGGAGCGAATGTGTTCAATTATATACGTTCAATTCACATCTGTACCCTGTGTCGCTGCCATACCCATTTGAGTCATCTTATTGCTTCAAATTCTCGTACTGGTTCAAATCAACATCCAATGTGGGTATGGGTCCAAATCCAAGACCCAGCAAGCAAAAGAACCAAACACATATTTGTTCATTTTTGTATATATGAACTCGCCATTTCCCCATTTTTCCTATGTGGATCTATTTGGGGGGTCTTGAAAGCACATGTTTATGACCCTTGCAAACGAGGGACCGGATGAGACCCATGAACCTCTGTTACAGGAGGGACTATATAATATATATATATATATACATACAGCTGGTAGTGATGGATCTTCATCTAACCATCAGCCATCATCAACCTATGATCCCGCAAGATCTGCCAGTCTCCCATCCCCAACTCCCTGCTGCCCCAGCTGCGAATCGATCTCATCGAAGAAGAGAATGGAAGGAACTCGGGCCCGAGCCTGAAAGGACTCAGGGTTCTGGTCCTGTGAATTTTCGGAGTGACCCTCCGGCAATCCTACCTTAGAATCAGAAACCCAAGGGAAATCTGTTTTTTTTTCCCTCTTCTGGATGGGAACATGGAAGTAGCCTTGGGATCTTCCGTTGCCAGGTCAGAAAGAGCAGCGGAAACTTGAAGGATCATCTGTATATAGCAACTATGGTAGCTATGGTTTGCAAGTCCCACAAATGGAGTGATCGTATTTAGAAAAGAACATACTCACCAAGCAGTTTAACGAGGGATTCTCCTCCACAAAATGACCCAAGTAATCCCAAGTATCTGAAGATCTGTTGGCGATTGTTTTTCAAGGGGCTACCTTCTGCGAATACAATCTGGCTTTGGAAAATCATTTTTTAACACCACCAAAACTCACAAAGTACATGCGTCTCGAGCAGCCATGTTCATCGGTCGGATTGTCGCATCAAAAAATCTGCCTATCACAACAGCTATCGAAAATCCACATAGCAAGCCATGGGCAATGGGCAGACCCACAACCTCATCCTTTCAGCGCCACCAGGAGGCAGTCTGAAAGAGGGCCCGCAGCAATTTCTCCGATTCCCCGCGCCATTTGGAGGTCAGCGTGGCCGAGCTGCAGTTGAAGAAGGTGATATTCCTGGAGCTCTGAGCCGAAACATCGGCAGGATCGGGAACCCCATTTTTGACCCCCCAAAAAACCCGGTGATTTCCCAAAGGTTAGATTGATCCATGGGAAATCACAAAAAGTCATGTAAATCCAGGTGCCTTCTAAACTGGAAATGAAACGACAGTGACTACCAATCAGGATTCTACCTATCATGACATCATGTTGACTTCGACCTCATCATGACATCATTTGCGGTGACTTTGTGATGAGATCGAAGTCAAAATTTGGGCAGGTGGAATGGGTTTCATCTGCCGATGGATACGTGTTCAGGGGGAAATCGGGAGTCATAGAAGCAGCAATAAGATGGGACAAAAAGGACATATTCCACCTTTCGAATGGTTTCAGTTTCATGACTTTGACAAGGGGGATATGAGATGCAGCGCAAGCATGCGCAAGCATGCGCAAGCTGCAGAAAGGATGTATTGGAAAGCGAGTGACAGTGTACAGGGGCATATGCCATGGTCAAGACATGCCATATGGATTATGGTCATCCATCTCATATAAATCCCCAATGGATTGATGACAAAAATCCCCATGGTTTTGACGAAAATTCCAAGTGTCTCAGTGCACGAGGCCACTGCCTTGGCTAACATGGTCTTGCCTGTGCCTGGAGCCAACAGTTAACTGGGTCAGGTCAGGGGAATTGTCATGGAAAATCCCATGGTTTCTCAGTTTCTCCCGGGTGTTTTACCAATCGCAAAGGGATTCATGGAGGTTCATCAGTTCATCCCTCCCAAGCCCATCCCCACATCGATGTCACATGATCTCACCATGGCAAGTTGACAACGATAAAAAACTACGGCACGGCACGTCCCAGCGCCTGGAGGACCATAGAGCAGAACGCCCTTCCATGGTTTACCTCGCTGGGGGAAACTTCCCAAGGCCTGAAAGTGAAATGACTCATGGTCCGGACTGAATCGCGGATCCGTTACTAAACCCTGGGAACATATCGACTTTGGAATTTTCCGGCATGCTGAGAGCAACCCAGCTCATGAACATCAGACCGAATCAGACCAAATCAAGCAAATGGAGAATTGCCACACCCAAAGGGATGTGGTTACAGCAAATGCATACTTAATCATACTTAAGCGGTGAAATCACATGGAGATACATGGATATTCTATGATACTATTGGTTACTATTGGCCCATGAAATGTCACTGTTGGGGAACCCCAAAAAAAAAAACAGAAGAAAACCATGATGTTGAACAAGTGGCGTAAGCCCACAAAGAACTCAGGCATCAGTAAGGGCAAGATCACCGCTTCGTTGATGGCGCGTTTGGCATCCTCCAGGCCTCCAATGTCTTCGAAGCGCACCTGGTTGGGCGAAGGGTGGGGCCCACAAAAGAGTCATGGGACCAATTAACCTGACTAAATCGAATCCAACAAGTGCCGTGCCCAATGAGTTCCATTATTATGGAGTATCATGAGGTATTCACCGGGTGAGGAACCTCAATATCCACCCTATGTCACTGTTCATTGTTCATAGAAATTTGTCAAAATTTGTTCAGGTCCTCTAGTTTCAGATATCTTAAGTCGCTTGCAGTCGAGCGGTTGATCTCAACAATTGATGTGATCTTCGTGTTTTTTCGGGGTTGTGCAAAAGCATTGAAACGTCACTCGCTCTCTCCCTCCCTCCCTCCCTCCCTCGCTCTCTCTCTCTCTCTCTCTTTCTCCATCACCATCAGTTCAAGATCTGCCGTGAAAGGTCACCTAGCACCTAGCCCCTACGACTATAACTATATATACTATATACAAGAGTGGGGGCCACCAAGCGGTTTATGTCCTATCTTCTCCGAAGAACTGTCCACCGTCCCGGTCACCATCCCCCAAATTAACATAGACCCAGCCCAAAAGGGGAAAGAGTAGTTTTGGTGTTTCCACTAAGGACGGTCTATTTTCTATGTTGAATGTTGAAGGATCTAGCTCCACGGGCTCCACCCTTCACAGCACCTTCAGGTCTTGACAAACTATGTCCCTCTCGATGCTGACGGCCAAGTCCATCTCCTTGGAACTCTTCAGGGGATGCCACCTACAGTGGAATTGATATTCACCTACATCTGAAACACCCTTGGAACCAGGTCCATACATACATACCCCAGTAAATCAATCTCCATCAATCTCCAAGCATCTTCCCCCGCCAGCTGTGCCGCCGCCATGATGTTGGGGCTTCCCCCATAGGACGTCGCCCCCTTCCGCGCCGCACCCAGGTCGGAGGGCTCGTCTCCGGCAGACGCGGAGGCAGCCGCCACGCGGAAACGCTTCACGTAGCAACGGGTCTTGCCATAGACTGCCAGACCCACGCTGTGGTCGCCTTTCTCGATAGCATAGGCTTAGGGCAGCAACGTTGGATGGGATGGTTTTAATACGGGACTCACCCAGAAATGAGCTACATTCACTGTTTTACAACCGTGATGGTCATTTTTGTCAGGGTCTGAGTCATTTTTTACATAAAAAAGTATGAGAAAAACTATATATACATATATATATATATACATACTTCGCGGAATGCTCATCGGAGCGTATTCATTGGGTGTAGTTTGGTATGATGCAATTGGCAAACCTTACTGTAACACGAAGAGCAAGTAGTCGCAGCACCCAACATTTCCCCCCACCAAGTGCCAACCTGACCCAACTCTGGGTAGTAAACCCCAAGCCAGTGCGTCAAGATGCCACCCAAATTTGAAATTGGGCATGGTATGCATCAATGGTTTTCCACAAACAACCCATGGCAAGTCACCAGCTGCTCGTCGATCCACGCGAAGGTTTTTCACCATGGAGATACCGCTCAAAGACAAACTCATGGTGTCCCCACTAAACTCCGCCAAGACCTAAGGGCCGACCACTGGACCAGGAGCCTGCAGATTGTTTTGAAAAAATGTGTAGAAATGAGGGCTATTGGCTATTCCAATGGATCCAAAATCCTCCCAACTATGCATTAGTCACTGCACACGGGCTGGGGTGATACATGTCCAATAGGAATATCCAGCGCGAATACTGTATCGCAATATCATCATGCATGGTTCATGGCTATGGTTCAAAACCCACAGGTGCCCTGGTCTTCACCCCAAAATTGCTGCTAGTTATGCCATGTTATATCTATGTAACTTATCCCTCAAGTTGGTCGATTAGTCCCTGAAGTTGTATCCTGAAAGTACCCTCTGGTAAACTTACAAAAAACTATATATGGAAAATCACCATAATGGGAAAACTCACTATTTCTATGGCCATTTTCAATAGCTACGTTAGTCATTACCAGAGGGTAATGGTTAAGTCCAAAAGTGTTTGACCCATCCCGACTGACTCCACGAACGTTTCTGCCAAGGGGCTGCCAAGTAGGTCTGGGGCCTTAGGATCGCACCTCGATCTTGAAGCAACCGGGGAGATCTAAAGGCTATCACGGTTTCCAATGAGGGAAAACATGACAAGACCTCAACTTTAGACGTGTAAATGTCATGACTCCAAAACTTGAGGCTGAATCTCTCTTAATTGCCATCTGTGAAGTGCCACAATGCTGGCTGGTTTGCTGTGGTATTTCTGCTAACTCAGTAGGTTTGGTCTGTACATTGGCCAGTACCCCACAGGCAACACATAGCCGACATAGCCCATGAACCTGCCATGACAAAATCAGGTGAGGTCCCAAAACTCTCAAGCTCCACCAACTGTGACAAGCTGCAGGGGGCCATGTCATACTACCTAGTAGTAGCTCCAAAGCTCTCGTATCACTTAACCACTGTGATCATCAACCATCCAAAGCTGATGTTTCAAAGTCCCATAACAAAATTCATCAAGATTCCAAAATCTTTGATATGCCATGCTCATAGATTTGCCATGTATTTAATTCATCCCAGTGACAATTGGGTTGAACGAAGAGCGTCTGCACCGACGCATTGCGCTTGTGGCATTCCACGCGCACCTCGCGCGTCTCGAAGTTCAGCCGCAGCGCACAGAAATCGCAGCCAGAGGACAAGTCGGTGACGCTAAGGCAGTCCAGGAGAATGAAAATCTGCTGGTCCGGGGTCCTTGTTGGTGGTTTCAACATGCTTCAACCCATCCAAAGAATCCTAAAATATTGATAATATATGATATAGTCAATTTAGATCATCATCCCAATATCCCATAAATAAGGGTGGAACTTTTGGACAGGAGGTCTGAAAGCACCAGTCAGCTTGGCAGTGGCTGCTGAAGAAGTGTGGAAAAGTGTGGGCATGATGATCGTCTCATCTGTGGGGCTGACTCCTCATGAATAATCTAAACAAGCTGTCTCAGTGATGTGGTAGACCCAGGGGCCCAATAATAGACCATCCCAATTGCACCATAAGTTGGCATAAAGCCTCCAAAATCGGAGGTTTACTATTGGGTCGCCCACATTTATCATCAATACATAGACATACATAGACCATTCATCATAGTCAGATGTCGATGATCTAAACACGCCAGGCCCCAAGCAGAAATGCAGTCATATTTTGAGACAATCCCATCATCTTCCCATTCTTATCTGCACCATGGCCCGTTTAGACCTAGTTGGATAGTCAAGATCAAACTGTTTGATGGTTTAATTTAAATTTCGTTAATTGAATACATCATTTAATTATTCTTAATGATTAGTACTTTATCATTTATATACATATAATTACATATATATATATATCATTCATTTGATGGTGAAAATCCATAATATGTCACATGCTTATCTTAATTCTTCAACCCCGCATCTCTGACCTTTGGCGAATCATCCCAGCATCTGCTCTGCCGGGCTTGACTTCACTTCTGCCGTCAGCGTATGGCCGAGGCCCTCGGTCAACAAGCGGCGCTCCTCGCAGGAGCCGCCGTAGCAGCAGCCCGAAAAGCCAGAGGCTTTGGTGCCCTCCAGGATGAAGACGTTCTTCTCCTGGATTCAATGGGAATTTCAGGATCTTAAAATGGAGGTACTGTACCATATAAGGCCATATTTTGGGGGGATATCCCCTTACATATAGGCCTTATATAGGCCTTATATATGGTAACTACCTCCAATTTAGGATCCTGAAATGGCCATTGACTGGATGGGCGTTTCTGAGGGCAAGTTCCCAAGAGTTTCGCCATCCCCAGCCATAGCCCACATGGGCTAAAAATGGGTGGGCCAGGAGTTGAATGCATCTTGGAGGGAGTTCTAGAGGGAAATATGGTGGGGATGGGTGAAAGGTCATTGGGTACGGCTCGCGCCTGAAATTCTGTACTCATACCGGTCATCCTTACATGAACCTTGCAGGCCTGTCTGGAGCACCAGTGGATCTCCATTCTTGATGTATTTTGTCAGTCAATCAAACAGAAAACAAACAACGCCCATTCTTGGGCCCAATTTCAGGCTTCTCGAATTTTCCCAAACAACATCGAACAACCCCAACTTGGATGATGCTGGTTCTACCCCTGGCACCTTTTTGCTCAAGTAGATCTTGCCATGGTCTGTGAGCTGCGTCCAGCCTGATGCTAAGAACCCCATAGCCGCCATAGCCATATTCGAGGGCCCATGAGGGCCCTATGATTTGGGCCGCATTCGAAAGGACTAAGATGACGACAACGGCGATATTAAACTTTGTTAGATGGTGCATCATGTTTTTTTTGCACCAAGGTTCCGGTCAAGTATAGTTAGTATAGTTACCTTTGGATAACGACCGTGATGATCAAAATAATCCAGGAAGTGATTGCATATCAGTTCAAATAATGCAACGATTGTATGGCCAAGCCTTTGGGACTTAACAATATGAGACAGCTAATGCAGCTGAAGCCATGTGCCAAGAGCATCCAAGAGCCGTACAATGTGGTAAATAAAATAAACTGTTCCCAATTGGGATAAATTGGGCATAGCCCTAGATTTGGATGATTTGGGATATAACATGATATAACATGATATAACTATAACCCAAATCAGTCATGCTCCCACATGGCTGGTTAATGAGTGATAGTTTTTGGCAGCCCAGCCTGGTCCATAATCCTCCCTGGAAGATCCACTGCCACTGGCTCCACTGGCTCCACTGGGCCCATGGGGTCGCGGCCGGTCAGCCATGCTGTCAAGATGGGATCTTTTTGGGGGGCTGGTGACCCGCACGTGATATTAGTGGATTTTCCCATGAAAAATGGTGATTTTCCATAGCTACGTTAAATTACCAGAGGGTATCTCTCTAAAAAACTCTACGGCCGCAAGAGATGGCTCAAGCGGAGATGCGGTGAAAGGATCTAGGACCTGGTCCTCCCCGGAGAAAAAAAAACAACTTCATTCTGTAGAGCCGAAGTAGAACTACACTCCGTAAGATTTCCAGATATTTCCAGGTTGAGAAAAAAGGTGGAGGATGGAGCTTCACCATCAAGGGGCAAGCGTCGAAGTTTTTCCTAGCCAAGCACTGCGAAACACACACCATTTCTGGACCCTGGCTTGAAGCCATTACCCTGCAGCTTTTGCACCTTGCGCCTACCAAAACAAAAAAAGACTCGACAAGAATTGGCTGTGCCTGTATGGATGCAAATTTCTTCCACACCACCCTGCTTGGGCCCAGGATGTTTCAAAACTTGAAAGCTTCACCTACATTTACGTTGGTAGACTATGTTGATATAAATACACATGCAACTACATGAATGTAAAGCATGGAAGTCCCGAGAAGACCCAAACATAAATTTCAGCATATTTATTTCATGGAGCTGGAGCTTCACATTTCTATCTTCTGGAACATCAGCATCGTCCCGCGAGGCGCGCAGATCCTGGCCGCCACTTTTTCGCCGCCGCAATCCCCTCGGGGCGGACTCGACTTGTCGCATCCTCAAATGGTGCCAAGGGCCACCTTCGATGGGTCCGTTGGGTGATGGGATGTTGTTTATGGAGATCCAAGGGGTTCATGGCAACCTTACCCTTCAATAGCTGGTTATCAATCCCAAATCATCCAAGGGATATAACCTTCCGCCACCAACATGACAATGACCCATGATCATCAGCATTGCTATCATCATGATCACAAACATAGAATTTCAAGGCAAAAGGGCATGGAGAGATCATACAGAATTTTTAAGCAAACAAAAAACATGGAAATGGAGAACCTCAAGGAATTGTTTGAGCATTCTGGATTGGGCTCTACAACTTGGATTTGCTTAAGAGCCTCAACAAAAATTTTTACATAGTCCCAGTAGATTCCCCATTTGGGGTGGATTCATGGGAAAATTAAAAATCACCAGAAAAACCAAGTTATTACCTCCAGTATATATCATCATATATCATTATTTATCATTATATCATATTATATCCCATCCAATGTTTTTCTTGCTTAACTCACCTTATGAAAATATTCGCGAAAATTCGGCAGCGCCTGGTCCTTGATCCAAGGGATGACTTCCTCCAAGGCTTCTTCCAGGGTCGTGGTGCACTGAATCCCCAAGACCTCCTGCGCCGAGACGGCGATTTCGAACTCGGGATCTCTATGGATCTCTCCAAAACCAACCGCGGTTACTGATAAAAATGGATCTGATAGTTGGAATCAGGATAGAACATCCAACTATTGCCATAATCTATGGCAAAGTATCATCAAAATGGACAACACCACAATTTAACTATATTTTCAAAAAAAAACAACCAATTTTAACCCTCTGAAAATTACCTTTTGTCACTTGCAACCGCTCCTTGGCCTTCTGAACGCACGGCACGCGCATTTGCACGTCATGCCTAAAAGGTGTGTCCCCTTGGACCCGGCATCGTTGAGGAGTTGTGGCAAACCCCAGCAGAAACCAACCCCAATTTATCTGTTTTTGGAGGGTAGTTGATGAGGAATTGTGGCAAATTTCAATACATAAACATATTATATTATATATATATACCGTTGTTTCTTGTGAAGCCACATTGCAGATATTATTACAGCAGGTTGCACCATGTGCCCTTGGTTCACTCTCCACAGAGTCTTCGATATCCCAGAAGCTGTTTCGCCCATGTGCAAAAATGGTAACCAATCTCCAGAAAAGACGCCAATTAGGAAAAAACATAGGAAAAAACTTAGGAAAAAACAGGGAAAAACATCATTGTTCATTTGTATATCTTTTCGGTATACTGTGGAGGACACGATATGCCAATATATGCCAGTCAGCCCTGAATTTCTGCGAGGTTTCACTGCGACACATCTTGCACTCCAAGGTTCTGAAATGGTTCATCAGAGACATACTCAAATGGCACCTTGGCGGCGAAAACCAGTTGCCGTGTGTCAAAACTGGGGATCCCGGCCACTCGCTGATAAAAATTCTTCAGCGAGAACGTTCATCAGAGCATCCGCAAATCGCAACAGTTGTGCCCTTTTTCAGTCTGTTCCCCTCCAGTAAATTAACATAGACCCTGAAAATCACCAATTTTTAATTGAAACTAGTCTTCCAACCCCTATCTGCAAGGGTCTATGTTAATTTACCAGAGGGTAACTCAAACATGGTTTGTTGGAAAATCCACCGTTTCGTGAACGATGATTGCTCCATTGAGTTTGGGAAATGTCCCAGCCATCTTTGATCACACCGAAGGATACACCATCATCTAGTTCCATTATTGCTTCCATCATCAAAATCAATCCTATGATTCTTGTCATCATTGTTATCATGTTTTAATCATGTTTCCGGTTTCCTATCAGTTATCATAATTATGTGTTCCGATGATATCCCATGACGAAACATCATAATATATGAATCATTTTTTGGAATATATTCGAGTTTCATGATAGTTTCTGTCTTCTCCCATGATTCTTTCGCATGGCACATCCATGATCTCCCAGGCACATCTGGTCCATTGAGCCTCTTCCAAATGACTTCCGCCAGCTCCAGAACCTGGGTCACCCGTCGGATGCCGTCCGGATGCGGAGATGGAGAGCCAATGGAGAGCTATATATAGGTTTTTCCGACGATGGCTACACCAAAAATGATCAAAACATAGATCAAAAAATAGATCATGGTAAAAATGAACGTTTATGATACAAAAGTGTTCGTCGATCCATCGATGGCTCAAAAAAAATGAATAAAAATGACCTTATCTAATTTTCGTCGATCCATCGATGGATCCTGTTTTAAACATCTACCATCATCATCCATCTATCTATCAATTCATATCGATTCATATCGATTCATATCGATTCATCTATCTATGGCTCCGTCTGTTCCCCATTGTTCCACCCTTACCGGACCAAGCGTCTGTGTGGCCAACAGCTGTAGAGATGTTAAAGTCCTCGCCGCGTTTTTCCACACGCTGGCGGAAAAACGCGCTTTACGGTGGCAGTTGAAAATCCCCATCATGTATAGTGATGTTCCTATTTAAACAAAACATCATATAACAAAAAACAAATCCTCCATGTTAATGGGATTTTAATGGGATTTTATCCTGATTTGAATGGGATTTTTTAAAAAAAATCCTCCATTTTATACTGATTTTCGAAGGCGCCGTGGCCATGTAGAAATGTGTCCTGGTTCCTGGACCTTGGGTCCATGATACACTTCACAATGCCCCGGGCCAAGTCTCCAGCCTCGACGAATAAAGTGGATCCCCAGATGATTTCAGGGGTACCCAGGTCACCCAACATTTTAGGAAAGCCGGACAACATGTCATGAAATCATTTCTAGATTTTTTTGAGTATACAGTATACCTGTTACATATATTTATGTTCGATATTTACAATCCTACACATGTTTGATCTATATAACAAACCGAATCAGTTCATCCAGCAGAGTTGACGTTACACAGACTCCCCAAACAACATCAAGCTCCCCTTAAACAGTGACTCTGGGATGGTTTGTTCTCGGCTATGGCCGGCATCGGGTGTTCCTCTTTTGCGATAGGATGCGATAGGCCAATGAGGAGCTTGGGATTTGCAGCAATATCTCCAGCCATTCTCCCAGACACTTTAACCTCCAGGAGGCATATGTGTAATGGCGTTTCTGATTCCCAGCGCCCAGGATGTGTAGCCTTAGTTACGGTCATGGCTTAGATGCCATGAACCATCTGAAGGTGAACCTATTGCGATCCTCAAAAAATCCGGGCCATATGGGGCCACCACTGGAGACTGGCATATTACGTTTTTTGTCAGACGGACGGCCAAGCAATTCTCAACATGTTCTGTTTAATCTGCACACCGGGACCTACAAATTTTCCACTGTCGGTTCACCATGGCGAATAAGAGTGCTCAATATTAGTTCATAATCCCAAAAACCAGGGATAAAGAATGGTTAGTAGGATATGAATGGGAATGGCCATTGCTTAGCCCCAAAGTGCAGCTTTCAGCAACGGCTTCTGCCCCTTAAGGATCTTCTGAACCAGATCTGGCACCACATGCGACATGGCCTCGGTTGTATCAAATGTCACTAAAAAAAAAACTACATATTCTGCACAGACACACACATATATACAAAATTATACATATATAAATACATACGGATGTGATCATATGTGTAAGATATATAATATGATAAATTATATGTACATATACACACACATATATATAATTATACATAATTATACATACATAGTAGCACCAACGGTGTTGCCAGCGATGCTTGACCCAATCAAGTCACCAGCTTGACGTTTCCACTGAGCACTTCCTGAGCCGGGCCATGCAACGACCATCATTAGATGTCGTCAGTTCCACCATGAACGTTACGGGATGTCACGGGTCATTTCAGCGTGGTCAAACCAACATGGCAGGCAGAGGCAGTGGCAAACAGCAAATTTCAGAAAAACAATTGGTTTTACTTAGCAGAAAAGTAATTCAGGGTTTGACGTGTTTTGACATACACATCAAAACTCCCCAAAAACATCAAAAAAGAGAAGACAAGCTAACAAAACAGTCAAAGCGTCTGCATCGGTTTTGGCGCGCTGCTCTCCAATGCCTACTGCATTGAACGGCCCTTGGTTGGCAGCATCCCCTAGCATCTGGGACTGCAACTGTTCCAAGTTCCATGACGAGAACTGTGGCAACACGCGCAATTTGCGGAGCTCAACAAACAATGAGGGCAACGTGGCCTGTGAAGGTAGATTTCACATCGAACCAGACCTGTCAGAGCTATCAAGTCGTCCTTCATTAGCCTCTCCAAACCTGTCTGCTGTTCCCAGCTGACATCCATTCGATCCACAAACATGTTCTTGGACAACAAATGTACCTACCGCCTATCAAGTATCCAGGCGCCACTCAATGGATTTAATAGCCACTAAGGTTACAGCAAATCGTGAAATCACATGGGGGCGCCAAAAAAAAGCAAAAAACGGTGCCAATCTCCACAATGAGGTGCGAATGATGGTGTACGGAAGCCTCGCGGAGAGGGGCTACCAGCATCTGAGCTGTTATTTGGATGATGCAGGAATCGAAACCGGCAAACTCATTGGAATAAGGCTTCATTGAGATACAAGTACTATGGGTACAGTACTATCCAGTCACTAAGTGGTACACGTATGAACTCTGGGCAGTTTTCAGAGGAGAAGTCCTTTCAGTGGGAAGGTCCAAAGTCCAGTATATAGTAGCCGGATGTGGTCATTTTGGTCAAGACACATCACAACATGGTTTTGTCTGAAAACAGGGTACCCTGGTACCCTTCAAATCCACCAGTTCTTCAGCATTTCCCCTATTAAAACTGCAATTTGGTGGCACAGCCCCGATTTTAAGGGAAACCTTCGGCCGACTCCGCCAAGTCGCTGATGCTGTTCCCAAGCGCCCTTGGCAAAGTACTCACGCGCCAACTTCTGGAAACCATAGGTGCTCTGCCTGGATCTTGGGATCAAATGGATCAGTCATGGATCACTCGCTTTTTGTTTGCGGTATACCATGGTATACCCGGTATCCCTTGAAAATCGGATCAGGAACAAGTACCAAAAACATAAAAAAACATCCAAAACTGCAGGGTCTGCAATTTTGACCAAGTTGAATCGGCCAAAGGCGTACCCGGGACCCCCTCCCAGACAAGGATCTCCGCAGCCCAAAGTTGGAAATTTACTTTCAGGATGGGAACTTAGAAGCTGGTAAACCACGGTAAACCATGGTAAACCTCAAGTTGCGTAGAAGCCAAACCATTCAAAAAATGGCAAGGATCAATGACGCCTTTCGGGATTCGTTTGGTAGCCTACTGGGCCTACTGGTTCCCAAACGAGGGTGACTTTGTACATCTTTGTACCCATGAACCGGCCACCCATTGGCACGAAAGCATTGAGAATATGTTTAGACTTCCTCTTTCAGATCCAGTGTCAGTGAATAAACCCAGGAGTACATCTATAAATCATGTTAAATCCCTAATGAATCCTAATGATTGAATGAAACGGTGAACAACTAGTACCCTCAGGGAATGAAATGTGGTTTGCTGAGTTCAAGTCAAGCCACGGTGGGGGGCACGACTTGAGGTCTGCCTCCTGGCCGAGCCACAAAGGATGGCCGGGCATGGGAAAAGCTGGGAAAATTGGTCATAAAATGTCACGATTGTGCCATGATTGTGCCATGATTGCCATGATTGCCATGGATATGCCATGGATATGCCATGGATATGCCATGGATATGCCATGGATATCCATATGGATTCTGTTCTATCTGTTGCAAATGATCACACTGAAAAACGTGAAAAAAGGATAAAACATGGCCAGCTAGGGGATGATTCCTCATCAGGTCACCTTAAGGTCACGAGAATCAAAATGGAGTGATCACCCCGGATATGGAGATATGATATGATATGTCAAATAATGTGGTTCAAACAATGCCATAAACCATCCCCCAGTCATCACCATTAAATAGGTGGCATGTTTTCCATTCCCAGTCATGGGTAGTTTATGACATTGTTTTAACCACATTATTGCCCAACAAAATTCACCGTGGATGACCATGGCAAAAAAAAAAAGGACATAGGACTGTGCATGACTTGGAGCCCAGAGATTCATGATTTGGATGAGCGGAACTGTCGCTGGAAAGCCGCAGGCTTCTAGGATGTGCCTCCTAGCTGGTAGGTGATTAGGAATCATATGAGTATCTATATCTGACTCTCTCTCTCTCTATCATTCTCTATATAATAACAATAACAATAATAATAATGATAATAATAACAATAATAAAAACAATAACAATTAACAATAGTAATGAAAATCATCATCATGTTCACACACATTATCCAGTCATGTACGTTACCTCCCCCAAAAAAAAAAAACGACTTCTTGACCCCTTGATCAGGATGATCAGGAGCCTTGGAGGGGAAGCTCTCGCAGCATTCATAGACCATGGAGCTGCTAATCACCACCACTTTCTCCAGAAACCCCGCCTGCCAGGGCTTTTGATGGGAACATCCACCACTTTCCTGCTGAGTTGTGTTCCAATTTGGGGACTTCGCAACTGCGCATTGGCTTGAAAGTTGAGGATCTCATCAACAAAGCGATTTTGGCACGTAAAACAAAGATGGCGACTTAACAACCGAAAACAGAGGATCTAAGAAGAAGAAACGGGTTCCTCTATCCCAAGTGGTGGTTCAGTATTGACTTGCGAAATTGGTGACTAACCACAACTACGTCAACCGGCATTGATATTAGTTGTAGGAAGTCATTCTTATCAGGGACATGAAGATTTTATCCATCAAAACAGCTACAAGTCCAGCCATGCTCACACCCCTCAGTAGCCGGTTTACCGGCCATTGCCATAGAAAGTGAATAAATGTACCCTCCCCCAATCAAACATGGTTTGCTGGAAAACACCCATTTAGTTTGATGGTTTTAGACTTAAAACCTCCATTGACATCCATTGACTAGATATTTCAAGATATTTCAAGGGTATCTCCCAGCTATGTTTGACCCCCGCACTCACCTGCTTCGCTTCCACGCACACGTCAAAGGCAGCACCTGAGGGCTACCCCGCTATTGTGCCTGGGGTATGGTTTTTTGTTGATGGCTAACCTGAAAAATCCTGAGGGGATTCAACACCAACAACCACTAGATACCCCGTGATTAGATACCCCGCCTTAAAGGGAACAAAGCCATTGATCACAGCTGAAAACCACAAAAATAAAGTACCCCAAACATATGCGCATATACGTATATAATCGATTATAATCGCACATTATAATACACACACATGTACATATACATGTAAATATATATATATATTATACAGCATTATTATATTTTACATATGAGAAGGTGAGTTTAGCATAGTTTAACATCATCCCATAATTTGTGGAATGGAAAACAAAGAACATCTCTGAACGAGAAAACCACCCACATCCACCAAATCATGCGACACCAGATCTGAGGTACAAGTGATGCGCTCGTTTTCAGCCAGCAGGAAATAGGCCAACTTGTGGAACCTCACGGGAAACATCGCATGGAGCCAGCAGTTGGGCCAGTGAAGTTAACCATATGCAGGTTCCAACAAGGGCACAGTGTGTTTCTTGCCAATAAACGTGACAAGAGATGGAATCCTCTTTCTACAAAATGTTTCATTGATAAACCTTAGATATGATGGGTATTCTAAAAAAGCATCTCGAGTTATACCATGTCAAATGTGGAAACCCAATAACAAACCATCCCAAATTTGAGTTGGGCCATCGCCCCTCCTACTGGGCTGAGCCGCATGGAGATCCCGCCGATGATCGCTGCAGCTGCAATGAAGATTTCGATCTTGTTGTCAAAAACGATCTGCAGGTTGAGCCACCCCAGCACCAAAACGGTCAAAACGGTGAAAATGGAAATGGGGTACACCCATTTATCCCCAGCACCAAAACGGTCAAAATGAATGGTGTGTGTGTGTGTCTGAAAATGGGGTACACTGTACACCCATTGATATGGCGTTTTTTTTGTTCGGGAACATGATGCTTAACCAGTCGATGCCATGGGATCCCATGGGATCCCATGGGGCCATGGAATTCATCCGATTTGGGAGAGACAAGTTTGGCCCATCCCTGGTGCTCCGTAGTGTTCCCATTAAAACTTATCGAATCTGCCACTCCATGGGTCCCAAGTAAACATCCCAATTACATCCAAATACCATGAAATACCTAGCAGCCTGGTGAACATGAAGTACATGAGATATGTGAGCGACTGCACTTCGGGGTTGTACCACAACATGCTTCAACAACACGGCTGGGGTTTTCCAGCCTTCCGGAGGAATGCCACATCTTTGGCATCGCCCTCAAAGAAGTGGAAGCGCGGATGCTTCCTTAGGGCGGCAGGATCGGGGGGTCAAGGGTTGGGACGGCCATCAAATTCTCAGCCACCCGGTGCTGGCGAAAAACCCCACTGCCGAGGGGCTCAAAGCCACGGGACAAGGTGCCATACTTCCAGAAGTTATCCACCCCATAGACCTGCCCATCATGGTGGAATGGTCAAGCCAGTGGAGTTCCACTCAAAACGCATGGTGGGATGCTAAGAAAGTCAACTGGGAGTCATCATACTAGTTTTGGAGGTGATTTGTTGATATGTTGGAAACGTTTGGGCCACCAGCCATTTTGTCTCAAAATGTCGCAATTGGCAAAACTTGGGCTGTTTCCCGCTGGTATCAGGACATATCTGCACCCAAATTCCTTGGGACACCGCGTGAAGTGTTGTAATTGAAACACTTCGGAGATGCGCTGGTGGAACCCCCTGCTATGGCTATCTTTTTGCATTAGCAGAGCTTTTCTGCTGGTGACTTCAACACCATCCAAGCAAGTCCTTTTTGACGTGGGTCCATGCACAAACTAGCAAAATCGTGCAATCTGGAAAGATCAGAGAGTCACCAAACACAATTCCTTGTCACATGAGCTTGCGTATGGATTCAGAACGCAGTGTGCACTTTGAAAGTGCTCAACATAGCACTCAAGGTGTTCCCGAGGTGGTCACAAGAGAAAGCATCCCACAGTTGGAGTGAAGAGGTGGTGCAGTTCGCAGCTCAAAATCCATGTTTGGGTTGCCCTCCCGAAGGGTTGATAGGCGGCTTTCCAACAATTCTGTACTCACCGCTACCAGCTCCTTTTCAGCTCTTGGATTGGGAGAATCCGAGAGCTGACGAACAGAAAGACCCAAACGAGAAATAAATAGAAATAAGCCAAAGCAGAAGGATGCCGAGGCAGCAAGACATGACAAGTTCTTCCCCATGGCATCACGTAAATATCTGCGAAAATGTGCCTGGTTTCCCCATGATCAGCGTCAACCAGGAGGCGATGAAATCAATGATGAATCGCATCAGCCGGAACCGTTGGTGCCGTAGCAACTTCCTTTCCACCTGCAGCCACTCCGAAGCAACGACCCCCTGAATCACCTGAACATACCTGAACAATGGCCGCCCACTGGAGAGCCGGTGCATTGTACATCCAACCCACCGGGAGCCCAGCGCGACCTGCGCAGCCGGAAAGCGATCGTGATCATTGGCAGCTGCTTTCCGCGGAGCAGCGAAGCCGAGAGAGATGGGGACGCTCGGGCCAAATCCGATGAGATGAACGAACACTGGGAAAGATATGGAAAGATGGGTTTCGATGCTAAGATGTGCTTTGATGCTGGGTGTCCAGCAACAATACAACACAGAGCCGGAAGTAAGACGAACTTTGTTCTTGGAACTGGACGTCTGTTCAATCAACGCCCTGTAAATCAGTCAGAAATGCCTTACCCAAGTCCAGCCCAAAAACGTACCTTACTGTTCAGATCCAAAACGTGTCGCCCAACCAAATTCTTATCCACAGTATCAATCTCTTTCCCTTTCTCTGTTTTCTGTCGGACCTTAAGAAAGAAACTTGCAATACAAAGGGCCAAGGTGCACCTCGTGGCCTTGTTCAAGAAATATAGGAATGGTGTAGCCCATGATAAAACCATGGCCTTAGCCATGGCATTGTCCCCAGTCCCGGCCCCAGCACCCCATTTTTTGCCCATAGTTCCTAGATTCAAAATCTCCAACAATGAGGGATTCCAAAATCAATAGATCCAATATGATCCAATACTCAACACGAGCTTCGTTTTTTCGGGGCCTCTGATCTTGGGGAAGGGAACTCCTAAACATCAAAATTAGGACTGCTTTCAGCTTTCAGCCTTCGAGACCCCGACTTTATTAATGCCTTGAATGCCCCTTTTCAATCAGCTGCGACCTAAAGCAATTGCTGCGACCTAAACCATGGTCAATCCATGGTCCAATTCGGGGAACCTGTGCCCAAATGGAGCTGGAGATCCAGCTCCAAAACCTATCTCGATTCAGAATCTATAGGCTATTGGCTATAGGATGCTATAGGTTATTTCCCATTACCCTCTGGTACCAGAGCGTACTATGTTTGATTACGTACCTAAGGGTACAATAAACATCAATAACTAAACTATAAACCCAAACTTTGGACCCACACCTGATTTTTCCGGCTTGGCTGTCCATGTTGTCGCTATAAATTATCTAAATCACAACGGGTCAAATCACCATTGGTGGTCAATATCCCACTGTTTGTCGGATTACATCCCCGCTGATGTCATTGCAAATGATCCGAGTCTAGTTGGTTGTATCACTGATATCCCATTATTGTTCACTAAGCACATCGTTTATTTCGTTTTTCTTGATGTGCATCAGTACATATACAAATGCATCTGCAATGAATGTACATATAGGATATCCCCATGTTTACCCTCTGGTAATTTAACGTAGCTATTGAAAATGGCCATTTATAGTGAGTTTTCCCATTAAAAATTGTGATTTTCCATAGCTATGTGAAATTACCAGAGGGTAATAATTTTGGTTGGTGCACCAGCTTGGGCGCTTCATCTTCCACATACCGTCGTGGAATCTGCGTTGCATTCTGCCGCTCAAGCGGCTGCCCGTAATCAAGATCTTCTTTCCCGACGCAGATCTCCCATTGGGAGAGCGCGACCGTGCCGCCATGGCGAGGACGGTGCAGCTTCCAGGTATTCACCGAGAAGTGGATGGTTGATGAAACTGAACATGCTTCTCAGAAACTATTTGAGGCAAATGAGTAGTGAACCAGCCATTTTCTACAGAGAATCATATAAGAACACAAATCACCAAGCCAACATCAGCTGCACTACAAAAACATGTGGCTTCGAAGCCTGACATCCTCTTGTAAATTTTGGTCCCTGTGGGGGTGCTCACCAAACAATATTGTTTCAGATCTTGAAACTGAAGCAATACTTTCGAAGCCAAAGCTCATCACTTTTGATGATGTCCTGCCCTAGCTTCACATGTCTCAAACATGCCAAAGAGATTCATGCAAACCGTCAGAAATCTGCCAGAAAATGTGGATTCTTACTTGCTCTCCACCCATCTGCTGCTAGTATGATTTTCATCCATCGCTGACCTTAGCTACACAGCTAGAAAACACTGGTGGGGCATGACATGTTCCTCCATTTGAATCCATTTCTATATGCACGGTTCATCAAATGGGGAGCCCAAAAAACAAAAAAACATGAGTTTCCCAGTTGGACATGCCATGTTTCAGAGTATTTTGGGGCTTCCCTCACAATTTCTAGAACCACTTGGTTTCCACCACACCGAAGCACCTCTGCGCTCTGGAATCGCTCGATTTGCTCCCTGCCGGCAAGTTTGGGGTGGGAAAATCTGCAGGAAACCAACGCCGAAGAATGTCAAATACGGGGATGCCCTCCGGTTTGCTCAAACATTTCTGGCTCGGAAATCCCGATAAATGGAGCTTTGAATGGGAAATTCATCTTTTTCTTCTGGATCGTTTTCGTAAATCACATCCCGTTTCCAACATGTTTTTCCCAGCGCACTTCTATGAAGAACCCCTGGTGCCCTGGTGCTATGGGAAGGTCGGGGCAAGGAGCCACCTGGAAGATACTGCTAGACTGCTAGACCCATCACCTTTACGGGACCGTTCACAATTGAGATATATGGGGGGTTCCTACAATGGTGGTACCCCAAAATGGATGGTTTATAATGCAAAACCCATCTATACTATAAATGGATGATTTTGATTGATTTTGGTGGGTACCCCCATTTTAGGAAACTTCCATATTGAGGATATCAACATTCCAGTTGAATAATAATGTCGAATGTGTCATGCCATCATGCCATACCCCTCCAAATTTACTCGCTGAACCTCCCATTGTTTTTTCAGGATATACCCTACTGTCAATTCAAATAGATATGGACCATCCATCATTTAGATGCTATCTAAAATGAGTTCACGGAGAAACCATGGGTTTTTCATAGCCATTCGTTCGTTTACGGTTGCAGAGATAGAGCACCCCTCCTGGCATTGTGTCAGCCACTGACGATGGGCCATCGTTTTCTTAATTGAAGTGGTTGATAAATGGATTATATCTCCAAACACCACTGGTTTATAAAAGGCTATAAGATTATAAGCTATAAAATTTATAAAGTCATAAGTTATAACTACCCACTTATCAACAAATGAAGCAGCAAATATTAGCCACCCATGGCCACCTAAGCAGCCCCTTCCGCCGCACCCGTTTTGCCCCCCGCTAAAATGGCGCAGTTCCGCGGGCTGGACGATGCTGCAAAGGCAGCGCTGAGCGCGACGTCGTAGCCGGCCTCCTGGCAGAAAAAAGCGGATCAAATGGCCTGGGAGCAATCCATCTGTGGATCTACCCTCTGGTAAACTAACATAACTATGGAAAATCACCATTTTTAATGGGTAAATCCACTATATATAAATCACCATTTTCAATAGCTATGTTAAATTACCAGAGGGTATCTGTCTGCCTATCTATCCATGAATGTAAACATGGGGATTCATATGGGGATTCAGAAAGACATGTATATTGGGATAATACTTTGGATACAATGAGAAAGTGAAATCCAGAAATCAAACATGGCTCGCCGGAAAATCCGCCTAATGATTGAAAAGTTGGGGAGGGAAAAAACATGTAAACATGAATCTAGTTCGGGGATTTTCAATTGCGATGATGACAATGATTACTGGAGGAAACCGGCGATAGAATCTGGGTTGGATTATGATGTGACCACTTTACGAGGATTCTTTTGGGAGGATTCTTTTGGGAATCCTGAAATGGGGATAGTGGGATAATTATACAGCAAATAGCATATATATATATAATATACTACATACCCCCATAACTGGCCAACTAAGTCATGAGAACTGCTAGAACTATCTTCCACCAGGGTTTTGTTTGCGGGTGTGTGGGAAGGGATTCATGCAAATACAGTGTGGGCGAGTTGTTATATCTCTATATGGTTTGAACTTGTTTGAAGCTGAAAATGGCAATGTGATGTAGTAGGATTTGGCGCTTTATTGATGGTCAACAACGGTAGTTTGGGCGGTTGATTCCTGGCACACAAACATGAGTCCTCCAAATCCAAACCACTGGGCCCAAAAGAACTGAAAAACCCACCAAGTTGTGAAGCAGAAAACCATCTCAACTGACTCCAAGAGCGGGTGTTCACTTCCTATTGTTTCGCATGGCTGCCCTGATTCAACATGGTAATCGCTATAGGGAAAAAATACTGCCCCCACTATCTCGACCCCTTCAGGTGCTTGGGAACTTCTCTGTTATAAAAAAACATAAGATAGATTGAGATAGGTTAACTATAAAAATTATATATATATTGTATATTATATATATATTATAATTATATTATACATATGGTGATACGCCTATCTTTAAGGTCACCTGGATGGGCGTCATGGTCATGGTCAGCTCACCAAGGCTTCACGAAACGTCGCGCCGCGGACTCTCTTTGGATCACCCCGAGGGCTGCTCATCAGCAGTTGCCCGGCCGTTGCCAGGGCCCAGCCGCCACCACTCAAACGGTAAGCCAAGACGGCATAAATCTCCTTTCTGGCCAGCAGGCGTCGCTTTATTTAACATAGCTATGGAAAATCACCATTTTTAATGGGAAAGTCCACTATAAATGGCCATTTTCAATAGCTATGTTAAATTACCAGAGGGTATCAACCCAAGGGAAAGTTTATTGATGTTTAATGATGTTTATCCTCTACCCTTGGCACGTATTTCAAATGGAGGCTATGCTGTAACAGGTTTGCCCATTTGGTATGTGTGTTTTTGGGGGGCTGGGTGTGAGAACCAGTGAAAAGGCTGAGAAACGTCGCGCCAATCCCAGTTTGATCTATCAAACACGTCCCAACACTATGAGAGCCGAAAACAACTCAAGGGCGGTACAGAGCTGGAAAAGGATGAAGCAAGGGCATGTTTCGAACATGCGGGGTCCTTAGACAATTAAGCTCATGGTTTTCCGATCATTCCCCATGACTCATCTGACAGGAGTTCCATCAAGTTCCAAGGTGCAACTCTCAGGATTGCCAGGAGGTTCCACTGGGATGATCCTGCAACTAACTATTCATAACTGAGATGTCCTGGTATCATCTGGGATCTCCAAGATCTCTAAGACTCAAGTCAGTTCCCAGCACCATGTTTTCCCAAACCTCTTCACCTCTCCTGTGTGGTTTTCTGCAGCATCTGCCGCCCCTGGTGGCCCTGCCTCAGCTCTGGTGCTGGGCCCAGCAGGGGCTGATCCTTCAGCACGCAGCTGGGATGTCTACTCAGCAACTCCAAATGGTTGCGCAGCTGAGTGCGACTGGTCCAGCTGCGGGGCATCCTGAGGATCCACCATTTCTAGATCCCATCTCCAGGGAAAGCTATGAATTTCCATGGCTGTCTATGGCCAACAACGGCAGACAACACACACCACAATGGCAATTTGAATGTGAAAATATGTGAAAATGATGGCAATGTTGGCAATCCTTCAGAGTTGGGGGGCCATGTTCGAAGATCGAATCCATGCCGCAGTCAAAAGGGAAAATGGTAGATCCATGTAGATCCCCCAACAGCACGTTTCAACCGTTGAGTCTGGGAGTGGTGACCGGGTTGCCAGAACGGAACCCCTGGAACCCTGGAATCCTAATGTTGTGTTGCAAACATCGGGGAAGCTGGTTGACCAGTGGATAATAATGGTTATATAATATACTATTAATGGTTACTAATGGTTAATAATGCATGAATAAAGTTTAATCTCAAAATATTTCAAATAAAACAACTGCCAAGAAGCAACTCATTTCCAACATCAAGCATCCAACTTCAAATCACACCAAGAATCTTCAAAATGTCTTGCAACATCTGCACAGGCGACGTCCTCTTCAGCAGGATCCTGTGATAAGGACCCAACAGTTCCGGTCGTTCAGCATGACTCGCCATCACAGCATGCTGCTCTCCATCCGGATCGGCCAGGAGTCGAACGGCATACCTCGCCGGCTGAGAGCGCATGGTTCACCTGAAAAAAGATCTGTTTAATCTGTTCACAAATATGATGTGTATAGATGTTCAATGATGTTCATATTTACCATACAAGTATTCACGAGTACCTTAATATAACCCAAAAATTGAGAGCAAAATAAGAATGAAGCGGCCCTCAAACACGTACTGTATATGTGCATGGGTACATTTCCCATCCCAGGCTGGTTTTTTTCCACCCTTCAGCAACCAAAATACGGATAAGCAAACGGACAGAACGGCATCTCAAAATTAGATAAAAATTAGAGGATTGCCTGCTGTGAACCCCCAAAATCAAGTTGCCCGCGCAAGTCTCGCGCAAGTCCACGGGAGACAACTCGAAGATGTGCCATCTGTGCTGCTTCAAGTGCATCAAGTGCCGCTACGATAGCCCGCAAATCCTTCCTGGCACTGTGGCCAGCTTTACCAAAAGAACTTGGCAAGCTGAGAGAGACTTATCCCAAATCATCACAACGAACGGTTGGAACTTCAAAACCCATTACCCTCCAGTAAAAGCATAGCATAGACCCTAAAAGCAGACTTTTTTTAGTGATTTTAGTGGAAAGTAACCTTCCAACCCCCTGTTTGGATCTATTTGGCAGGGTCTTTGTTAGTTGGGGATACGGTTTAAAAAAATCTGACTGAAATGGGAAGCTTCCCGATCCAGTTCTCTCCATCCTTCTGCAACTGAGACAGCCACTGAAAGGCTGCTTGCCACTTGCCAGCAACAGTGCAAGTTCGAAGCAACACGCTGAAGCTGACATGGTTAGGACATAGAAGCTTCCAGTGCAACTGCCTCAAAATCAATGACATGTTTGAAGGGAAATCATGGAGAATCTACAGGAACTGTGGAGGTTTCCAGTAGGCTTATCCTTTAACAACTCCTGGACGGTCTGGAATCCTGGGAGGTCCAAAGCTGGAAATGGATCGAAACCGGGGAACCCAACTGACATCGTGAACGCAAGAATGATGGCAACTTGCTGCTGACCGTTGACCCACACATTTATTTGTTCATTTGGGTATGGATCGGATCAATACCTATTAATACTATTTTTAGTGGGATGAACATCCATTTACCAGCTATTTTGATGCTCACCAGGGGTACAAGGTTTTGACACACTGCCATTTCTCAATCACTAGTCACTAGGTGCTCTGCCGCATGTGTGAATCACATTGTTTTCATCAAAAACGCCAAAAACGCGAAAGACCATCAAAAACCCGCCCCCCAGTGGATTCTCCAGTGGATTCTGGCTGACATGTTCGGATCACACCGTGGTGCGGTCGCACAATCACCACCTGGTTGCTGAAAGCAGTGGAAGGTCTGCTCCCAGCGAAGGGCAGAGGCATGGGCCAACATCATGGCGTTGTAGGTGGACCTTCAGCGCATGACTTCGGAGTGGAAACCAGTGGAAACCAGTGGAAACCACTGGTTTCCCCACCGAAACAAATGCCGAAAAAACCTGGTGATTCGTGCATGGCAAAGCTACTGCACATTCAAAGGATGGTGAAACTACATGTATGTGAAAGTGCATGAGGTACGAGATCTAACAAACAAGGGCCACCAAGATCTCACTTTCATCCAGAAGATCATTTGGTCAACACTAAGGATCCAATACTGTCAAATTGTGGTCCTTGCTCAGATTTCAACCAGTTTAAACATCATGAATTGGTGGACTGGTTTTTGGCGTATCGCCATCACTAATTTGATGCTGACAACATCTAATTGTTCACCTTCAGGGTGGTCAACCGGCATTCAACTGTCATATAGTTTCATGGGATTTCACCCCCATGTTTCATCTGGATTTGTAATTCAGGAACCCGAAAAAACCAAGTGGATTTCCCACTGGGAAAATCAACAAACTCATCGGCAAATCCAAGTTGATCACTATTCATCAGTTATTAATCACTGTTAATCATTATAAAACACTATGAAATCATTCATTATTATCACCCACTATAAATCACTATAAATTCACTATAAAACACTATGAAATCATCATTAAATCACTATTAAGTCACTATCAATCCCCCACCCCATTCAGCCCCCGATCTCCCCGCGGCCGCGCCACGTCTCCGGCAACGCAAGGCCCGAGCCGCCGGCGCCGAGCAACTGCTGCGCCTGCTCCCAGTGCTGGGCGCGGCCCAAGCTGAGGATCAGCGAGCCGCAACTGGCAACCCCTGGCCACGCCAAATGGGATGGATATATTTCTCTCTATTATATATAATATATGGTTGCTATAATCCAATGATATTATCATTGGATCATAGCAACAATATCTTCATATAGATAGATAGATGGATGGATGGATAGATAGATAGATAGACAGACAGATAGATAGAATAGATTAGGTTAGATTAGATTAGATTTAGATTAGATTAGATTAGATAGATAGATAGATAGATTCATATTTGTGGATATCCTTAGGATAGATTCTCAAAAAAATGATGGAACGTTTTCAGCAAAATAAATGAGATCCTCACTTTCAAATCATATATATTGGTTCCTACTGCCAATTTAAATGAGATTCTCATCCAAACACTAGGCTCTTTTAGCCAAAAAAATCAGAGTCTTAGCAAAACAAAAGGAGTTACTGTAGATTGGATTGCTAACACTATCTTTCTTTTACCTCTCTCTCTCTCTCTCTCTATTGGATTTGAGTATACTCAAAGTTTGGATTTTCGACCAATCCATTGGTTTTACGGGGTCACTTTAATGATCTTAGTGATCTCTAGTGGAAACCTGGTTTTAGCCATCAAGCCATTTGTTTGCTTAACCCCCGGCATGTGGGTGCATTTAAGTACTCCAAAAGTTGAAGGTCCATGGCTTCATTTTCCGGGAAGGCTTCCTTTGGTTTTTTTCTTTTTATGCCAACAAATTTTGGGAGGAGTGAAGGGGGGTTCCAGCATCAAAATGGGCATGCTTCGAATCTGTTCAAGCCAGAGCAGCCCTGTAAGGCTGAGTCACAATAAGATGGGAAACATGTGGGCCAGGAAATATTGGAAAAACACACGGGGGAGGATCCACTCAAAGTGTAAATTTGCCAATATAAAATCGATATAATAATGAATAAAACTAAGTAATTAACTAAAACTATTTTAGAACTGGTTGACTTGGGTACTTGGGTATGGGGTCAAAAATTGCTCATTAGCTTGCCAAGAAGTGCGATATTCGCCGAACAATTGGTTGAAAGATAAATGATGACGATGATGATGACGATGATGATGATGATGATGATAATTATGATAAGTTGTTTTTTGAACCTACCTGAAATATAAGATAATCTCTCGAATCATCCCCCAAAGTGATGGAAGAGCAGTCGATTCTTGAAGCCTTCTGGAACTACCAGCCAAAGAACTTCAGGAAACTCCAGCCAAGGATGCCAACTGGCGGCCACTTGTCAAACGGCACTATTTCTGTGTTCCCACAAGCCCTGGAAGATACCAGCGTGATTCCGCACATTTTCTGGAAGTTCACCCAGGTTTCACATCCATCCCAAGTATCAAGGATCGATCATTCTATCATCCCCAGTGGAATTATCCCCAGTATCATCCACCCATCCCCAGTATCATCCATCCATCAATCCATCCCCAGTATCATCAAATTTGCCCAAGCACCTGCCACTCCTTGCTGCTGTGCTTTCCAGAACAGCTGCGTGGCCACTTGCCAGTTCCTCACAGCCTGCGACGCGCTGATGGCAGCCAAGTAGGCCGTTTCCGTCAGGGGCGGCCGCTGGCTCTGCATGTCCTGATTCCAAGGGACCACCATGGCCAAGCCTACAAAGTTTTTGGAAAACATAAATTGTTGTTGTATGTATGTAAGTTATGGTTGTCACCAACCCAATGTCTTTGGTCTACTAACCATGTTGTTGTTGGGATGCCTTTTCTTCTCTTGCCCGACCAAATGCACCAAATACAAATTTACGGGCACTTTTCACCCCCATAAAAATCCTCATAGTTCTGGCCCATCAATCCCCGGTTTAGTGCTCCATTCATAGAACCCAGCAGAGTGCAAAATTCCTCTTACCTTTGCTCCTTTGAACCCAGGCCCATACTATTAGATCTATGAGCTATAACAAATCCCCATATGTGTGGCAGCTGAAAGACCGACCATGCTTATGTGTCCCATCTTCTTCCTCTTCCAAACCTGAAACAAGTAAACCAAGTTTGTTTATCATTTGTTAGGGGGCTGGTTTCACCACAATATCTTAAATCTGATGCATCACATAATATATATATACATACGCGCAACGCCTGCATTGGCAAAAAATGCAAGCCTATATGATATAGTTATATATATATATATCACATTTATTTAATTAATGATATGTATATATATATATATTCCTACTAATTGATGGTTTCAACCCCCCTGAAAAATATGAGTCAGATTGGATCATCATCCCAACTATTGGGGAAAATCAAAGCCAAGCCATGTTCCAAAGTTCCAAACCACCAACCAGCCTATATAGTATTATATAGTATCAATTTCACGATATTTCTCCACTATAGTTCTACCTTCATCCCAGGCCTCCAACATCCCCAGGCTCTTGGCCCATTGCACCGCCCGGGCGCACGACAGCAGCGCCATCCGCATGGCCGCCACATCGCCGCGGGTGCGCGCCAGGTGCAGCGCCGTGGCCCAGCTCAAGGCGGCCCGGAGAGCCATGGGACATGGTGCTGGGATGATGGATGGGGCCAGAAGTAATTCATTATGATTATAAAGTGTATAGTATAGATGCATATAGATAGATGTATATATATATATGTGTGTGTATATATATGTGTATATATATATATAAATATAATATTTAATGTTTTATAGCAATGGTTCAATTATATGATATCAATTAGGCATAGCAATAATTCAATTACAATGTTTGAGTCATGGTCATGGTATGTCATGTTTGAGTTCGGGCGCACCCACCAGAAATTTGAGAGATCAATATGGGAAGATGATACTAAACATATATTATTGGAGGGCAGGTGTTTTGGGTGCCATTTCAGAAGTAATGGACCTCGGAATACACGGGCCTTGGCATATCAACATATATCAACCAGAAGCCATCCATGGTGAAAGCGAATCTGGAGTATTGCCTGGGGTCTACCCTGATGTATTGGAAGAAGGGTGCTAGACTCCAAGAATTTGCGAGGCGATGGCCTCAATAAACCTTCATTGGGGAAACTTAAAAATCATACAGTATCATGATGTAAGTATCATACATCAAAATGCATGATCCTGAAAACGGCTGCCTGTCAAGTGACAGTTGGGTTACTTGGTACGACTTCTAGCTTGGATTGGCTGCAGGGTTTAAGCAGGCAATCGGCCTCTGGACAATTTGGATCCAGGTCCCTGCACTGTTGCCACAATTGGAAATGGCAATTTTATGCAACTTCCAAGTAAGATATAATAAGATTCTGTCATTTTCAAGGCCCAAACATAATTTCAAAAGGGGCTGGTTTACTGAAGTTGTCCGGTGTGCATGGTGGTGCCGGTATAGTTGGAGTTCATGAGTTCCATCACGGCAAATGGTCACTGATGCAAAAAAAACCTGTTCACGTTGTTAAAACCTCGAAGTTACGAGTCAAATCTTCCACCTTCACCTCCCAAATCATCGATCAATAGAATACACACAGCACTATAGCACTAATTATTCAGCTTCATCCAAATATCAGGATATAGACAGATACCCTCCGGTAAACTGACATAGCGAAGATGCCCCCATGGATGATTTAAAATGGTGGTTTCTTAAAATCGGAAAATCTTTCAATACATGGTTCTTAGTATTGAAAGAACCATGTTTTAAAATGGGGGGTTCTTAGTTAAACAAAAAAGTCATGGATGTGATTTGGGTGATTTGGGTGATTCTTCCTGATTAATATATGGTTCATATATGGTTCATGGATGTCATGGTCATGACCGATGACCGATGACCGATGGGAGCCCCCATGACTTCACTGGGAACCACCGCCACCAACGTCCTGCAGGGCCATGGCACGATCAAAGTTCACTGTGAGCTCGGCCAAACGACCCAGCAATGGGCTCAAGAGCCTCACTGCCGCGGAAAAAATGCGGGAACTTTAACCAACAGCTTACTGATCGTACTGGTGCTAAACCTGGGGAATGGATGGGAATATGATGGGAATGGATGGGTTGCTGGGGGAATGGGATGATTATTACTAGTGATTATGGATCATTCCCGAAAATTCCCTGCTAAGCACCAGTAAGACAAACACACACAATTGGATTTAAATGGCAAAACCATGGGTTTCTACCCGCCGCTTTGCACCAGCTGAATATCCTGCCGCTCATCTTGCTGGTCTATACACCATCGCCCTAGGCCTGGAACTCGAGATGAGGCGTCAACAACTGAAGAACTTGATAAAGCGGACGTTTTCCCTTCAACATCAGCATGTTTATGCAAGTTTCATCATTTTTTGGGGTTGTTCATATCAATTCCACAAAAATGGATGAAAACTCAGGGGCATAGCAATTCTGCAGTGAGTCGTTCTCCTTGAAACGCCACCTGTGCCGCACGGCTTTTGGACTCCGACAGCTTAACTGGTGGAGTGTGCGGCCTGTCGCCCATTAGGGTCCAGGATGGCACGATCTGCAGGCCACTGAGGTATGGGACACCTGTAGGTCTCCCAGCATGACAACTCCTACGTATGTATGTTTACATATTAGTGTATGTATAATATGCATGCATATATATATATATATATGCACCACGTGTACATGCACTATATAATATATATATGTATATAAACATTGTATAATATGCATGTGTATGTGTATATATATATATAATATTATATAGATATATATGTGTATATATATATATGTAATATTATATATATGCATATAGTTATACGCCATGTATCATTTTATGATGAAAAACCAGTGGCTGCAGACCAAAACTGGATACAGTCGCAGTCAAGGAAGCCAAGCAAGTTTGTTGTAGCTGGGAGCAGCTGGCACGGTGCCAGCTGAATCACTTCAGTTTCTATGGCCTCCCTAAACTGAGGATGTAAGAGCTCAAAATCAACCATGGACCAGCGCCAGAATAATTATGCCAGAATCTTGAATGTGCCACAGGTGCCTCCTGAACCTTGAATTCCACATCAGTTCATGGTGTTCATAATCAGTCGTTTTCCCAAATAACCTACGTAGCAAGAAGTTGGGGTTTTAGAAGTAAAGCCAATGAATGTAAGGCAACGAACCAGTTCAAACAGCTGAAACAGTTTGACTCATATTCATGCCAACTTCCGACTGCAGACGCTTTGCTGGCTTCAAGTCTGCCACTGCTAAATCAATGATGAGCAGGAAAATAAACTAGCTTCTGATTCAAAGGCTTATGTGATGTATGGGCGCGTCCCAACATATGGGAATCATGGGTCACATTTTTTTGAATCAGCAGTAGAACAAGACTTAGCAGCTGAAACCGAAAGCCAGAAAGTCTGAGGCAATACATGATGTGGTGACATTTCGGAGGACACGCCGCCACGCCAAGGCCAAAAGGCATCCCAAACGCAAAATTCTCACCATTGCTTCAGATTTCCAAACCATTCAGCAAAGTTGAACCATGTTGAACCATATTGGACCCTTCACCCTTACACTTCAAGAGGCAACTTTTAGCCACAGGATGCCACAAAGAAATAGGACCAAATGTCGGCGGAAGAATAAAACGTTGGCACACGGCAGGTTCCATCTGCAGGAAGATGCACCTAGACCCCTGTCATGCCTTGGATATATAGAATCCTATAGGGCTATCAATAGCTATTCGTCTGAAAAGGAAGAGGAAAAGATCATTAAAACCGGGAGAAAAACGGGGCCCACCACTGCCACCACTCTCCGACTGAGGATTCATGAGGTCGGTCCATCACTGTGCACGTTGCACGTTGCATGGCCTGCACCTAGCAATCGAATGAAAGCGCTGGAGTCGCTGGAGGGAACCAACGTTTTTGGTGTCCAAGATCTATTGGACATGCACCAACCTTCGGCGCATTGCCGAGAATACGACGGGGCAGTGACCGGTGATGCTTTGTGTAAGGATAGGGTGAAAATGGGTGAAACTTCTCAGTCCTCAACAAAACAAGGCCGCCACAGGTCCCACACTCTGATTGTTTTTTTCTTCTTTCAGTTTGTTTCAACATGTTTCAACTAATTCATCTTATACTGCTATACATTGCTATACTAATATGTACAGAAACGGAGATAGACTGTATACATCAGCTTTATTTGCGGTATTGTTGTAGTTTGACGATTTTCGAGCTGCCGCGATTTCCAAACCTCCTGGGAGTTTAACAAACAATACGGGTTTTGAACACGGACACTGCAACATACTGTAACCCCTGGTTTTCCAAATGGCCAGGTCGTCGACATGTTCAACGATTGGCGGCCCTAAAACTCTCCGGGAATCAAAACCTGGCAATGGGAAATCTCGTATAAATGGAGGTTTTAAAGGGACACTCGACTCATATCGACTATAGAAATGGAGGATGTTGAAGTCGGGAAATACCAATTCAATGCTGTTCAGAAATCCAGGGGTGTAAGTGTGATGAAACCATCGGGATATTCTGCAAATGCCTATTCATCACACGAATCACTGCCCGAACACGGAGATCTTCGCGTCATGACTCGCGAAAAGAACCTCTCTCACGGTCTAAGGAGCAGGATCACAGGATTGCAATCCGTGGTACCATATGGTCTTTAAAAAAAACACACACCACCAGCGTACAACACCTGTTCTGCAGTGGTTCATCCTTTTTTTCCGTTAGAAGTTTGTCGGGATGGCCACTGGCCACTACAATGGTCCTGATGGCCACCACTCGTAGCACCTCCTGTGGCATCCCAGCTCCGTTGATTTTGAGTGCGGCAAAGGCTCTGTTTTGTTGGCCGTGCCAGCACGGAACCCAAATCTTAAAACCCAACAAATATGATTGAAGGCAGATTCTGTCAATCATAGTTTCACACTGTTGTGAAAAGCCAAAAAATATGGGTGTTCATCCGCGCCTTGCATGTTTCAGCACCAGATCACAAGATGTACCCAGTTTGTTCAAATCCAGCAGCTTCTAAGTGAGGTATGTGGGCTCAGATTTGTCATTTTGCTCCATGAAGGCTTCCAAGACGTCCGTCGTCGGCCTGCCCGCGCTCACAGGGCCAGTGAGGATAAGTAGACCAAGCCACACTGGAAGTTGTCCCAACGGTTTGTGCAAAGAACAAAGCCATGTTTGGATCACCCAACCAGCCATGAGGTCGCTATAACCCTCACAGGTGGGCCTTTCATCCCCGTCTCGCCCCCCTCTCTCTCTCTGCAGAAACAGGCGAAGAGAAATGGAGCATGAAGATTCAAGTATTTACATTTCTCTCTCTTTCTCTCTTTCAGTCTCCATCGCCATCTAATGTACATCTATACATTGAGGTTTTTGCGTATACATCTGCAAAGTTACTATTAGTCAATATATATATATATATGTGAAATTATAAAATTATATGAATACATATTCTGGGTTCTTGACTACATTGACGACATGTCATCTTGCCTCCATGAGAGTTCATTCGAGGCCTTTGTCAGAAAAACTTGGAAATACTCCTGGCGTGGTAGGTGCCAAGCTCAGCATCAGTGGATATGTGCGATGTGTAGTCCTATCACTCGTGTATGTGGTTTCCCCTGAAATCTCAGCAAAATAGGTATCTCATGCTGATCCTTGAAACTAATTTAAATTAGCCAAGAAATACGAAATGATGCAAGCAGGTGCAAGCAACGTATTTCATGCATGGATGGCGCAGAAAGTGAACTCCAAACGTGTCAAGGGAAAACTTCTCTGCCTCTTCAAACCACCTTTTGTTGTATGCAGCGTTTCTGCACCAAGTAGATCCCATCAATCTCAATCTAAAATGATTTGATGGGGTCCACCCGTCCATCCACCATCACCCAATCTCACTGGATACGAACCAGTGGGATATCCAGGCTAGCTGGCTCCCCAACGATCCTTGGGTTTACACATCATAATCTGGAAACATTCAAGGGAACAGTAAGTAACAACACCTTCAACACAACATGTCACTGTCACCGGGGGTTCGCACCAATTACTCAATTTGATTTAGTTTTGGAACTACATTTTTCATGGCAACTGGAAGCTGGGCCCGTCCTGGTGCACGCCAATCTACCTTTACCTTTCTACATCCTTTCTACTCACTGGCGCTTCTCCGTTTTATTCATCGACCCAGTCGGACTATCCCTACAGAACGGTCATGAACGGTGGCAGCATGTCGCGGCACCTTCGAAAGGCCATAGTTTTGTCCCAGCACATCCAGTTGCAGCTGCAGGGTGTCATCAAAGACCTGCCCGATGCGCGCACGAAAATCCTCCAGGCGTTCACCTGGCCGCTGTGATTGGGCTGAGATAAACTGAAGGGGCGCCCCTTCGGCCAGGTGGCAGGCGGCTAGGAGATTGCAGCTGGAGTTTTCCATTAACCATCAAATCATCAAAAAGTGAGATCTACTTGTAGATGCCCAGTGGCCGATGCCAGGAGGGCTATCCACCAAGAGCCCATTCAGGTCACTTCTTCGCAAGAAGATCTGATGCGCCAACCTCCCAGTCGCATACCTGGTGTCAAAATCTATCAAAATGCGTCAAACCATGGGGTCTTCATGACCAATCAACGTCTGCACTGGTTTCTTGTGAGTGTGGATTGCCGCTACAAAATAATCATACGCCTGTGCGACCGCAATGTTCGATCATCATGTTCAATCATCATGTTGATTCATCACGTTGAATCATCATCATCATCACCATCATCATTCCTTTAGCATGGGCATCGCCATATTGAGAACCAGTGCCAATGAAAAAATGCCTTCAATGACGCGTGCCAATAGGTGCATCAAACATGATCACAGCAACTCAACAAAACCACCTAAGACCTAAGGTAGAGAAAAGAGGGGAACAACAAGAACACAACCAAGGTGGGCCCCCCAACATCAAAATCAGCAAGCGCCTATTTTCCGCTAGGTACTTGAGCCATATGTCATTAGGCGATAATGATCCCTAACTAAACACGGCTACTACCCCAATAGGTTAACGCTTCTAACCATGGGGCTATCTACATTGTGATGACTGTACAATGACTTAGAGTGTTGAACAGGTATCATAGCTACAGCAACTACCGCATGTGGTGAACTATGAGTAGACTATACAGTGGGGGTAATGGGTTCGTAATATTTCTACTAAGGTTCGTCCAAAACATTGGGTTCAGCCATCATTCTTGTACCCAAAAAGGATGGTTCCTAGTGTGGTAAACCCAAAAATTCATAAAAATTCATCAACCATGCACGAATGCTGAGCTTTTCAAAAATGGGCGCTATAGATCATCATGATCATCCCACAGGAACTTGAAGTAACTTGACTGATCCCCAAAAGTTTCATCGACGGCGAACGGATACCCGCCTGGTAAAAACGGCTTCTCCTCCCAGCTGCCTCTTCTCCTCCAAGGAGAGTTTGGAGTCCAACATAAACTGAGCCATTCGTCGGATCCTGGGCTGTATCCACTGTGGTTTTGATTTTGTTCGAAAGAATTCAGGTGGGCAACCCCCCAAACAAAAATAAGTTCTCATTTGTAGCAACCACCTAAAAAGATACAAAAGTCAAATCCTGCTACCAGTAATGCCAAATTCCACTCCTGTCTTTTTGAGGATTACTACAATACTACAATGATTCAAGAGGCATAGGGCATAGGGGCTTTTTGATCCTGGGTTAACAGTATAGAGGAACATCGAATCTACGTGCATACTTGAAAAGCGCACAGCAAACATATGGAAACATGCAATGCTGTACTACACATAATGAATGTGGAAACATGTGTAAAACTGTATAGCTGTATAACTGCGTAACGTCCAAATACAAAGAACCGTAGTTTTTGTGTGCACGTGCTGGTAGAAAAATCTAGACTCAAATAGACCAATGTTGGGATGGCATACAGATCCCAGTACAAACTGATTGCCAATCTAACAGGAGAACAACTAGACTACTGGGTGACATCGGGAATGGCTACTGCGAAGCATAAAGAGAGCCAATCTGCATTTCCAAACTGTCCAAACTGACTCTTGAAGTACAAAGACGGGCCGCTATCTGCCAAAAAATGAAATTAACTATAATTAACTCATCACCAGGAATGAGATGTAAGTAGATGTAAGTAGAACATACTTGGGAGCCAATTTCCAGTGCGCAAGGCTCAGCAGGTAATGTCTGACCTGTCGGAACACTTGGCCCTTTGATATCTCTTGGACTCCCAAATTGTTTCCTGTACTCCAAAATTGGTTTTCAGACCCCAATCCCATCCCCCATCTGGCCAGGTATCTTGACAGTGTCATCCTCTGTCACTTTTAAACCAGCTTTGATGGATTTCTCACGAACCAACTGCCGCTGTAGCAAATGCAGATCCGGCCCGAAGTCGTGCTCCTGATCCTCCTCCGCTCTGCAGTGATGGGAGAATAATTTTCAGTTCCCTTCGGTAGACATGGCCTGTTTTTTCATCCACATGTTCAGTAGGAAAAACATCTTGCAAGTATTTGCAGATAGATTTGCCAGTGCCAAGGCTGCCAAGGTTGATATTAAAGATGATTAAAGATGATTGTAGTTGGATGCTAAGTCAAAGATACAAAAGGCTGCCTTTTGTTCTGGGAACTGTCCAGTCACAAGGCAACAGGCCATCGGGACTCCGGGATGGATCCCGGTGGGATCCCATGGATCCCATCCTCCAAGTTGTCGATGATGGAGTCCTTGGGAAACTGACGCTGAACCGCTGAAAGTGGTGAACTAACATCCAGCAGTGGTCGTGGCTATAGACAGACATGAAACAGCTGCCACTTCAAAAAAGGCTTCGGTGCCCTGAAGGATCTTCTGTAGCGCCAGTGCCGTTGATCCCAACCCAATGTATGATGTGGCACTGAAGGAAACCCATCGCCAGAGTCTGTTGTTCTAACGTGTCGAGTATCCAGGTCATTGAGGAATACATGCAAATTGCCAATTTGCAGATGTCCATCTGGTGCTGTGGCTGATGGTAGTTGCAAATCCTTTGCAACCTCAGTCCAAAGCACTGCCATACCCGCCGGCCAGTGATCAACTGCTGGATGATCAGGCCCAGTCAACATTAATCATAGTAATGATCACCGTGAATCAAAACTCCCACCATTTACACAAACAGAAGCAAACAAATCATCAAGTGTGAACCCAAGAATTGATTGTTTCATCTTAAAAAAAAAGTGGAATCGTGAGACTTTGCTTCCCATCATTCTGATCATTCTGTCTGAACATGGGGTATATCGCCATTATACCAGCATTTTGTCCATCAAAACATCGAAAATCATAGGATGGATGTCAAAAACCTAATGAACATTTTGGATAATTACTCTCGTTTGGATCGTACAATTCTGATGCGGGATGGCTTCTTGGAAATTGATATGGTTTTAAGTGGGTTATGGTTCATGTCCGATGTTGGATTTAAGCAAAAAACTTGAGGTTCAGAAATAGGTGCGGAACATCTGGAAACGCCATGGAAATATTCAACATCTTCGGAAGAGTGGCGGCATTGGGGCATACTTATTTCAGAGTTGTGTGCTGCTGTTTGTCAATGTTTCTGGCATCTGTCTTGGTAAGGGCTGTTCACCCTTGCGTTGCACTTGCACTGTGGAAGCTCCTTAGGGGCTGTGGATGGGCTATGGCTGCTGTGTGCTCATGGGGCGGGCTTTTCGGTGCTGTGGCCAAACTGTGGCTGTGGGAAACATCTCACAAGCAGGTTGGTTTTGCATGGTTTTGCACTTTTTTGCACAAGCCCGAATGAAGGTGGAAAGCATCTCACAGGCACTTTGTTCTTGCACCGACCTGCTTGTGGAAATTACAGCGTAAAAAGCATCTCAGGATTACTGAATGTGTCTTTCACATCCGCGCATCACAGCCACGTTCTATGTGGAATATCCAGTCACAACATTGATCTTGAAACTGGGCTCTGCTTTGCCTATAGCCCTAGAATTGGATTTTTGGTTATCGTTCGGTTATCGTTCAGGTTATCGTTCGGGGCCACGGCCAAGAAACAGAAAGTGCGCGTGCCTACGTATTTAAAAAAAAGAAAAAATCCTTGCTGTGTATGGCTGGCTCCACATGACTACAGGCTAGCCAGGAATGATTTCCACAATGGCGGTTTTGCTGAGAGTGTCCACACCATGCAGAACACTATGCAAAATGTCCATCATGACAGCACTGGATGGAGAGATTTTGGTTATCGGTCTTTGCGAAGGGTCAGCTAAATGATATCAGCAAGAATGTCTTAAGTAAAAGGTTTTGGTTATCGGTCTATGCGCGGGGTCAAAAAAATCGATATCTAATTCTAAGGTTTCTACTATCGTTCACTGCGCAGGGCCAATCAAAATTGAAAAAGCAAGCACTTCAACAGCCGCAGTTAGGTGCAGGACGGCTTCTTGAGACGAATACTAAAAAAAGTAGTGGGGACAGCAATGTCTCAAAACCCTGCAAAAACGCAAATCCGGGCTTTTGACGGAACTCTATAATAGGGGAATATGTGATATATCATGATATAATGATATATATATATATGGATATATGGAATGTGATATTTATATATCATCCGCATATATACATATATATTTGTATGATATAATTACATATAATATATCATACAGATACCCTCTGGTGAACTAACATAGCAATGGAAAATGGCCATAGAAATAGTGGATTTTCCCATGAAAAATGGTGGATCTTTCCATTGCTATGTTAGTTTACCAGAGGGTATATAATATATGGATGTTATTAATGGAATGCCTCGCCTTCACCAGCGCCGAGCGGAAGCGCGAGGTCGCCGGCAAGGCCAGGGACCGGATCTCGCCCTCCGCCAGCTGCCGCAGAAACGCCTAAAAAGGGCGGTGGAAAATGGGGAAATCCATGCTGTAGAAATTCATGTTGGTTACCCTCTGGTAAACTAACATAGCAATGGAAAGATCCACCATTTTTAATGGGAAAATCCACTATTTCTATGGCCATTTTCCATTGCTATGTTAGTTCACCAGAGGTTAACCCAATAATATAATAAATAATATATAAATATGTAATAATAGTAACCCAATTTACTATAGTAACCACTATGAATATCACTATAGTAACCACTATCAACCATTATTAACTGGCTGGTGGTTTTCACCATCTTGAAAAATATGAGTTCGTCAATGGGAAGGATGACATCCCATATATGAAATGGAAAATAAAAAATGTTTGAAACCACCAATCAGATGTAGTTTCATAGTTTTATATCGAAATTCATGAAGAATAGATGAAGAATAGACTTACGGTTTTGGGCAGCCCAAGACCCGCCAAAACTCGCAGGTGCCGTCATTTTCTCAACTGCGTCAACCCCACTTTCGATGCTTTCACCGGCCTCAGCCACCCTGAGCAGCTCTTCATTACTGCCCTCTTCCTTCAACATGTCGATGACCAGGGTGTCCTGTCATTGCAACGGATATATTGGGATGGTGGGACGAGGCTCAACAATTTACACAAATCCAGAATCGAACAAAAAGATAATGTCCACCATTTTGGACCCACAAACTCAATCAAATTGGGTCGAAAATGAGCTCCTCTCTCTCTCTCTTTTTGATGGTGTGGTGAGCTTGGAACCCTGGAATTCTCTCACAAAATGGAAGAACACGGTCAAGGGAACCAATGGGACACCAAACTCAGTGAAGGGTACCCATCACCATGGCTCACCATGGCCAGGAATGTGTGTATACGATTGCATATGTACCATGTCTATCCATGTCCACTTATATGTATCATCCAATAATGTCCTTTTGGTAAAAATAGAGGGGCCGGTTTGGTATACCATCTATCACCATTTACCTGTTGTTACAGGGGTTTGTCCAAACCCCTCTATTAATCAACCAACCAATGGGAAAAGGACATCTATGGTATCATCCATAGACATTGTGACAAATAAAATGTCAACAAAATGTATACACATTGACATGTATAAAAAAAATGTTGTACCATATATATCGATCACTTACGGCAAGAGGTCATAAAACCCAACACTGGCAGATGGCTGTGCTGGTGGTCCAAGCGTGTTTACAACTGGGGCTGAGGGTAGGGAAGGGTTTGCAGCCCGGCCGTCAAACATTTGAAAAGTCATCAGCAGTCCATGTTCATAGCATAACTAGCATGCAAATCTGGAGCTCACACGATATATCATCATATCTTATAATCAAAATTGAAATGCCATCACCGAATTATCAGTTTTTTTCTTTGGCACCATCAGCCATCACCCAAACAAAATGCCTTTCCCCCTGCTGTTCCAATGTTCCAACCCAACTCCGCACCGAAAATCTGCCGTCACCGTCACCGTCGTCACCGTCCGTCCGCCTCATCCACGCTGCTGCGATGCGTCATGACCACGCCCCGCTCTTCAGCGATGACGCCGGCGAAGTTTTCTAAAGACCTGGGTACCTCGCTGTTAACGTAACACCCAGGTGACCCACAAATCGTGTCGCGGATTGCTCGGAAATTTCCGGCGATGATTTGGGCACTAATCTACACTGGGAAACGTCTGGCAATCTGCTAGTACCCTTTGTTGTCAAACGTGGCAGGCCTTTGAGAAATCCAGGAACTATATAAATGGAGGATTTTCCAGCAAACCATGTTTGATTACGGGAGGGTAAATGACACATGACAATTTGGAATGTAACCCCCAAACAACCATGATTTGGGCACTAATCTATACTAATCCCATCTCCCTGATACTGAATACCCCCATTCCCCCCCCTTCCAAAAAATAGATCCAGTACTAAATCAGGGCTATGGCTGGTATTTCATATTCGGCGGATGGGATTGGTGATGTAAAAATAAAAAGGGAAAATAAATGAAAAAACATGACAAATCAATGATCATCCTCCATGTATAAGCCGGCAAGCGACTGGCAATCAAGATCCTCCATTTAAGATTGATGTCAAGGATGATACAGTTTCCATCAATTGTTATGTACCGGCAAGACATGGTTGTTCTTCGCACGTTGCTGGTGGTATGAATCTTCCTGCCAACTTCTGTGTCTGAATTGCCAGAGTACTCTGGACTACGCGATGACTCGTCGCAACACGAGGAACTTGAGTTACAGATCTCAATCATTTCAAACTGAGGTGAAATATGAACCGTCCTCTGCTTTCAGCTAACAGCTAAACTGTCACAAGATGTTTGGAGTCACCTCCTTTATGATCTACTAATTCTTTCCCTATGAGCCAAGGTTTTCACAGATACGGCCTTGAAGGGGCCAAACATTTACAAACGTTTCACCAGCTTGAAATGGTCTCAAGCGAACGATGGATTACAACCAGCCAAAATAGCTGTAAATAGAATCCGCCAAAAAGGGGCCATGGTATGTAAATGACTGCGAGTCGGTACGATTCAATGATAGCTCATGTTCAAGACCCTTACTGTAGGTCACCCCAAGTGTGACAAATACTCAAACGCATTTGACGGTTAAACAAGATCTTCAAACAGCCGAGTTCTTGTTGGGAAAAAAACAACCTGTGACTAGCGAAAAATGTATATGTGTTTTTTTGGGGGGTGCCCCAAAAACATACCAAAAAACCAGACCGCTGGTAGAATCAAGGCACTTGGACGGGAGATAAGCCGCAGGCTAACGATTCCATATCCTCACCTGGTCGACCGCATTGGCTTATGTAGTCTTCTCTTGCTACGGAGAAGCTAGAAATAAATAAACCATTTTGGGGTCACTTTACATCATCCCAAATAAGGATATACCGGAATACGCAATACTATACAGCTCTATTACTCTATTGCTTCTGGATTCTAAATCCCCTAAGTGGATTATCCATGATTATCCCATGTATCATTGGGTGAGCTAACCACCACTTGCTAACCAGCCCCGCTTTCGGAGCAAGCGGCGGAGTTTCTTGGAGAGCTGATCCTCTTGAAGGAGCAGAAGTCCTCGGAAAGTCACCGGCGGAAGCAAAGGACACAGCACCGGCGCTTGTCCCCCAAAAGGGTGACTATAGTTGGCTCCGATGATGATGATGATGATGATGATGATGATGATGATCTCATAGTTGGCTCCGATACTACAACTGTTGGTGTTCCATTCTCACCGCTTGGCTGATTTATGGGGATGAAAACTCTATCTTTTGAACTAACAAGACAAATGATAGCAAGTTGGATTGCAAAATTATTAGCTATATGCCAACCATTGCCAACCAACCGTTAAAATGACCCTGCTTTTTGGCGACGAAACGTCCCCGATCCAAACTCATCCCGTCTCCTACCTTCCCTGGTCCCTCCTCCCCAAATCATATACTCCGTCCTTGTTTCCAGGCTGGGGCTGTCAGATTCCTCTCACGTGCTTTAGCCATCAGAACGGCCTTTTGCTGCCGAGTCATGCCTTCGTTGAAGACCTGGCACTGCGATTTGCCCACCAAAAAAATGGCCATATTGGCCATGTTGATGGGAAAAATATATGGAATTTCCTAAGGATTTGTTTCATGATTTTCCTGGTGTATGGGGGAACCTCGGTGAAACCAATTATAAATGACAACCATCTGTAAACCAGAAGCATGGGTGGAATGGGTTTGGCAAAACCTGGGGATGACTTATCGATCTATCATCATTTTCACTATCAACATAAATCAACATAGCCAAAAATTGGAGTGCACCCGATTTATTGAAACGTGGTTTTAACCATCTTGAAAAATGATGGAGTTCATCAATGGGAAGGATGACATCCCATATATGAAATGGAAAAATAAAGAAATGTTTGAAACCACCAACCAGCAATTTATTGAAACATTTTCAAACATTGAATTGGGGAAAACAGAAAAAAAAAACGCAAATCATCCCAAATCTATAAATTGCTATGTTTCAACAACCACATCCCCATCAGATCCCATCAGAATCCATGCGTCCTCGCAGTCTGGGGTCATCTCTTGCAGCATCTTCGAAATCCGCTCCAGAAATTCCTCCTCATCTTCCTTGGCGGAGGGGGTTTGGCGTAAGTGGCACTGGGACGAAGCCGGGACATTCTGGGCCATGACTCTCGAGTTTCCAAAGATTTGAATGGCAAGGTCTTAGCTGTTAGCATGCTGTTAGCATCATGAAACCGCCATTCTTGTTGATTTAAATCTCCATATTGGGTGGATAAAATTCAGTTTGTTTGCTTAAGCCCGATTTTGCATGCTTTGAATCACCATTGAATTTTTGGGTGGGAATCATGACGTTGAAATACGTGGGTTTAATGGTTGCAAGTCAAAAGACGTAAATACGCGTGTTTGTTGGTTAACTTACAATTTTTGCTGATTAAAATATCCTTGAAAATGGTGCGAAACAACCCCAAATCGACTATTTAAGTTTGGATGTGCTTAATAGCCTCAACAAAAATACAAAATAGTCCCAGTAGATTCCCCAGTGGATTAACCAATGGGAAAATTAAAAAGAATCCCCTTCAGCAAATCCAAGTAAACCCTTCACAGCTCCAATTCTTACTGCTGAAACACCCCAAATACCAAAAAAATCCAAGATAAGAACAACACACATACAAGATATATAATGATATATATATATATATTTCTATATCACTCTATATCATGATATATAAACTATACACCCCCATTTATTTCGGATATTTGCCCAACATCTTCCAGGCTCCACGGGTTGCAGCTCCACCGGCGCCGACTCCAACTTCTCGGCGCTGGGCCCGCTGGGCCCACTGGGCCGCCGGGTGCTGCTGCGACGACCTGGCTACAGCGGGATTTACTGCTGTGATTTTATAGGAAAACCATAGGAAAACCATAGGAAAATGGAGGTTTATCCTCTGGTCATTTAACATAGCTATTGGAAATTGCCCATTATAGTAGATTTTCCATGAATTTCCCATCAAAAATGGTGATTTTCAATAGCTACGTTAGTTTACCAGAGGGTAGCCTGGAAACTTGGGGACTTCGGATGACTTGGGATGACTTGGGATGACTTCGAATGACTTAGATTTGGATTGAGACCATGAGACCATGAAACTCTTGGAGACCATCAAACATGGAGGGACTTCTCCATCAAAGACTTGGATTTGACAAAGAAACTTTGGGTGTGGCGGCATAGAAGCAACCATGATGATCCATGATGAGTCTAGGTATGGCAAGGTATCCTGGAATATTGAGCAACGATATTCTATCGGGTTTGTCCAAAAAGTGTGTATACCTCAGAAATAGCAATACAGTAATAAGCGTGTTTAAAACATTTTAAAACAAAATATGAAAAATGCAGATCATCAACTCTAAGGGTACAGGTTTATGCAAGAAAAATCGTTTAGGGCCCCGGCCCATCAGCCAACACCAGGCCCTGGAATTGCACAAAAAAGGTGGTGGATCAAGCAATGACAATGGAACGTGATGGAAAGGATCTGAACATGTCAATAAAAAGTCCACAAATATCAACAAATGGGGGGAAAAATTGGCAAAAAACAAAAAAACATCTGGGAATCTGGGACATTAGACATGAAGTAACCCTTCAAGTATCCAACACCCTGAGAGTCGGCCATTTGGACCCAGGCACGCTCCAGCTTACGAGTGTCTTCCCGCCTGACGGAGAGACAAAGGATGCGACGGTCCAAATCTTGGGGAAGCCGAACCCCAGAACACACCACGATCCAAATGGTTCTTTCCTTGGAAAAACCTCAGTTGGTTTATATAATTACCTCTAATCGGTTTATATAATTATCTCTAATTATTGTCCACTATCTTTCACTCAATTTGATGGTTGGCAACCTTTGCGTTTGGGTTGACCGAGCCAGAGTTGCATAAATCGCCTGTTTACAGTACCGGAATAAAACCAGTTTTCAATTAGTACCCCTCATGAAACTTCACAATCATTTATTGTGAGGTCATGTGATGTCATGAAAAATCTGCCAGCAAGTAGTAGAGTCAGAGTGGTTCCCAAGGACGGGTGGACGTGGGTTGCAACTGATAGGTTCCCCATCGTTGGGAATCTTTGAGGCACATGAACTTCCAACGTAGGCTGTGTACACATGGTTTATACCTCTGTGTGTCTTTGAAACCACCAGAAGAACTCTATGAACATATCATACACTGAAACCTGAAGGATGTCAAAAGGAATGGCTGTGTCTGAAGAATAGGGTACCACATGGCACCACTAAATCCACTGCTTAATATTGGTTACCCTCCAGTAAAGCAACATACCTACGGAAATGGATGAACATGGACCATTTATAGATGATTTACATTAATGATTCACATTGATTTACATTGATTTACCGTGATTTACATTGATTTACCGTGATTTACCTTGATCTACATTGATTTACCTAAACCAATTGTCTTTCTCCATAATTTTCCATAATTAGTTATTAATTAGTTTACCAGTTACCTGAGGGTATCCATCATTTCCATTCATTTCCCCAAAAAAAGCACCCTGCCACGGGAGCGCAGCCCACCTCAGGGACCTTCGTCGTGCCGCGGGCGGCTCCTCCCTGGACACGCTGGGCACGGGCACGGTGGGTCTCGCCGCTGCTGGCATAGTGGGAGCAACTGGGTCCACCTGGGAGTCCAACTGGGAGGAAGCCTCATAATAAACTAATAACATAGTAGGTAAATGATCTATAAATGATCGATTTTCATCCATTTTCTCGTAGCTCTATAGTAGTTTACTGGAAGTTTATGGGGTCTTAACCAACAAACATATGGCATAGCGATAGAATTGATATTTGGGTTGATCATTTGGCAGGTTTCATCAGGCTTCAACTTGGGCTGTGGAAAAAGATGGCTGGTCTGGTCTCCAAGATTCCAGCGATGGCTCTGCACATTTGATGCTCTTGCAACCAAGGAAGTCTCCCTCCATCTCTCCCAAAAATGCAAAAGCAAACATCAACAATCTTTACGCGAACATGCAGACTTTGGGGTGTACAACTCTCATCCTTGCACTCATTTTCCTGTGGATTCCAATGAATTTCATTCCCACACCAATTGGAATCGGTTCTTTCGTGCCATGGGCAATAAAATCAACAAATATGGCCCTCGAAAATGACTCACAACAACTCCAAACATCTACGAACATCTGCATTCCATATAATTGTATATATATATAATGAATATCAAAGAATATGATGAATTATGATGAATATGAAAGACATCAGGTATCTGGCACTTCAACCCCATCATCCCTCCCAAATCCCCAAATCCCCAAACCTCCATAGCTGTCAGCTCTGTTTGATCCTTCGCCGACCCTGCGGCGGACGAATCCTTTGGATCCTTTGGTCGTCGCCGCGCCGCCGGGGGCTGTGTGGGCGGCTGCGTGGGCGGCTGCGTCGGCGGCGGCACGGGGAGCCGTGGGAGGCCCTCTCCATCCATTTCAATCCCCGCGAAGTAGAGGTCCTTGGTGCAAAAAAAAAGGATGGGAAACGTTAGGAAACCAGATCTGGATATATTATAATCCCTAACATCACCAACCAGATAATACGAATACTGCCATTTGGAGATGAATTCCCTTACCATCATTCCAGTGACGTGTCAAGATTGCGCTGTTTTTTCTTCTCTTGAACCAACTGTGGGACGACTATGTTGGGGTAAACCACAAGGCCCAGCTCCACCATCCTTCCCTGGCAAGCTCTTGAAAAGCCCATCCCAGCCCTCGCTCCATAGGCTTTCGGTAGCCCAAAAGACCATGGCTTTCAATACTAAATTGGTCCAATTTGGGATGATTTGGGGGTACCCATATTTTAGGACCCCCCCCAATTTTATCTCCAAGTTTCCCAACTTTCTCTGGTGACGGTCTGATCATCTTCGCTCATCTCTTGGAATATCTCATTTTTATTTCGTCCAGTGAGTAGTACCACCTGGCGAAATGGCTGCTTCGGTCGAGATTCTTGGTACACTTATTGTGAATACATGGAGGTTTTAACACTACCCCAATAGCTGGATGGTCTACAATGGAAAATCCTACTAGAAATATCTAGAAAAGGGATGATTTGGGGGTACCCCCATTTTAGGAAAACAACACATGTTACACGAATGCAAGACATAACTCTATGTACGTCGTACAACCATGTTATTTCATAAATCTTAAAAACATGCGCAAATGAGCAAATGGTTGTTGCTGTTTGCGACATTGGTTGGGTTGCACATCCGAAAACCATCGCAGCCACGCAGCCACTCTCAAAGATGCAACCGGTGGATTGCCAACCCCAAAGTCTGAATAGATCCAACATGATCCAACAAAATCCACCAGGATTTCGTTTGAGGGGTATTTGATACTAGATGATACTAGGGCTAGGGGGCTTTTTTGGGGGCAGGGTGTGCTATGTATGGATCGATTTATGGGGGACCATGGGGAGACACTCCAAACCATCCATCGCACGAGAGACGTGAAGATGCAGTACCAGTAGAGCAGTTTCCCAAGTCACCTCAGATCTTGCCGATGGCCACTGCACACAGCGACGTGTCCAAAAATGTTTCTCTATTCATTGGATTGGTTTAAGGGAAAATCTACAGGAAACCATGGTTTTTACATGTTTTTACCATTAAATATGGGGGTTTCCTGTAAATTTTCCCGTAAACCAATCTAATGATCTATGTTTCTCTCTTCTCTTCCTCCATGGCACCCGTTGTGTCTGCATAGCTTGATAAGCACATACTTATGCATGCATGTGGATATGCATGTCTATGATGCCATGTAATGTAATGCCATGCTATACAAGTAGGTAGTGCAATGCAATGTAGAGAAATGCAATGAAACGCAATGTAAAGTAATGTATGTACATGTATGTGTGTCACATGCGTATGTCTAATTGTATCATATAATGTGCCTGTGCGCGTTTATGTCTGTGCTTGTGGGTGTACATCGCTCCCTTTCAATGCCCAGGAGCCTTTGAGAACTTCTCTTGCCGCGATGTCAAATATTTAAAGGCGTTGCTAAGCGATCCCAACCTCATGCTACGGTTGCCCCGATATGCGATCCACTTGAAGTCACTTCAGCCCTGATTATCGCAAGAAAACCCATAATAGCCAACAATGAACGAAAGCCCAAAAATTTTACTTTAGTGGTGGTGGATCTGTTCATGCCGGGGTCCTGTATGAAGGTTGGTTTTTACTATGGGAATGGGCCGGGAGTATATCCATGTATATCCCAAGTGGGATGGAAAAGTGATGCGTTGAACCAAAGGATGTAGGGACAGGATGGGACAGATTTGGGAATGGCCGTGCAGCCACTTCCAGTTGCGTTTGCTACCACCTCTCGAAAAGCCGCGTGAATTCTACACTCCCCGTTCATTTTGCTGTCGTACTCATGGGTTTGTAAGCCAATGATACCCCCAAGTAGAGTAACTAAGCGGTCTAAGCGGTCGGCTTACCCTCTGGTCAAGGAATCGGGAAGTTGCAAACCCACCAGTCTCATGCATCTGGGTAAGTTATAATATTTCACTAACCTGAATTAAGGCCATTTGGGGATGATTTCCCTTAATAACCATGATTACCCAGATGCATTGATCATTTTTGTTCTGTGTTTGATTCCCGAAATTCAGCTCCCGCCGTGACATGTCCCATGATTCCCATGGTGGCCGCTGCAGCGCACAAGCGTCCACACCAAGGAACTTTTTCACCAGGCAATAGGCTAGTGCGTGTCGGTCCTGGTGGCTGCAACTGGTAACACTTCAGGTGCCTGAATCTCATGGGACAAATGGTTTTGAAAGGAAAAACAACCCATCTGAATCCATCTGATACGTATTTTTGGGGCATCCATTTAGACTTCACTCAAGTTTATAGAGTCTAAGTGGATCTAAGTGGATCTAAAATGATCTAAACGGCTTCTTTCTTCGAAGCCTTGCTTATTGGGAGCACATCTACTGTCGGAAAGTCGAGTCTAAAAACCAAACTAGTCCTTTTTTGATGAACCACCGACGAAAAACCCAACTAACAAATACAAAAAATAAGAATAACATAGAATAACAATAGGCTAAAATAAGATGAATAAGAATAGAACCACTAAAAGATTTTTGTTCAAAAACGAACAAAAATTAGGGGGGAAATATCACCTAACTCATCGATCCAATCCATCATCTCTCCAATATTTCGATTCCGAGCATCGGTGAAGTTCTTCTCCTGCAGCTCGCGCTGCAGCTGGCTTTCTTCCCGTTTCTCTTCTTCTGTCGGATCCACCTCTAAAGCGCTGAGGCCCATGCGCACGCGCCTCGACACGGAAACATGTCGATTTGGGGGTCGGAGACGACGTCGGATATGTGTGGAAATCCCCGAGTGAAGCAGTGTTTCTGGGTGTTTAATGTTAGGGGGCTAGGAAAATTCCACATCTTAATATCTTTATCGTTGTTGGGGGTCAAATCGGCCAAAGGTTGACTTTATAATTTTTATATCTGGAGAAAAGGTAGACGTTTGGATTTTGCCCTGAGTGAGCGGATCGAGCCTTTACTGCTACGTAATTAGAATGATTTGGGGCAGGAATGGGAAACATAACCATTGAGATGTCCTGACCCGGCTCCCAATTCCAGAAGACCAACTCCAACCAGAAAACAAATTTCCTTCATCCATTCATCCAGGGTGTTTGTTGCTTTTCTGAGCCAATAACCACCAAGCGTCTCCATTGCGGCTTGCAACTTCCGCTCCTGGCACGATGGGGGCTGCAGATGGAGAAACCAAATCTAGACCCGACCGAACCTATCCCAAAAAATTGCCAACCCTATGCATTTTGAGAAGAGGGAAAGAGGGAGGGAGGGGAGGGGACGGGAGGGGAGGGGAGAGGAGGGGAAGGAGGGAGGGAGGGAGAGGGAGGGAGGGAGAGAGAGAGAGAGATGCATTATAAAAATACTAATATGCTACTACACGCTTGACATTCCTGGACCCAATAGTGTAATATTCACACCACGCTATGGTTTCTGTTTGTGAAGCTCGTTGGTTGGCCCATCGTTTGCGCATCGAAAGCAGCGGCGGAGCAGCTTTGGGCCTGCAATTGCCACATTTCCAAGTCTGGTTCCGCCTCTGGTTCTTCAATCGCAGGAGGCACCATAGGCACCGCCTCTGGCTCTTCATTCGCAGGAGGCATCCTTGGCTCAGGCACAGGGGTAAGGGCACAACTTGAAAAGGTTTTTCAAGAATAATTGCGTTTGAAGAAACTCGGGAAAGATGAATTGATAACTGTCCAAGCCAATGTGCAGTGCAGCCGATATTTGTATGTACAAGAGAAACTAGACGGACCCACATGTTTGGTTGGCATTGGTTGGCCATCAATTTTGGGGAGGAAAAAAAAAAACTCCCATCTTGATCCTCAAGTTTCCAATGTTCAGCCTCCACGTCCCAAGTTCCAGTCACCTGGCCCAACCCCTCCCGCCCATCGTCACGGCTGCTTCGCCGCGGCGGCGCTGCGGCCGCCACACCCGCGCTGCCGGCCTTCTCCACCTTGCGCGTGCCGCGCTCCGAGGCCTGCTCGATCCTCTCCTGGAACCACAGGTGGTGGAAAAAATGGTACTGGACTATACTGGACACCACAAAATGATGAAAGAAATCATGAAGATAAAATGGAAAAAAAAAAACGTGAACCTTTTGACATGTCTTTTGAAGGGTGTCTTGAGATAGGACCTTGCGGTTAATGGTTCGGGTACCGGTTACCAGGTTTCTGCAGGTTCATACATGTTCTTCTTCACCTCATGAAACGAGCCTAGCTAGCCGCAACAAACATAAAGACATATGACCAACACAAAACAGCAAAGCATTGTGGATTTGACTTGGCAGAACTGGGATCCCACAAACAAAAAAAACAATTCTTGCACGTTCACGCAAGGAATCGCAACTGATTGCTAGCGAGGCTGTGGAACAGAATGCGAAGGTGTTAAGACTGATCTGTTGATGGCGCAGTTCTCCAGGTTTAATTGAGTAGATCTTGATGGACCTATGGCATTGGAAAATCAATTATCTACATCCAGCCATAGATCTGGATAAATATTATTTGATGATTTTCCAGCCTGAAATGTTCGGCCATTTGGGGGCGATACCAAGCACTAAACATCATGTCTTAGTGACGTCGCAGGGAGTTGTGAAAAATTATGCGGCTAAATGATGTTTTAGCATGGAAAACTTTGAACTTGAACAGGGGACTTTGCCGACTGTCATGCTATATTATGGCCAGATGAACCCTTAGGATACTATTAGCCATATAATACCACCCCGTAATTCAACATATTCAGTAGCTATGAAAAATGGATGAAAATGGCCTGGAAAATAGTGCTTTTCCATACCCAGTAGTACCCGCACGAGGCGGGGCGGAAGTTGCCTTAGGGTGTACTATAAGAGCTTTCTCATCTATAGAACTTGCATGCGCCGTGCGCCAGCCAAGCCCGTGCGCGCGTGCTTTGCGCGAAGTTGTTGCGGTGTTGTTGTCCAAGAACATGACCTGCGCGCGACCCCGGCGCAATGCAACGCCAATCGAAAACTTTCCTCACACTTCACAGTGCACGCTTCACACCCCGCACTTCGCACTTCACACCTGCACTTTTCGCACCCGACACTTCATCTCAACTCAAATCACGTGAGCTCTTCTCACCTCATCTCATCTCAGCTCTTCTCATCTCATCACATCTCTTCTCACATGTGATCTAAGTAAGTTCTTCTCAACTGTTTTCATCTCATCCGAGCACTGATCAACCTGTCTCATCTGCTCGAAGTTCGTCTCAACTCATCTCAGCTGTTCTGCACGCCAGAAATCTCTTACTGTCAGAGAGAAGTCACTTGCACAAAAAAAACGATTGGGCGCAGAAACTTTTGCACACAGAAGCTTGGGACACAGATGCATTTACACAGAAATGCCTTTACAAAATACTTAGTACTACAAAAAAGCTTCCACAAAGCACTTCCCCCCAGTACTACTTTGTACTACCAACCTTGCACAATGCACTTCCCAGTACTACTTTGTACTACAAAGCTTGCGCAAAGCACTTCCCAGTACTACTTTGTACTACAAAGCTTGCACACAGCTCTTCCCAGTACTACTTTGTACTACAAAGCTTGCACAAAACCCTTCCCAGTACTACTTTGTATTATCAAGCTTGCGCAAAGCACTTCCCAGTACTACTTTGTACTACAAAGCTTGAACAAAGTACTCCCCAGTAATACTTACTAATACTTTCTACTTTGTACTACAAAGCTTGCACAGGCACTTCCCAGTACTACTTTGTACCACAAAGATTGCACAAAGCACGTCCCAGTACTACTTTGTACTGCAAAGCTTGCACAAACTACTCCCCAGTACCACTTACTAATGCTTACTACTTTGTATTGCAAAGCTTGCACAGGCACTTCCCAGTACTACTTTGTACCACAAAGTTTGCACAAAGCGCGTCCCAGTACTACTTTGCACCGCAAAGCTTGCACAAACCACCCTCCAGTACTACTGTGTGCTACAAAGCTTGCAAAAAGTACTTCCCAGTGCTACTTTGTACTACAAGGCTTGCACAAAGTATTTTCCAGTACAGAGGAGGAACCAAAACGACCCCAGCCGCATCCGCCGTACACAGGAGGGCTGCAGCCACTTTACACGGAAAAATGGAAGGTTTCGTGCTCCGGCTTCCTCCCCAAAACAAAGCCCATGCCACATTCATGCAGCCATTACAATGCGTTTCGCAGCATCCCGTTGCAAACCTGCACGTATCTACGCACATGGCAACACCAGATGACAACAATCATGCAGCCATTACACGAGCGTATTGTTATGTGATGCCAAGTCTCACACCACAGTCTCACACCACCCGTCATTGCGGATATTCTTATGTGATGTCAGGTCTGGCACCACAGTCTCACACCACCCTTCATTGAGTGTATTCTTATGTGATTTCAAGTCTCTCACCACAGTCTCACACCACCCTTCATTGAGTGTATTCTTATGTGATGTCAAGTCTCACACCACTCTTCATTGAGTGTATTGTTACAGGTACAAGTCATCCGTACCTCGGAAGATTCCTCCCAACTTCCTTTGACTATGTTAAAACCACATAAAATCAGCAGGACTAAGTGGTGGTGCAAGTAGAAGTAAGTTGGTTTGAGCATGGTTTGGTTGATCAAGAAGCACAAAAAAAAAGTGTGAAATAGTTGTAGGTTTTTTTTTGGAGCAGGTTTGGGATTGTTTTTTGGATTTCTTGGCTGGTACCATTTGCCTAGTGTTTGCAACGGTTTGGAACTTGAATTTGTCATTTTGCATGGTATTTGCCACATTTGGGCATGTTCACCTTCCATTTTGCATGGGATTTACTACATGTGGGCATGTTCACCTTCCATTTTGTATGGTATTTGCCACATTTTGGCATGTTCACCTTCCATTTTGCATGGGATTTCCTACATGTGGGCATGTTCACCTTCCATACAATTTGCCACATTTTGGCATGTTCACCTTCCATTTTGCATGGGATGTTCTACATGTGAGCATGTTCACCCAAATATTTACAGATGCGCAAGCTTGGGATTAGATAAAAAGCGGGTGGGTGGGATTGAGGGAGGGCGCTAGCTATCTATCCAGCTAGCTAGCTATCTAGCTAGCTATCTATCTAGCAAGCTATCTATCTAGCCATCTATCTATCGAGGTATCTAGCTATCTATCTCTCTAGCTATCTATCCATCTAGCTGGCTATCTATCTATCTAGCTATCTATCTAGCAAGCTATCTATCTATCTAGCTATCTATCTACCTATCTAGCTAGCTATCTTGCTAGCTATCTATCTACCTATCTAGCTATCTAGCTAACTATCTATCTAGCTATCTAGCTATCTAGCTTTCTATCTATCTAGCTATCTATCTATCTAGCCATCCAGCTGTCTATCCAGCTATCTAGCTATCGAGCTATCTAGCTAACTATCTATCTAGCTATCTAGCTATCTAGCTTTCTATCTATCTAGCTATCTATCTATCTAGCCATCCAGCTGTCTATCCAGCTATCTAGCTATCGAGCTATCTATCTAGCTATCTATCTATCTAGCTAACTATCTACCTATCTATTTAGCTATCTATCTATCTATCTATCTAGCTATCTATCTAGCTACCTAGCTATCTATCTATCTAGCTATCTATCTAGCTAGCTATCTATCTATCTAGCTATCTATCTAGCCATCTATCTATCTAGCTATCTATCTAGCCATCTATCTATCGAGGTATCTAGCTATCTATCTCTCTAGCTATCTATCCATCTAGCTGGCTATCTATCTATCTAGCTATCTATCTACCAAGCTATCTATCAGCTATCTATCTATCTATCTATCTATTTATCTATCTGTCTATCTATCTATCTATCTACCTATCTATCTATTATCACATGTAAACCTGTCAGCTTTCCAGAGAAGGTTAGTTCGCAAAAACCAACTAATGTAACTTGGGTTTAGGTTTAAATAAAAAAAAGCGGGAGGGGTGGATTGGGGGGAGGGCGCAGCGCCTCTCCCCAAAGCAGAATGCAAGCACCTCTTCTCACATGTTACGTTGCTAGTTTTCAAGAGAAGGTTGGTCATGTGATACTCAGGGATGTAAATACTGTGCAAAATGCATCTTACATGAAAATCAAGTATTTAAAGCAGGCAAAGCAAAAAAAAAGCAGAGAAGCAAAAAAGCAGAGAAGCAAAGAAACAGGAAACGCACAAAAGCAAAACAGCAGAAAGGCAAAGAAGCAGGAAAAGCAGAAAAGCAGAGAAGCAGGAAAAGCAGGAAAAGCAGGAAAAGCAAAGAAACAGGAAAAACAGAAAAGCAGAAAAGCAGAGAAGCAGAGAAGCAGAGAAGCAGGAGAAGCAGAAAAGCAAAAAAGCAGAAAAGCAGAGAAGCAGAGAAGCAGGAGAAGCAGAAAAGCAAAAAAGCAGAAAAGCAGAGAAGCAGGAAAAGCAGGAAAAGCAGGAAAAGCAGGAGAAGCAGGAAAGCAGAGAAGCAGGAAAAGCAGGAAAAGCAGAGAAGCAGGAATCCAAAAATAATTCCTAAACCTGATCAAAAAAAAATCCTAAAATAATTAGCCCTCAAAAAAAAAAAACTTTTGGAGTTTTCCAAAAAAAACACAGGCAACTTTTTAAAGAGAAATAAAAACAAAATAAAATAAAAAGAAACTAAAATGGTTTTACGTCATTCTATTGAATGTTCAGACTGTGGTTCATCAAATCTGATTTTGTTCCCTTTGCGCGCTGCACACGCGGTGCGAAACGCGGGACTCTGAGATCCAAAATGCTACCAAAACACAAAAAGACACAGACATTGCTCACAGCAATATTCAAAAAAAAATGTACATTTGCAATTTGTCAGTTTCCTATTTTTGTTCACATGTGTACATGTTGTTTCATTTGTTTTGTTCCTGTATATTTTGTTCAGCTGTTTTGCATGTTCTCTTCATTTCTGAGGAATGGACAAAAAATGAGATGTTTTTCTCCATTAAAACCAAATACAAATTATCTCCAGTCCCGAAACCCAAGAGATAAAAGAGAAAAAATTGGAAGACATGAGATGTTTCGAGGTTTTTTTTGTGTCTCTTTTGGCATTTTCTTCCCCCCCCACGCTTGTTGGTGTTGGTTTTGGTGTTTTCTTGTCCGAAATATGTTTATGTCTCATGTGTTTTCATTTATATTTTCTTTCCATGGTTTTCATCTTATGAATGTTTGTTTTATTTTCTTCATTTTTTCATTCAAAAAACCAATGCCAGCCCAGACCACTGGCATGTTGTACCACCACTTAGTTTTGCTGATAAACCAAGGGGTAAACCCCTTGAAGTATTTATAATCTAGCCATATTTAGCCAAATTATATTAATTTACCCAATTTGGCCCATATTTAGCATATTTTGGCATTATTTAGTCATCTTATGATAGCTTTTTTCTGGGGTCCTAAACTCTGGCCGCCCCTCGGCAACACAGAACGATTACCAAGGATCGCTTCGCGAAGAGCCACCGACCACTCCCAGGACAACGCGGCCTCCCTTCTTCACACCTAAAAAGGTCAGTGGATCGATCTTTTCTTGGCATTTTATGATAATTTATGATACGGTGTCTTGTGATATTAATATATGTTATAGGTTTCTCATGGGATTCTCCGCAAAAACTCTAAAGTTTGTTCAGTTATGTTCAGTTCTTCTCTGGTCCGGATGCTTTTTTGCACGCCTGTACCCAAGTGCTAGCCATTACATTAGCAGAAACATAAGAAAACTTCATTTTGAAAGTCTGACATAGTCTGACTGAAGTTCGCTGCAAACACCTGCCAAACTGCAACAGCAAGATCACGCGCCACAACACCAGATGTAAAAACACAATCGAACTTGTTTCAAACAGAAATGAATCATGCAGAAGAATGCAAATGCGAATTGAAATCAAGACGTATTGGAAAGACAATCAGGTGGGGCAAATTTTCGCTGGCTTGATGTGTTGTTTTTCGGGTTTGACTTTCCCATACTTTCCCTCTGGTAATTTAACATAGCTATGGAAAACGACCCCTTTATTATGGATTATTTGCCTACAAGAATCACAATTTTCCATAGCTATATTAGATTACCAAAGGGTAAATCTGATTCTTCGCTCAACAGTTCTTCAGGTGTGCACTGACGTTTCCCATACAAGTCCGTAGGACTGTGCAGGAAATGGAGTCGAACTAGAACAACCGACATTAATTGCAGCTATGGCTCGTACTGTTTTTAAGGCTTTTGGCATTGAAAGTGAGGAAACCAGCGTGGTTTGTTTTAATTGCCTTTTTTCAAAGGGAAACCATGGTGAAATTATGTGAATTCCAAGATTCTGATAAAAAAATGAAGAGCCTCGATGTGGTCTTGGAAGAGACTATGACTATGACTGTTTGGCCCAACTTTCCAACAGCAAACATGGCTTACCGTAAAATCCCCCGTTGAGTTCCGATGACTTTCCCATTTCTAACGGCCCGTTGAGTTCGGGCAGTTCAGCCCAGGGAACTGGAGGATGTGTCGCTCACTTCCTTCACGGCACTCTTCGCCACCATCTCCGCAGAAGTGCAGGAGGCTGTGCTGCGGGCTTTCTTCTTCTTCGGAACCTTCAGGAAACCAAGGAAACCCATGGTTTTGAAAATTTTGGACCCCAAAGACATCCAAAGACGCTTCCTCTAAAATGTTCCCATCATCCAACTTTTTTAATGGAGGGGTCTCTCGATTAGCACAGTAAACATAACCAGTCAAAAAATGATAAAAAAAATGTTTCTGCTTTCATTCTTAGTTCTTTGATTCAGCCAATCATGACCTGTTTGAATTCTTAAAAACACAATGAGGGAATATAGGGGGAAATAATTGAACATAATTGAACCCTCACTCTGACACTGGGATGTACTAAGCATAGCTCAAGTCTGTCCAATTCTCGTTTTGGGGACAGGGCCGCTTAGTGAAGCCAATCCGCATAATGGACTTTGGAGCCGGTGGCGTCGTCATCCAATGTGACGCTTTTCACGGAGCTGGAGAGTTGTGTCGCCGGTGGCGGTGAGCCTTCGGTAGATGGCAAGTCATCTTGGAGAAAGGTAACACTGCTCCTGAACGGATTGAATCAAGGGAAGTCTACAGGAAAATTTTGGAAAACCATGGCAAACCATGTTTTTTCTCATACTATTCCTGTAATTTGTGTCATTTGTCAACCATATTTGGAAGTTCCCTTCTGGATCCTTCTGATATCTTTTGATGCGACATGCGAGTCGTTAAGGTACTTGGCACGCTGAGCAAAATAATTCATGAAAATGAATAATGTCTAAACGGGGAAAATGTTCTTTCTGAGTGCCCTGAAACTTTGGAACTGCATGGTATCATAGGGCATGAGTATATTATTTTTCTATGGAATTGTGCGGCGATGGGTCATATCACCTGGGTTTGATGGCACCCAACAGGATGTCAGGATTTTTAGGCACCTGGATCGACAAAGACACAGTCAGTTACACTTTGAAAGTAGCTGTAATACATATCACATACAATACATGCTTGAAATTGGGTTTCTTTCAAGGATTGGGCATACACCCGAAATATACATGGCGAAAAATACTAACTCATACCAACTCCAAATCAAATCCCTTATTTTCGTTCGCTAAAATCTAGGCCAAAGCAGTTGGGAAGAAATCCCCAACGTGGCATATCTCCCATGTCCGTCCACTCCTTCGTCTTTCTCGCTGTTTCTGCAACTCCTTCACTGCCCCCCGGGGCGACCGGTCTTCCACCTGACCAAACCGACAGCAAGTGGAAACCAATCCTTGAAAAAAAGGAAAACAAATCATATCTCCATCAACCTGCGCACCAAGCACCTCGGGCAAATCCGTAGCGGTGGTCCTCAGCGACCTCCGTCGCCTGGGGGATCCTAGCAGGCCGCGCTCCCGCGGGCTTCGATCGTCGCTGTTCTGCGACCTGGGCGACCGCGGCGACACCGGCGGAAGCCGCAGCCCCGCACCAGGGGACCCTGCGCCACCGCTGCTGGTGCTGATGGCGCTGGTGCGCGCGTCAGGGGCCAAGCTGGGAACCACTGAGAAAGGCGCGGGGGCACGGGGCTTGGTGATGCCCATCATCACCCAAGCGCCAGCCCAACACCCAGCACCCGTTCCGCCATGGCGTAAGGATGACTTGCCCTACGCCGGCAGAAGAGTTTTGTACACCTACAGTATATACGAGAATAGGTGGTGAGCCGAAAATCGTAGGAGCGGCCACGACCAGGAGTTTGGGCAGAGATGAGGACCTAACTTTGAAGACTTTCAACCAGTCAATGTCGAGGTGATCAAGAACAGTCGCAATAAAATCCAAAGGCATAAAGGATGAAGGATTGCGAAATCCTCCAGCTGCACCTTCAGTTCCAGGCTCTCTTGCAAAGCAAGGCCAACACACACACACATATATATATATATATATATATGTATTATATATTCTCGCAAAATAAGGAACACCCAAAAGCTGTCCCACCCTCGTGAAGTGCAGTTTAAGGTGTATTGATGGACAAGACCGATCCAATCCTCAAGCAGCGAACTCTCCACCATCCCGCATTGGTCCGTTTCAATGGAAAATCGTCCAGGAAATTCCCAATATGGAAAATCACCATGTTCAATAGCTAAATCATCATGTGTTTCATCATGTTTCATCTACTTCATCTACAAATGGGCAATCTATGGCAATCTGCCATTTTCATCCAGTTTCGCTGCCAGTTCACCAAACGGATCCAGATGGTGATGGAAACACCGTGGAAACGCCATGGCTTTCTGCTACGGACCCGAGGCCCCCGAGGCCCCCGAGATCCCCCGAGGCCCTGGCTGTAGGCGTCGTTGTCGCGGCAGCCGCTCAGAGGCCCACTGCGTGGAAAGCCGCAGCTCCCGGGAGGTTGGAGCTGGAAGACCTCACCAAAGGTGAAAGTCTCTTGATGGTGAAATGATGGCTAAATGTTGGCTAAATGACGGTTAAATGATGTTTGAATGATGGTGGAATGATGGTGAAATGATGTTTAAATGGCTTCAAATGGTGGTGTATTGGTGTTTTCTCTATATCGCCATGACTTGCTTCAGACCACTGTTTTGATGATGGACCAGGTATAGACATGTATAGACAGTGTAGATTATAGATGGCATCGCGGTACGTGGCCACTAAGATGGCAAAACATTGCATATTTTTGGCGGTTCCACTCCAAAATGGCACCCTCAAAGTGTGCCTTTAAGGCACTAAGATCCAGTAAGATGGCATTGCCAGAAGACACAAGACAAAAGCACTGGTTTTGATGGTTGTTGTGTTTTCTTGATGGCTGCGTTGTTTAGCTTCTGACGGGAAGCAACACTAAGATGGCACCCAAAATCAACCACAGGGTGTTCTTCTGAACGGCGGCTAAGAGCCAGTACACTCACAGCAACCTTCAGCAACATCAGTAACAAAAAACAACTGCATGATTTAACAGATGTTTTTTTTGATTTTATACTTATACTGTATATGCCCCAAGGATGCCATCTATTTGTACTAGCTGGCATGTGTTTTGGGTACCCCAGGAATATCTATATTGTTATTTTGCAAATGCTATCTATTTGTCTTATCTGGGCATTTTGTGTCTATGGACGGCATGGGTACGATCTATTTCTTTAAGGGGGCTACCCCGGAAGAACTATCTATCTGTGTAGATTCCATCTATTGATTTAGATGCCCATGAGTATGAATGCCATCTACTGTATTTGTTCCTGCGAAAGGCAGGTGCAAAAAGTCTGCCCTTTTCTTGAGCCATGTGCAAACGGTCATCCTTGTGCAGGGGCCATGCAATGAACGGTCGTCCAACAAGCATGCCAGTCCTACAGTAGACAGCACTTCTTGATTTGTGCGTGTCATTCTTTGAAAACAGCACCACACTCCCCCAATGTTGCTAGGTGCAACATTTTCGGTGGCCGTAGCAAAATGCCAGACCCAAGCTTCGTTGGCTGGTCTTATAAAAGGAAAAGAGCCCTGCTACATGTCCTCCTCTTCATTCTCGGGAGTCTCGGCAGCGCCCTCGTTCTCATCTTCGGACACCAAGGAGTAGTCGTCGGTGTTCCCCTCAGACTCCAAGGCCTCCTCTTGAAAGCTCTCAGCTTCCTCCAAGCCCTCCGGGGGTGGGTCCAAGCGCCGTTCGGCCTGGTACGGAGTGCCCAGTGCCTTGGCGACCAAGGTGGGCTGTTTCGCCCATGCTCCAGCCACGGACCCCCGCGGGGTAATCAGCCCCGGGTCCCCTCTCGTGGCCCAATCTCCAGGGATCACCGTAGAGCTCGAGGATGCCAAGCCACCTGGGTTCTGCTCCGGCGGTCGCATTGCCATCCGCAAAGAAGCCAGCAGCGGATTTCCACCAGGTCGATCTCCAGCTCCAGTTGGAATGACCCCCATAGGTCCTGCCCCCATCGACATAGATCCGGCCGAAGTCATCTGGCCCACCTCTCGATCATCAATTGGCCCACCAGTGCCCATCGCAGCTCGTCCACGAGGTCCAGGTCCAGGGCGGCCACGAGGACGATCTCCTTCAGCTCCTGCAGGGGCCTGGTACCGGCCTGTCTTCGGAGTTGGCCTGCAGTACCCATCAGCCTTTGGCCACGGTGCCGCTCCAGCTCCAGGTGGCGGGTAGGCGCTTGACATACCGCCCTGCTTCGCCATTGGTGGCAAAGGGCCCTCATCACTCCAGGTCACTATGTCAGGTCGGATTCGAGGGAGACCTGAGCTGTTGCCTCCGGCTTGATCCCCTTCTCGCACCCGGAAGAAGGTGTATCCCTTCCATTGGTCCACACCAGGAATGGGTTGGCCACCAAGACCCCAGAAATCCTGGTGGATCATCCTGGTCCATGGGCGCCCACCAGGGCAATGCCAGATCACCGTGACCCGCTCTGCCTCCAAGTCCTCCGGGCGGACCGGCGTAGAGGTGTGCACCGGGTGGAACAACCTCGACCTCAGCCCTCCATGGACTCTGCAGTACCAGCCACCCACCAGCGACCTCCAGCGGTCCGAGTTCCCAGTCGGCATGCCCTGGAACTCCGCGCTGTTCCAAGGTCCCTGAGGGTCTCCACCAGCCATGGCGTGCCCGCCCAACGCACAGAGCCGCGGGGTGACGGCCGAGGAGCCTGTCAGGCTACAGTGGGTAGCATAGTCATTAGTGCTAGTTTCCATTGGGCCTGGTTCATGTTCCCTAGGCCTCTTGTGATGTTCTTGTGCTGGTCTTGTTTCACTGTTTTCATTCTTCATGTTAGCCATAGATGCCAGCCCTTCATGACAACACATCCAAGCCGTCAGAGCCGACAGGCTAACAGCTCCGGCAGTTTTCACCAGTTGGCTGGCTCCGTTTTGGAGCACCAATCCTCCAAGTGCAACTACCGCCTCAACCAGGCGACAAAGCCGTGATGTTTCATCCGGCATGGAAAACTTGGTCAAACCTAAGGTCCTACGGAAAGACTCCCAGCTGGTCGGCAGCACCACAGGCTTCGTCAGCAAATCGGCCGCCAGCTCTGCTCCAGGAACGTGTTCCACATGCCACTCGCGAGAAGCCAATCGCTCTCGCAGGACAAAGCTCCTCAGCCTCAGGTGGCGTGTGCGCCAAGGACCATCAGGCGCCAGCAACAATTGGATCCCAGACAGATTGTCGCCTCGGATCTCAAACTGGCCATCATCGATCATGGCGTTGTGCTCCAGGATGTTCAGGATAACCTGAAGCGACTCGCCCATCGTCAGCGCATCCACATATCCAATGAGCTCGGCCTCCGTACTGCTCAGAGCAGCAAAAGGTTGCCTTTTGCTCTCCCATTGGACCAGAGCGCCACCCCACAGTGCCAATATGCCTTGGCAACCACGAAGTCCCTGTGGGGCATGTGAAGCATCCGACAGGAGGGTGAGCTTCATCAGCTCATCGGTTGGCTCCCCCTGATCTGTCAAACAGCTCTTGTAGGTCAAGACAAACTCCCAGGTCTCCTGCAGGTAGCCCAGCAAGTAGCGTCCCAGCTCCTGAACCTTTTTGGGGCACTTTGTCACCCAACCGCTCAAGGTCGATACGGCGAAGGCCAGGTCAGGTCGGGTTCGACCACTCAACCAAAGGAGTTCTCCCAGCAACTGCTGGCACCTGCGAACATCCGCAGGGTCAATGCTGTCCTCCACATCCGGAGCCATGTCAATCTTCGGAAGTGGAACTTGGCGACCAGGAACTGGACCATGTCGTTCAAGAAGCTCGCGGGCAAAGTCAGGCTGACCCAAGAGCAAGGAGTCTCCCTGCCATCTGAGCTGCATCCCACAGAACTTCAGCCATTTGACCTCGTTGACCCACTCCACCTCCGAGCACGTTCACTCATCCCGGATTCGGCCCAAAGAAGCTTCAACCACATGGCGAGGTCCAGCACAAAGGATGTCATCCACATAGACAATGAGGAAGCCAAGAGGATCCGCATGAGCATCATCGTTGATGACTGCCTCCGGGTAGTTGGTCTTGGAAACCCCCATGATTGACCAGATGTTGGGTTCTGGCGATCTCGCCAAGTGGCACCGATGGGTTGAAGTTTCCCATCGGAAGGACGACATGCGGCAGTCCCTGAATGATGCCCAATCTGCTGGGGAGGTATCTAAACCATACATGGCACCGTCACAGATCCAACGTTCCTCCGCAGAGACTAAGCCAGTTGAGGTCAAAAGTCGCGGAGGCTCCACCACCAAAAGCTGCCGTCGGGTCTGTGATCTGGGAGCCAATAGAAATGCCCCTCTCACGTCCGTTGATGCCAAGGACCAAGAAGCCCCTGCTGCCTTCCTCAGGACACACCTCAGAGCCGTAGAGTCAACACCACCCGCATAAAGATCTGCGGCAGCGGCCGGTCCACCACCTCCAGGCCTTTCGGCTCCATCCCCATTCGGGTCCTTCCCATCCCCGAGGTTCTGCACTGCCGGTGATGCTGCTCCATGAGGTCGATGACAACCATGAACTCCACCATCAGGAAGTTGTGAAGGTTTCACATGCCCAGCAGGATGCACCATGTTGCCGCAGATGACGATTCTCGCCTTCCGCTTTCCCGAGGGTGACTTGATTGTGGGGACAATCTTCGCCGGTGCCACCTCCATCCGGTCGTAACCTGGCTCATGCACCAACTGATCCACCTTCACCCGGCGAATCGTTCCAGAGCTCACCAAAGCCTCCATCTCGGCCTGCAGCGGCTCCTTCCACAAGTTGATGTCCTTCTTGACTTCGGCCAGCGACACTGTATAGGTTTGTAGCACCGCTCGAGCCTGCTCAGGTTTGTCCAGAGGCTCCAGATCATCCACCATAGTCTCCATGCCCTGGGAGAGTGCTGCAATCCTGCAATTCGCGGTCTCCTGGTTCAAGGTCGAAGTGCTAACCAGCGCCAACTCCTCCTCCAGGCTCTTCACTTGGCCCTCCAAAAACTGCAGCCATTGGCCATGGATCAAACCGATCTCGGCCCCCACAGCTTCTCTAGAGAGTTCCTGTTCCCAAAGCTTTTTCCATCCCCAATGTTCACGATGAGCACTGTCCACCAAGTCCTCAAGGTTGTGGATCTCCACAGACTCCCAAGCCCGTTCGCCTGCAGGACCATGCCCAAATTGAACATCCATATCGTCAAGGTCCGGCCGCCCATCCAAGCCCGACTGTGAAGACACCCACAATGATGTAGATCCCGCTCCATGCAAGCCCGATGGTGAAGACACCTGCATTGATGTAGTTCCAGCACCATGCAAGCCCGGTGTCAACGACGCCTGCAAAGCCAGAGATGCTAAGCCCGACCGTGAGGGGGAACTCAATCTCGCAGATTCACCACAAAGGTTGCAGTCCTCGGTATCCGGCTGCAAAAGCCCACAACCATCACATTCTTTCAGTGCCCTTGAGGTTGAGGCTGTTGTGGAAGAAGCTGG